CCAGCGAGGTTCGGAAACTTGAAGGTCTTCTTCATATCAGGTTGACTTTGGATCAATCTTCTACTTCTCCCAGAGGTAGATTGGTGTCAAGCAACCACCAGATTCACCGGCCGCCCTGAAAGCCCTCATTTTTCAACAACTTACATGGAAGCGCGGTGATCCTTGCAGGCCTATTTGCTCGACATCCCGGTGCTTTTGAGTTTGCAGTAATACTCACTCATCGTTGCCCTGCAACAATGGCTCGCCACGGGGATACTCGCTCACCATCTCCTGTAGGCAGCACATACTCCTCATCGCGACGACCTCGCAGAGAAGATGATCGATATGAAAGAAATCGCCGGGACGATGGTCGCGGATACCGCAGGTCTCGCAGCCCAGAGGTATGTCATAAACGCCACCCCGCCGAGTTAGCGCACAAGGCTCAACGAGTACGATGGTCTAACTCTTTTGATTGGGATATAAAGCGCCGATACCGTGATCGTGATAATGGCCGCGATCGAGATGGCTTTCGCCGGCGCGATCGTTCCTTAGACAGACGCGACGAAGACAATTATCGACCCAATCGCAGAGATCGGTCCCGAGACCGCCGTCGCGACGATGATCGTGATTATCGCCGTCGAAGCCGAGACAGAGAATACCGACCCAGGCGAGATGATTCACGCGATCGTGAGCGCAGGCGCCCAGATGATACTGCTGATTTGAAGCACAAGTCTAGACGGGATGATAGCCGTGACCGTGGTGTCAATCGACGTTCCCGGTCTCGCACACAAGAGGTACGTCTTGCGCATGTATATTTTATTTGTGAACTTCGATACTGATGACATTGAACAGCCATCTAAACAGTCGACCCCCGCCCCCGCCGCCCAGACCGACGAACAGAAAAAGGCCGAGCGACTTGCCAAACTGGAGGCCTGGAAGAAGAAGCAGGCTGAACAGCGCGAGAAGAAACAACAAGAAGCAGCTGCTGGAGGTGCTCGGAACATTCTCGATGCCATTGATCGCAAGTCCGGTCTCTCACCCGCCGTTGGTACCCCGCAGACGCCCGCAACCCCAACCGATACTGCAACACCTGCCTCTTATCCCGGAAAGTTCGACCCCAAGGCTGTCGCTAAGAGCGTAACAGCCACCAGCTCCGCACCTTCTGCCGTTCTAGGAACCGATGTTGCGGTCCCGCAAACCGCCAAGGTGCCGCCAAAGCCAACACCCGCTCCAGCTCCGGCGTCCGCCCCTCTCAAAGCCAAGGGCAATGTGAGCGGGTTTGGATTGAGCTCAAAGCAATCTTCTGGTACTGACAAACCTTCTGCGTCTCGGACCTTGGGATTTGGCGAAGAGGAATCTACGCGCAAAAAGCTTGAGCGTCTCCCGACCCCTCCACTTGATGATAGCAAGGATTCATTTGGTGCCGCTGATGATGCTGGTGAAGATGATGATGTCGACATGCAGGATGGTGGAACCGAAGAAGAAGCCGCGGCGGCAGCTCGAGCTGCAGCAGAGCGACGCGAAGAACGTCTTCAAAATCAGCACCTCGCCTACCAGACACAAGGAGATGTTCCAGAATCCTCTGAATCTCATCCAACAGCAGATGTCACAATGGAAGATGCCTCAAACGAGCAGCCGGAGGCTGCTGAAATGGAGGTCGACACAAACGAGGAGGAAGAGGAAGTAGATCCTCTCGATGCATTCATGTCCGGGCTCGCGGCCACAGCGCCGCCCAAGAAGAAGGTTGGGGTCTCATTTGCTAAAAAGAAATCACTTCAACCGCAAGCAATGTTTGGAGATGACGAGGATGTTTCTATTACGGCTGTCGGGGACGAGGACGCCGATGATGTTCTCGCCATGGCCAACAAGAAGAAGAAGAAAGAAATCCCGACAGTGGATCACAAGAAGGTTGAGTATGAGCCATTCCGGAAGCAGTTCTACCACGAACCCAGTCATCTTGCCGATATGAGCGAGGAGGAGGTAGCCAACCTACGTCACGAGTTGGAGGGCATCAAGGTCCGCGGCCTCGATATCCCGAAGCCTGTCCAGAAATGGTCCCAGTGCGGAATGGGCGTCCAAACTCTGGATGTCGTCGATCGTCTTGGCTACGAAGGGTTGACCTCCATTCAGGCCCAAGCAATTCCTGCGATCATGTCAGGCCGTGATGTGATCGGTGTTGCCAAGACAGGTTCTGGAAAAACCATGGCTTTCCTTATCCCAATGTTCCGACACATCAAGGATCAGCGACCGCTTGACAATATGGAGGGCCCTATTGGTTTGATCATGACACCCACCCGCGAACTTGCCACCCAGATTCACAAGGACTGCAAGCCTTTCCTGAAGGCGCTCGGTCTGCGTGCTGTCTGCGCGTACGGTGGTGCCCCGATCAAAGACCAGATTGCCGAGTTGAAGCGAGGAGCGGAGATTGTTGTTTGCACTCCAGGAAGAATGATTGATCTACTCGGAGCCAATGGTGGCCGAGTTACCAACCTCCGTCGTGTGACGTATTGCGTACTCGATGAGGCCGATCGCATGTTCGATATGGGATTTGAACCCCAAGTGATGAAAATCATGGCCAACGTTCGACCAGACCGTCAGACCGTTCTCTTCTCTGCTACTTTCCCCCGAAATATGGAGGCTCTCGCCCGGAAAGCTTTGAAAAAGCCGGTTGAGATTATTGTCGGTGGGAGGAGTGTGGTAGCTCCAGAAATTACCCAGATCGTGGAAGTGCGCAATGAGGACCAGAAGTTCGTTCGTCTGCTTGAGTATCTGGGTAACCTCTATGCGGATGATCAGAACGAAGATTCCCGCACGCTTATCTTCGTCGAACGTCAAGAATCGGCAGATAATCTACTCCACGAGCTCATGCGCAAGGGCTATCCTTGTGGGTCTATCCATGGCGGAAAAGACCAAATCGATCGGGACTCTACTATCGAGGATTTCAAGGCTGGTATCTTCCCTGTCATGACTGCGACGTCTGTCGCCGCTCGTGGTCTGGACGTCAAGCAGCTCAAGCTCGTCGTAAACTACGATGCCCCCAACCACCTGGAGGATTATGTGCACCGTGCTGGCCGTACCGGACGTGCTGGTAACACCGGAACCGCCGTCACATTCCTTACCGAACTCAGGAACGGTACTCCGTGGACATTGCCAAGGCTCTTAAGCAGAGTGGGCAAGAGGTCCCCGAGCCCGTTCAGAAAATGGTCGACAACTTCCTCGAGAAGGTCAAGGCTGGCAAAGAAAAGGCCAGCGCCTCCGGCTTTGGTGGTAAGGGTCTGGAACGACTTGACCAAGAACGTGAATCAACCCGCATGCGTGAGCGTCGCACCTACAAAACTGGTGACGACGGCGAGGAGGAAGAAGCCAAGGAAGAGAAATCAGACAAGAACGAAGACCGCTTTATCAAGGCCCTTTCTTCTGTACAATCTACCGCTGCTCCGGCTCCAGCTCCGGCTCCTCTACCCGGCGTGCCCAAGGGTATCGATCTGGATGGCAAGATTACCGTACACAGGACTGAAAAGGACACCAGTGCAGGTGGGAAGAATGCCTTGGACAGAGTCGGATCTGCCGTCGCCGATATCCATGCCCGTTTGAGCAAGGCCGGCGTCATGAGATCCGGCGTCCCCATCGACAACCGCGGCCCCGATGCCGGCGCATTCCACGCTACCCTGGAGATCAACGACTTTCCCCGTAAGTTTTGCCTCGCTTTTCTTTCCCTGTCATTTCATCTGATACCGTGAACGCTGACTAACCACATTCCATTACAGAAAAAGCACGATGGGCCGTCACCAACCGCACAAACGTCGCCAAGATCCTCGAAGCAAGTGGTACATCTATTACGACGAAGGGTAACTTTTACGCTGCTGGCAAGGAACCTGGTCCCAACGACCTTGCGAAGCTTTATATCCTCGTCGAGGGCGAAACGGAGATATCTGTCACGAATGCGATGCGTGAGCTCATGCGTCTTCTGAAGGAGGGCACAGTCGCCGCTGCGGATAGCGATGCGCGCGCTCCGGCTAGTGGCCGGTACAATGTTGTCTGAGGGTTACTTGGAGACAGTGACTTCTCTGCGTGGATATGTAATTTATTGAGGACATGCTGTATTATACCACTCTTGAGAACTGATTGAAATGAAGCCTGGCGAAAGCCGTTCCATGATGATACACTGGATGTATGGGGGCTTCTTCAAGGTAGCTTGGTCGATTATATTCTTCTTTTTTATTCTATTGAAGAGATTTTAAGTGGTGTTTTGAACTTGAAGGTTGTTAGTATATTATGCTGGGATATTGGGGATGATATCAAGTCCAAGCGTGCACCTGTTAGAATTAAAATTATTATTCCCTCTGCTCATATATTCATCACTTACTATTTACAAATATCCTGAAAGTGTAGTGTATCCTTGGTTCAGGCCAAACTTTGATGGACTACTAGTACTAAAATACTATAGTATAAACTTGAATGGCAGCCCTAGTTGGAGCCCGAGGTGACCATAACCCTAGAGTGCTAGAGTGCTGTCACAATTTGTCACTCATCTTGATGCGGCATTTCCCAATACTTCCAAGGTTGGTATGATTGCCTTTGCAAATGTCGAACAAGTGAAAATTTCTTTCTTTCTTCAGGTTTGCATTTGGTGTTGTTTACTATGAAGTTATTGTCCATGGCGGCCACTGCAGTGAATCGTCTGTCTAGTCACATTAGTAGCCTCTTCAAGTTCACTACTATCACCACCCCGGACCCAACCTTGATTATTTACTCATCGAGATACACCCTCTCTTGACCATATTTCTCTTGCTTCTCTTGCTCCACGCCCCTCACTGGTGTCTATTGCTTCTGATCCTTAAGTATTTCGCTTTACAGCTATATCTCATGCAGGTATGTTTCACTTCCAAAGTTCAAGGTCAAGGAGCTCCAATTTCCGCCTCGGTATGTCAATCTACTCACTACTTGCATGCTCTACCTAGAAACCCGGTCCACTCGAAATATATGCTCCTCCGCCTGCACGGGGCCAACCTGCCTCCACCATGGATGACTACGAGAGCGAGAAGCTTGCGTTACGGCTCCAGTATACCGACATTTACACAACCTTGCAGTTGCTCCGCGTCGACCGTGACGCACTCGACCTCACAGAAGGCGAAAAGTCTCTCGCGAAGAGAAAGCGAGTGGACGAGGCCCTAAATGACCGTGAGGTTGCTCTCATTTCCCTTGAAACCGAGATCGAGAGACAGGAGAGAATCGCTGAAAATATCACATTGGCTCTCAAAGTCAATTTTGCCATCGAAATCAGCGATGATGAACTACCAGCATTCGCATCTAGCAAACGAAGCAAACGAATCTCCCGCAACGGCCCGGAAGTAGTATCCCTACTCGATATCGACGCCTTCGATGACTCCGGGTCTGAAACTTCAAATGTCCCGAGCCGGGCGTGTGGTCATAGACTTGACCGGAAGCGATGATGAAAACCTGTTCATGACAAAAGTTGATACCAGGCCATCAGCGAATACGCGATCGAAAAAAAAGAGAGACCGCGGAACTCCCACCACAACATGCACAGCCTGTCTGGACTCTTTCAAAGAACCCGAGACCTTCGCCGGGAAATGCGGACATGCATTCTGTCGCGAATGTCTGAAAACCATGTTTCTAATGTCGATGCAAGACGAACAGCTCTACCCACCCCGCTGCTGCAATGAACCCGTAAAGCCGAAGAGCTTACTTCAGATCTTAGACTTCGATCAGATCCGCGCATTTGACGAGAAAGTCATCGAATATGCAGCCAAGGACCGATTATACTGCTCCGAACCGACGTGTTCGAAATTCATTTCTAAGACAGCGATTCATCAAGAGATTGCGACCTGTCCAGCTTGCAAGACGCAGACGCATGAACTTTGCCGCTCTCCTGTTCACCCCGGTGTTGACTGTCCGATGGATCAGGCTTTGCAAAGTCTGTTGGAGATTGCTGGAAAGCAGAAATGGAAACGGTGCCCGAGATGTAAGGCTATGGTTAGTCTCTCGCATGGATGCGCTCATATCTATTGCCGGTAAGTGCCTCTGATAAACTCGAATGGGTCCGTTGGGTATGCTTGCAAAGTAACTAATGCCTTTCAGTTGTGGAAACGAATTCTGCTACGAGTGCCAGAAGCTTTGGAAGACCTGCAAATGTCATGTATGGCCTGCTGGATATCATCCTTAGGTCGTCGATTGTCAGGTCGTCCATCGTCATGTGTTTGGAAGGAGTATTTACCGTAAATGATCTGCGCAAAGTGACATGTCATTCTAAGCGGAGATATCGTATTTATTGGCAAAGGTATTCATTTGTACGTTACTACGTACACATGCCACGAGATCTGAGGAGTGTAAAGAATGTGGAGTCAGCTTTCACTTCGTATGTTTGACTTGCCTCTTCATAGTGGGGAGACATCGGGGTGGTTGGGAGAAGCAGGTATCACTCACTGATCGCCCGGCTTGAAGGGCGAAACCATGAGTCATTTTAACTACAGTACGTAGAAGTATTTACGAGAACGTGCAGCTTACATCTATCCATGCCTTCTTAGCATGCCAAGTACCGAAGACCGAACTGAATGGGGCCATGAGGAATGAGTCGGGAGATCGGTCCCCCCGATTCCTCATATGCCAAGCACCGAGCCCCGAACTCTTTAATTTGCCCGTTAGGGAGCTGGGAATATCTATAAAACGGGTTCTGAGGTTTTATTACCCTTATGGGCTCTATCAGGATTTGTAAACGCATCACGATGAGTCAAGACCTTCAAACTAACGACGCTGCAGCGAGCAGAGAATCTTTACAGTCCGAACATCATCATAAATATCACTCGGAAGCAGGACAGGGGAACAATCTAGGTGATGAAGTTGCACATGTTGCGAAGCAATTATCTTTATCTTCGGCCTCGGAAGAAGGGCACCTGCACTTATTACAACCAACGCCTGGGGGTAACCTCGACCCTTCATCTCCCGCATTTGATGCCCGCTTTTGGGTCAAGGAGTTCAACAAATTTCTAGAATCGGATCCTGACGCTGCACCTCCTCGATCCCTTGGCGTTGCCTTCAAACAACTGGGTGTGTTTGCATATGGGACTGCCGCTGAGCTTCAGAAGACCACAGCAAGTGTCGTGATTGAAGCCGCGACCTACCTAACACGATGGCTCGGGGAAATAGACAGGGCCCACGCGTGGATATTCTACGCGACTTTGAGGGGGTCGTTGAGAAGGGGGAGATGTTGCTTGTTCTAGGTCCCCCTGGCTCTGGGTGCTCGACTCTTCTCAAATCCCTGGCAGGGGAAACAGCAGACTTGAATGTGACGCCGGAGTCATACATCAACAGGTTCCCAAAATAAAATCGACGACTCTCAAGGTCGCGCGTGCCCAAGCAGTCCCCAATAGCGAGTTGCCCGAGAATGTAGGGAGACACTCCCGACGAGTGGACACAGCACTCCCAGGAAAACACACGCGACAGCTGTATGACCGATTATCGCGGAAAGAGGCGAGCGTGCTAGCCCAGCTCCGCACAGGCATAGCAAGACTCAATGGATATCTTTTTCGGATCAATGCCGCCGAAACAGATCAATGCGCATGTAGACAAGCAAGAGAAACTGTGGACCACTTTCTCTTTCGATGTCGGAAGTGGACTGCACACCGGACAGAAATGCTGCAATGTACCCACACTCACCGAAGTAACATGTCCTTCTTCTTGGGAGGGAAGTCATCCCCCGATGATCAAAAGTGGAAGCCGAATTTGGAAGCAGTACGAGCCTCGATACGCTTTGCGATCGCTACGGGTCGACTCGAGGCCACCTAGGCTTGCCGACAAATCGATAGAATACCTTTTCTTACTACCCCCCAGCACCTTGTGACAGACAGTAGACGCGCTTCAACTGCCGAGGATAGGATGTTGAACACTTGAAGAAACGCCTTCAAGCAAGTCTACTAACCAATACTAACTCACAGGGACCAGCTCTGAGTTTGGAAGCGGAAATGACAAATACGGAAGGAAATAGCGTATGGGCTCCAAGGAGACACGGCGTATACCCTAACATGCATGTACTGGTAGATTAGTGATAGTTGCCCTTTCGGCTCAGCCGCCGGGCGTTAATGAATTGTGTGTGTGTGTGTGTGTGTGTGTGTAGCGGATACATCAAGTGCACGTGAATAACATCATGTTCGAAATAGGATGTAGAAATATACATGCTCGTGGATATTGAAAGTCTAAGCGATGCGAATATCCTCCTGCCTATTCCCGAAAGATCATCAACTATCCCGGTTTCGTACTATACTCTAGAGATGAAACTTGGTATAGATATGTGGCTCAAATTGCCTTTGCTATACTTTAATGCGGAAATATTTTTTCCGGCCTTTTTAGTGGAGTCCGGGTTTCATGATCAATGCATATTCGGCCGATTTATCAAAATTGATATACTGTCAAAGGCAAACGTTAAAGAATGAGTTATAATAAAGTTTCTCTCCGGGGAAGCTGTTCGGAAAATAAGAAAATGACCTGCCCTTTTTATAGTAAAAGAAATTAAGGGCTTAACAATGAAAAAGGAGACTAGAAGAGGGCCACGAGCGGGGCTTAGACTATAGTACGGCGGTGCTTTGTAGTCCTTACTTAAGTAGGTGATAGGTAGTCTAAGCCAGTATCTTTACTTAGCCCTAAAGCCTTACACATTGAGAAATTATGCTGACTGCTGCCGTATATCTAGTATTTAAACCGTTAAGTCTCCCATCCGTTTGACTTCGACGTACCAGAAGACCTGTCTGCACTAAGTACCTTAACTTAAGATTAACCTTCATCAAGATCCTCCTTATTTCTGCTAAAGATTAACTGAACTTCAAAGCCTAAGTATCACTGCTTTATAATTAAACTTCTTTCATTATCCTCGGTCGTTTACATCTAACTGACAAAGCAAATATTTCTAAAATCGTATTTAACCATTCTTAATCTAATTCGGCCCTTAGTGTTTTGCGTCTCTTATTAAAAACTAGTAAGACAATATTTAAAAAATAGTTAAAAGAATTTTTAATTCGCAGAAAAGAGAGAGCCAGCAAAAAAAATTCTATTCTGATATAGGCTATACTATTTCTCAAAATGTCCGATAATCAAGCAAACGGAGAGGGACTACCAGCTGCCTCCTTAAGCAATACAATTACGTACCTACAGCTCCATCAGCCTCCGAGTATCGAGTCGGTTAGTAAAAGGGATAAGAAGGCAGACGGCAATGTAACTATTAGCTTAGTTGACAGGTAGGTTAGCAAGGCTGATAAAAAGGAACTTAAAGCAGTTGTGAAGGCAGTTGACAAGGCAGTTAACAAGGCAGATGACAAGGCAGATGATGATAAGACAGATGGAAAGACAGATAGAAAGACAGGTGACGAGACAGATGACGAGGATTCACGTTCTAGAAAGATGATACCATCGGAAAAGCTTTATATCATCGATGCTATCAATAAAGTGGATAAGAATGAACAGCAAATCCAGGCCGCTATAGAAAAGGCTCTGTCTTCCGATATTTTTCCCAGTTTCAGAGAAATCTACGTAGCTGTCTACCCCGACAAGTTCCCCAAGGATTATAAGAAAGAAAAGGCTACTAAAGTATATCAAAGTGAGAATTTTATCTTTTTTTTTCTGACTAGGATATCAAACGCTAATTTACGTAATAGAACTTAGCTTACTGATAGATAGCTTGGAAAAGGGACACCAGAAAGTAGACAAAAAAAACTGCTTCCATTTCAGAAACAATTCTAATCGTCCTCAAGCCTACGTAGAAGGAGAATTATCCTCTTACCACCACGAAGCCCATAAGAAAGCTACCCGATATTTAAAAATCCTCTACAAAGAGGTGAAACTTAATCCCTCTCCTAAACCTGATAATCCTCTATCAGAAAAGATGGAAGACGGTATATCTAAGCTTGATAAACTTAACAAGGGGATCAGAGAAGACAACAAAAAGAACAACGAAGATACAGACTTAGGAATTATTCGATATCAGGACTTTCTCGGAAAATGGCGACCTTTGTTCACTGCAAATAGAGAAACAAAGAAAGAATTACGGAAGTTGTTGTTGCAGTATTACAAACAGATGTACTATCTAACTACCTAGGCAAGTAAACCGCTGCACTACAAAAGAGCTAACAAGGCAAACAAGGGAGCATCCGACTAAGGAGCAGCTAGCCAGGGAGTAGCTAATCTAGGGGCAGCAAATCCAGGCTTAATTCAAGAAGGCTTTAATAACTCAGATACCTCTATTTTCTATACTATAACTCTGCAGAAAGAAAACACAGTATTTAGAACAAAGTAAGTTATAAGAACTACACCGCAAACGGTAGAGCAAGCTATTAAAAAAAGGGTTTACTACCTCAGGAGAAGAAATCCTGTATATTTAACGACTTAGACACAGGGCCTAATTTGTAGTTAAGAACAATACCGGAGATATCCGACTTATCTCCTTATCATCTGCCGGTAGTAAAATTACCCTAGATAGAGCTAAAGAGCTTAATATTCCCTTAACGCTCTAAGACCCGGCTGAAATCCTAGCTTTACGAGACTTAGTTAGCTCTGGTAGGGAATATAGATTAGAGTTTGTAGCCATTAGGGAGTGGGACACAAGCCGGAAAAAGCTTCTCTTTATTGTTGTCCTATTCTTCTACAAAAACAACAATATAACGATAAGATAAGCTATATCTCGTTCCGCTCTTATAAGAATATTAGCAACTTATAAAGCAGAGAACTTAATTATTCAGAGTATAACTAGAGAAACCGAGATATCCTTGGTAGAAGCTCTTACGTCTTAACTACCTCCTAAGGTAAGTGAGAAGATCTATACAGGCAGGAATGGCCCGCTTCTTCTTCCTTACGGGGAAGCGCCTCAGCCGTGGTGGTTCCAGAATAACCAGTAGCTTGGACCGCAGGCTACCTTCCAGGGAAACCCTGCCCAATAGCAGTACCTGTCTTTCCCACAGGGACTTAGTCCCTATTTTATGCAGTATTCTCCTCCAGGGCAATTCTAATATAACTCGCCTCAGTTTGTGCCGCCTCAGTTCGTGTCTCAGTTCGGGAAGGCTTCTCCGCAGGACTACCAACTATTTCCTCAGCCCCAAGCTGGGCTGAGCTCCATACAAGCGTGGCCAATTTTTGACCTAATGACGAAGCATGGTGCTAAATCACCAGTGCCTAGTCTGATGGAACTCGATAAAAAAGCTTAATCAGTATAAAATCGTTTGATTCTGGTGACACCCTGATAAATCTAGTTTGAGTTTGAAGCCGATACTGAATTTTCCAGTGTGTATTCAGCACCCGGTTTGATACGTTACAGCTTCTTTATTTTCATTATTAGATCCAAATTTGAGATAGCATACGATTTCTCTAGAGAGACTAAATTTACAATTTATTTTGATAGGTTGACTAATAAGGTCGTCTGTTAGTGAATGGAATTACAAAGGATCTATATAATAATTAAGCTACTTGATATTATATAAAACAAAGTCTCGTAACTAGATACTGTGTAGTCTTAAATAAAATATATAATTGAGCTTTTACTAACCTATTCTTAGGCTGAGTACTTGACTATATGGTCACACTTAAAACTGTAGTAACTTTCTAACTATGAATTACGAGTAGAAACAATGAATGTACTGTGTTAAGAAAATTAGACTCGCATGCCTCAACGTGATTTGCAAATGCTTGGACACTAGTATCGCGATAAGGAGTTAAAGAGATAGGGGAAAAAATGGTTTCGTTTCCCTTCCGCATGGAAAGTCAGGAGCCTGGCCGACACAACATGAATCCTTTCTTTTATCTTCAATAATTTGATGTTGCATTGAGTCAACTACAGCCGTTGAATGAGCACTGTGGCTGATATATTATTGGCCGAATACTTATATACTCTTCAATATGATGGACTTCCCTTGCCTGTAACATACAGGTTTGTAATGATATACTTGCAGATAGATTGATCATGTCCGTCGTTCTATTTCTGCGAGATGGGAACTTAAGAAAAATTAATGCGCGTGAAAAGAGACTAAATTCGATATTAATTACCTCAGGGATATTTGGTACACTATTATGAGGAATCGCCTGGAAGAGTCACCATTATGAGGAATCGCCTGGAAGAGTCTCTGGAAAGTCGGTCGAGACTACGTTCAGTGTTCTTTGATCTAGACGTAGACCTGGTGGGTGTTGAATTGGGGACTTGGGGTTGTAGTTGACGGAAAACCCAAATTAGATGCTTTCTGTGTCTTAAAGACCCGACATCGATCCTAGAAATCATTGTAATGCTACTTAAGCTGTAAATTTGACACGACTAGGCTTGATTTAGAATACTTGAAGTTATCTAGTAAGTAGAAGAATCGTGAAAAATGTTAACCTTGAAATTCACCAGTACCTGAGCACAAATTCTGGAACTACGCCAAAGGCTTTTTGAAATATCTCTGGGTTTATTTGGTTATTATTTCGACGGATTGACAATTTCAATCCATATCACATTATCGTAATTTATTGAAGCGTTTCAGCATAATCATATTATTTTCCTGGTAGATGTAAAGAGAACCATCAGATGGATAATCATTGAAATATCTCTAAGAAGTATGTTTTGATGCTAAAATACGATCGAAGTCTTGAAAAATGCAACCAAATCTTATGACGAACGATTTCATTCTTATAAATTCTTATAGCACATAGATTCCCGTTGCCTAGTTGCTAAAAGAGCTAGATTGAGGGATTCAATCTATCCTTCCAGAAGTCTAGCTGAGATATCTGACGATACTGAAGATTTGAAACATTTAATGCCGGAGGAATTGTACGAAGAGTGGCCTGAGTGCTTCTCACAACCTTTCTCTATCGACCCTGATTCTTATACATCAGTGGAATTCCCCATGACGGAAACGACCAATGGCAAGATTCCGCAGTATACGAGTGAAGAGCTGTGCATCGACGAAGAGTACGGCATAGATCACAGTGACATCAACCATATGGCAGACGAAGAGCAATTCGGATTTGAGTCTTGCCAACAAGTCTTTGATTATAACCGAAATATCCCGGGTGAGGAAATTTTAGGTAGTCAGCTCGAAAGTGATCTCGTAAGGTAAGTGTTTGGTAGCAGCCGGTGACATATTGTACAGAAAAATCTTACAATATCTGATTTAGATTACATCAAAGAGTCAAGTTCGTGACTTGTGCACCATTTCAAGTATCCGGTGGGCCATGCTAACGATATAATTTAGGGCCGTTGAAGATCAGTTCCTCCAGCAAAACAGTCGGAATGAAAATATCCAGGATAATATGCAACAATTGGCAGAAAGTTACGACGAAATACAAAGGTTGAAAGGAGTTATTTCCAGTCTAAAAAGGCAGTTGAAAGAGTTGAGTTCGGAAATAGAGATCAATAAAGACGCCAACGGAAGATATAAGCGGTACTGAAAGACTTTTCTTATTTACTACAATCAATTGCCATCAGTCAAATCCCAAGGCACTTTTAAGAGGCTCCACTTTCAATGATCTAGCAGCCCATATAGTGTCATTCGGTCGACTCACCCAGTTGAGATGTCGGAGAAACATTCCGTTCGGCCCCAAGTAAGGTTTTTATCACGTAACCAATTTATTGAGATTTGAAGACTACCATCAAATTGGATTAAAAGTAATGAGGTATGATGCAATTGCATGGTTCTGCAAAGTCATCGACTCTACTATGTTTATGATCGAGGCTTTTTGTGACGGAATATAAGTGGGTGGGATGATAGCGTTCACGAAGCGGAACTTAATGGCTTATTTTTAAGTAAACTAGACGAATATTCGTCAGCTCTATTCACTTACTTTGGCATGTCCAAGATGGAAGCATGACAACTGGTACACTAATAGGAAGCACAGCTAGGTCACGTGCTTAGCGATGGTTTTAAATTGACACAGTGGCCGGATGGGATGTAGGGCTAGTTTGCTGGTGTAGGGCATTTCTTAGAACTTAAAAATGACGAACATGATTTTAAACTTGACATAAAGTATAGATGGTACTTAATCGAATTAATTGAGAGTTTACTCCAGCATTGTGCGACACTTCCGATGATCGATTTCCACCACTCTCAATTCATTGTCGCATATGGAGCAATGCAAGATATATCTTCAGTTTCCGTGCCTGGCACCATTGCAGCAGGGTCTTCCATGAGAAGACCATTGTCGACCATTCCAAAATCCTCTTCCTGGCCCTCCCAATTTGTTTCATCAAGGTCTGTTCCGGGCAAACAAGTTGAAAGGAATGCATAGTCAGACTCATTCATTTTCTTGGCAATATTGTTGGCAAGAGACAACGTATTATCATGAACCTCTTTCAGGATATCGTTCAAGTCGGTCCGGGGACATGATCTTGGGGGGTTGAATTGACTTCATCCAATTGCTTCTGAAGACGGGATGTCTCTACTCTCAGCCGTCGAACTTCATCGAATGCCCGTTGTTTTTCCGTTTTGACTTGTTGAATAATGCTATTGAGCTTAAGCCTTTCATCAGCCGCGTCGTTTTCTTGCTGTGTGAGACTTGCTGCTAGTTGTTCATAGCGCGTATCGGCCTTGTTGATGATATCGTAGAATGAAAGTGAGCGGATACTGTCTGTCATTGACTGAAAAGCATATCCGTTGATTGGCTCGAATTTTCATACTGATTATGGTGACCTACACGCCATAGGTGCTCAAATGATAACCTCACTTCGTTTCGGCTGCCCAGATTTTACTCTAAGAAAACAATTCTCCAAACTTTCAAAATTTCGTCTCATGTATTTTGGTTAGTGGCAAATTATTGATCTATTCTCTTCCAAACGGGCTATCCAAAACGGGCTATCCAAAACGGGCTGCTCAAAACGGGCTGCTCAAATCGGGCTGCTCAAAACTCAGGGGGTACTTTGAAACTAGAAGGATAGCGGATGATGAGTGATGGCAGACCAGAATTCGTGTAATTAAATCATTGAAAAAGCAAAAAGGTCAAGCTATGGAGGATGAGGTGTATTCACCCATGCTCTATCCAGCCCTAATGTCAAGATATATTGAACGTCCCTCATCTATGCTTGAAACTGACTTGGCTTTTTTTCAAGCGCCATCTAGACGCTTAAGAGTAGCCTATCAGCTCCTTGGTACTTTAGGTTTTCAGTCTTTCTCCTAGGTCTGACGGCAGATCAAATACTATCCACTTGGCGAAATTTACGGCGTTACCATCATCAAGAAGTTCCATCATTGGCTGGTGTGCTAGGTGAGGATACAAACCTTGCGAAAAGTTAGCCTTCATTATGCATGGTACTATGCCTATATCACATCTGTACAACTGCGTATTAATCTCTGGAATATTACAGGGGAATCTGGCGGTCTCTGCTTTCTCACATTTCAGCCGTTCTATGATATGGTACTTCTGTTGACTTCAGCTCTTCGACATAGAAATATTCAATGCTGTTTCAACTTTTAATGTTTATTTCAGGGGCACATTTTTATTTTCATGTATTTATCGAGAGATTCATTCAGAATATCTTTGTTACGAGCATGTCAGCAAACATGCAGGCAAACTCTATGGCCCGGGTAGCAGATTTTGAAATGGAGATTGAGCTGTTTCTCGTGGCAGAGAAATACAAAAGTTTGGTGGCAGAAGCCGGCAGGCGCCTCCTAGAGCTAAGTCAGCGCGGAGCTTGTTATATTCTTGAGCACAGGGCGGAGTACTGTTACCTCTTGGAGATTATCATTCAAGAAACCAGAGAAAACACCAGCGTTTACTTGGAATGGCCCTGGAGGAGGGGGCGCGAGGTAATTTTGCTCGTGCCACTTTATGTGCAGACATGGTTCATGAGTCTAACATATTTGCTGAGCAACTGGAGAGCCGGCTGAAAGTGAGCCGAGCCATATTGGGGCTTGGTATTTGAGTCGAATCATCTGCTAAGAATTTTAAGGTGGGAGAGTCCTGCCAGCGACAGAGATGTTGGCCAGTAGTGAGCTTGGCATGTATTTGACGACGCGACCAATCATTTTTTTGGATTGGAAGCTGCTTTATTGGAAGATTTTCTAGGCGGTGGTCCGCGTGTTTATGACTTCAGTGCAATGAAGAGAAGAGGCTTTCAGACAATGAATATGGCGCATTCCCGTGAAAATTTGTGTTTTCCGTAGTCACAGGATCAGCTGTCCGACTTTTGACAGGACATCCACCAACAAAGCGTAGATGTCCAATTATCGCTAACAGCACTCCAACTAAAATATACGAAATGTTTTTATTTTCCATAATTCTTTGTTCTATCTTTACAGCAGAGGAGTAAAAGTAATCCACGCCCGTGGGAGTATATATTGAGATCTCTTTAATTGGCCAAGCCGTTTCGAATTAAACGATCAAATAAGAAATTTATCGACTTTTCTTGCAGAAAAAACAAGTTCTGCAGGTTACCCGAACGAATTGAAATTGTCAACAACCAATATTCCATTGGCTCATCTTTGGCTACATTTGTGCCATAAGCTCACAAGCGAGCTTCCAGCATGCTCGATAACTTCGTCTTTGGGTAATGTAATCCATTTTGGATCCCAAACCCCTTCTTGTCCCCATCTATTACAAAGATGACTGCAGAAATTCAATCTTATCTCTAACCAAGGGGTATTTGGCTTCATGACTTGCTTCCCTCTCTGTAGAATCGCCTTTGTCTGCGACAGTCGAAGATGCTGATACATTCAGTAGAGGGCAAGGCTGGTTCAGGTGTCTCTGCTTGATTATGCACTCTCTTCGCTGGTCTTGGTCAGCCTCTTGGGCCATAGGTGTGTCTATTGAGGCCATTGCAGCTTGATTTATCTGAGTCCTCGGTTTGCGTAGAAAATGGCTTCGGCCCCGAAGCGTGGCGCCGTACTTTCGTAACATCCAAGGAACGGGCATTACAGTCACCATCACCAAAGCACAGATGGTCATGATCCATTCAAATCCGATACTCTTGATCAAAGGACCAGTGAATAACGGGAAAGGGCCTGAGAATGAGTATCGCATAAAGATATCTATAGCCAATGCTGATGTGCCGAGCTCGGCGCCGTAGACTCGATTTTTATAAAGAGGGTAAGTTAGCTAAAATTAACGTTAGCATCAATATGCTGACAAGGCGTAGAGCAAAATAACCTGTGACAGCGCAAATCCGAGACCAAATAAAACTCCAGCAAAAAGAGGGCAAGTCCAATGAATTGTTGGACGCACTGACCATGCTAACCTGCCAACGCCGCTTAGTGAATGGTGCGTAATAAGTTGGGACAACCTACCAGAACAAGCTCGTCGGGAAAATTATAGCTGCAACCATTGCTCCGTCAAGACTGTCCTCGGGAACTGTGTCGACAACCGGACGTTTACGACGATTCAGGAACGCGAGAGTTGGTGCAGTGAGCAATGTGCCGAGCAATAGCGACAGGAATGCCAGGCCGACCTGGTAAGTAGAGAATCCATAATTCTCCTGGAGAATGATCGGAAAGCCATCATAAAGAATGAAAATTACGACTTGGCTCATAGTAACTATCAGAGTCGTAGGGAAGATGATGGGCTCCGCGATTAGTATGCGGAAAGGTCGAACAAAGGCTGGTCCAAGAGTCTTGCGCCAATTCTCATGCGGCAGGTTTAGCATCTTCCGTCTGATTTCAGGCTCATAGGTCTCAGGTACGAACGACATGGCCAGGAGGCATATACCAACAAGTATTGCTGTAAGCCAAAAAGTCGATCGCCAGCCGTAAGAAGCAACAATGGACTCGCCGATGACGGGGCCAATCTCTGGTGCGGCGGCTCCTCCTAGACCATACAAAAGGAAAAGAGGGACTGCGAGCTTGTCTTCGGGTATTTTCTATAAATCGTTCAAAACTCCTGCAAACACTGTTGCAGCGGGAGAGCCAACAAGACCTGACACAGCGCGGCCCACAGCGATTGTTCGAAAATCCCTCGCAGAAGCCGCAACGACTGTGAAAACAAGATGAAGAAGTAGGGAGGCTTTGTAGATGTACTGTCGTCCAAACTCCTCTGATAAGGCCGACGTGCACATCGGTCTAACAATAAAACCCATCGCATAGAATGTAATTGGCGCTATTGCTAGCGTCTTTCCAACCTGAAACTCTTGCATGATACCAGGTATACTAGCAATATATATCGAGGTTGCTATTGTACTGGGATTGCGAGAGTCAACACTTGATTGTTTCTGGGGAAGAGAAATTCTTACATTACCAGAAATGAAGCAATGGCGCCGGTAGATATCAGGACTTTTCTTCGAAAAGACCAATTGCGGGCACTGTACTGAGCTGCCACTCCGTTCTCTGAGCCCATTCTTGGCCACAATTGCGGCTCGTGCGAGTCAAGCGCTCGATGTTCAATCACGACACATTCCTTCTCTACACTCGATGAGTCGTCGATATAATTTGCTTCGAGAACAATAGGTTAATACTCTCATGTTTCAGCGTTAAGAACCATGGTACCATACTCATTCTTGAGACTTTGAGAATCATCGACGAGTATTCTTGAGGATATTCAATAGAAATTGTTTTGTGACTGGAATAACTTGAGAAGAGCGCAGACCCTCAAAGTTTTATAGCAATCGATCAAGGAAGCCGCAGCATATTCCAACTCAACTATTTACCGTAAGGCCTCAAATGAGATTATGTCTCAAAATGAAAATTTGATTGACTACTATCTCATGAGTACGCGAAATCATCATTCTCTACACTAAAAGTGAAGCCAAATTTTTGAGTATGTCTTTGTCTTAGTTGAAATTAAGAGAACTTAGAGTGTTTCAAACAGTACGGAAAAAAATCATTACCTAAGCCATGCTCAATTGCGGGAATTCAAAGTACGGAAAGAACCTCCGCAAAGCCAGATAAACTCTCGCTGAATTGGTTAATTGACAAATAGTGTTTTATTTTTCAGTCATTTTAACTACAGTATGGCCTTAATGAATATCAGAAATGGCAGGACTTTTTTCCTTGAGATGAGACAGACGAAAATCTCCATGCGAAGGTAAGTGACAGCACATCTTATATCATGTGCCCCAAAAAAATCGGAGATGATGGAAATTTTGAACGGAGTAGGCGCATACATATTCACAATATTGCAAGGGACAGCGTTGGTGTAATTAACCTGACCGCCTGTTCTAAGAGTGTGCTGTTGTCAGAAGAAACAGCGAAATCCTACTCTGTTACGTAATCCGGAAAGTAAACTAGTTAAAACCCGCTGAAAAAATAACAATCTCATTAAGATGTACATCCATTTGTTAAAGTCGTATCCGAAAATCTCTCTGTAGAATTTTCCTTCTGCAAGTCATTTCGGCTTGCTTTCAGGATCTTGACAGCTTCGACAATATTATTCGTGACGTCATCCAACTCCATTTCAAGCTTTTTAATCGTCTGCCGGTATGCTTCGGCTTCAGTCTGTATGCTCGAAAGCCGCGTCTGCAGCTCTTGCTCTTTAATGAAAAATTTTTCTGCTTCAATGCTATAATTGTGGACATGTTCGACCAGTGTTTTGTTCTCTAGCTCTAGGCGCTGGATGATCTCCGTAAAGCCCCCGGAGCTATTGGCTAATTTTGTTTTCTGAATGATTCAATTAATATTATGTTCTGACGATGAGAGTACAAGCTCACCTGACGCTTTTCATCATGACCATCATTCGTGCTGTCTTTTTGGAATATTCGAGGATCAACGGCTTCAATAGATTTGCCTATTTCATCTATGATATTTTGATAGAGCCCCACGGTACCTCGACCTAGCGTAGTTTCGAGCAGATGTCTCTTCTCCTCGGAAACAGACCATGCGTAACCATCCTCCACAGAAGGCTGAAGGCGTATACGGTTAGGTGGAACGGTGAGGCCGAGCTGATTATCTGGTATATTTTATCATAGTTAGCTCAACTCTAAAATCTCATGAACAAATACTAACAAATGTGGTCTGCTAAGACCTCACGGCATTCCTGCCTTCGCTGTGCCCGCTTGGTGTTGCTATTAGACATGATGACCTATCCTTGACGACAGTGATGGCTAAGGATCATGTGTACCTATATGTATATATTTTTATGTGACGCTTTCTATGGTATTTGTAAATTGATAGAAAGTCGACGAAAGCTGAAATATATCAGAGATGCCACGTATGAAAGATGCCCATATTGGCTTTTTGCAGTCATAATTTCCAAAGACTTATCCAAATAAAAAAGATCATTTTCCAGCCTGCAATTCAACATGGCATGCACAGCAAAAAGAAAAAGCAAAGTAATGCACAGATTGACTGAACAACGGCATATGCCAACGGAGCTACAGAGTTCGAAGAAGGAAATTTGAGGGCAGCTCCATAGTTTTGAAAATAGTCTAAATTAAAAGTCGAGCTGCATAAATGAGGTTTTATTGTCCTGCCCACTGAAAACATATCTCGAGATATTCAAACTCCTCTCCCTGCAGCCAAGTAAGATAAATAAGATAGATAACACACCCTGAATTTGATAAAAGCCGTCCATGATCCATCCTATAGTTCTCGTATACTTGTTAACCTTTTTCCATTCGACAATGGCTCAGTCGTCTCAAAAATTGCACAGTCAAAACGCACGGTAAGGCGTGAATTTTATCCTCATTCAATTTTTGAAGGATTAACTAAAAGTCTAACAAATAATAGACCCACAAACTCTAAAAACGAGAAGAATAGTAAAGCTATGCAAAGCGTACGAAATTGCTCGTACGAAGGCTTTCGTCGAATTACCCTCCGAATGGGACGGTCAGGAGGGGCTCCTGCGAGGCAGAAGGATGTGCCAGCCCCCACTGTTCTAAAACAGAAACAAAAGGGGGCAGTTAATATATCAAAGAGATATCTGACAGTACAGAAAAGTCGTGAAGACTGGCTCAAATGTCTTCGCCCTCGCCGATATGCCGGGGTAGCTCCAGTTGATGGCATGGATGCACGACGTAAGGCTAAAAGCACAAAGCTTCGGAATTAGCCTCGAGAATATCTCGAATGGAGGATTGATGATCAAGACCAGCTTTTCAAATTCGCCGCAATGTAGGGAGATTAAAGTCGTAGGGAGGTCTAGCTCGTATTGCTTTCGATCATAAGCCAATGCGGACAACTAGACCCATTATTTCTCATTTCTATGTTCACTAAATTTATTTAATGGATCCTAATTCCCTTGAGCAGTGAATAAATAAATGTTGATCACTATCGTGCTTCCCATTCTAGAATCGTTTCAAATCAATGTAATTGAACCCTCGGTGTGATGATACATTTGGATACTCGTGAGAGACATCTTGAGATGGACGTCATTGAATAATGAAAACTACGATAATTGGTCGACCAAAGGCCAAAAATCTTACGGAGATGATATCGATGCCCAGAAGCGTATTAATGTGCCTGATAGCAAGGGCCAGTCGTATAATATAATGCTCCAAATTTAGTACATCTAGATGTGTTGTTCTTATTATTGAATACATGGAATCTCTTTCCAATGAGAGATGAAGTGAACTATCGTATATTTGAGTGGTAGTCTCATCTCACTTGAAACAGCACTAAGAGTAAGTTGATACTGACTCCCCAGACGCGCTCTCTTGAGAATACTATTGATAATGCAGACTGGGTACCGCGAAGAAGAGCCAGCTAGTGCCATGAATAACCAACATGCACTAGAGAAAAGAAGAAAAGAAAGCCATGCAGAACCCTCAAATTCTGGTGATCGTTACGTCTAAGTCACTTCCACTCGGGATGGCACGACATAGAAAAGGCTCCAATTTGGCCTTGAGCAAGATTAAATCCGATTCCTTTATTCTTGCAACCATCCGACCACTTACAAACTCTGATCCGGTCTCCAGACTTCCACGGAGGCAAAAATTCCAAGTTTTGGGGTCCTGTAAATTTCTCAGGTAAAAGAAAAGTATCATAGAGGTGTTTCTGCTCTGAACCATTTGTTCTCAGAAACGATTTCGGTATACGGCCAAAAGAATCATTTGCTTGGTTGTACCCCATGGCTTCGTTCCCTTGGATCCATGCATGGACGGCGATTGAGTCTCCCGGCCTCGCTGTAAGAAATTCCTGAGTTTTACCATTGTATATTTCGTTCACGAAAAAAAATCTGTGGAGTGGGTAGAACTTTGAATGCGTTGACGCCGGAGATCTCTAGGCATCGAGCTGAAGCGTTCTCAAGGAATTTTTCAATTATTTGAGAAGCAAGTCGTTTAAGCTCAGAATTATTGAGCTGAATATTATTTTCTGCCAGGTACTCGAGTTCCTATGAAAAGATTGTCAACGAGGAGCTCATATTTATCGAGAAATGGACTAAACTTGCTGCATGAAGGATGCGGAAATGCATCTTGGCTTTGCTCAAAACGATACCGGTATCACAGACTTCACCAAGGCTTTCGACGTCAGCCTTGTGGGTAATTGACGGCATGTTCGATTTCAATCCGGCTCTAGTTTCTTTTAGTTGAGTAGCTGTTGATTCTAGGAAAAAAGACTATTGAGTAAAGGAGACTAGGGATATTTATATGCTTACATTAGCACTAAATCAAAAAGGCCTAGGCTATATAATTCAACCAAAGAATGCTGCGCATGCAGAAGACTGGATTTCAAATATGAAAATTTCAATACATGAATGAGTTGGAATGCAGGGTCCCTGGGGAATTTTAGGCCTTGGATGCCCACTTGCCTCTGGGGAAACCACCTGTAGCTTCATCATCATCCTCCCTTCCTAACTTCATTCGATCGGTACTTTGCTCCAATATCTCCTTTTTCCTGTATATCGCAGAAACTTACCTCCAAAACCACATAGTCTCACCCAAATACCTATTCAGGCCAGACGCATAGGACCACTCTTTGTTTCAGCCAGGATTCCTCTTTATGTTGAAGCCGGATTAAGGGTACAGACACGCACATAATTTTGAATGAGAGCGAAAATCTCTTGAACAAAACGAAATATTACCATTAAAATTTCGCTCTTATAAGGTGTCCAATGGTGGATCTAGACATATAAAGATGAACAGTAAAGATGCTCCTCATTGCAGCCTGAAAACCAAGATCTGCTTGAGGTTCCTAATCGTGAGGCAAGCTGCAGCTTTAAGTAAACCAAAAACAGGATCGATCAAGATGATTACAAGGTACCCACTCGAAATTAGCATCATCCCTCTATACTCTTTGAAATCCAATCAGAATCTTTGTTTGACCCCCATATGCACTAAGAGTGTCTGCCTTATTTGCTGTAGTGTTGTCGAATTAAAAGTCGATTAAGACTAAGACTGCCGAAACTTAGATTAACTTAGCTGGGTACATCGCAAATAGAATAAAAAAATGAATTAAATAGCACGAAGAAACTGATTACGAACGGCCTTGTACAGGAAGTAACTTCATCTCGAACGCAGTTGCTGGATTAGTTAAATCTTTTCTGGTATGTTTTCGCAATACTCTGCCTTGGGAGAAAGGTAATAGCTTCCAACATATTAATTTTCCTTATCGATGACATCTTGCTCCTCTCCTGTTGAGATAGGTCTCTTCGGATCTTAAACCAAGGACCTTATGTCTGACACGCATTACAGACCTTCACCGAGGCCTTTAAGGGACTAGCTAGATCGAATACACCATATTTAACCTTTTACCTTCTATAAATCGATGTTCTAACAATCATATGTGCTGTATAATTTCACAGGTACAGTATACAAAATATTACTCGATCGCGGAGCCTGCTTTGACTGATGACTGTTTTTCCTTTCCTGGGCCCTACTGGGAAGCCTGGGAATGTGTAACCGATTGGTCATGCGTTTTAAGTTAGAGTATGCTGTACAATGGCTATTTACAGTACAGTACAGCAGTTTTCAAATTTATTTATTTCAAGAATGCTAAGTAAGTAAATCAGACCGACTTTATCATTGGTCCATGTATCTGACAAATCAAATACAAACATAGCTTGCTACTAATGCCCTCATCCAATAAGTTTTCGTAATGCTGGTTTATTTTGATACTGCTAGTTATTTGAGAGACCCGGTGGGTCATTGGCCCGTCAAACTCTTCTGTATTCATACTTGGCCAAAAGCACAAAGGGAAAACTGATGGTCTCCACTGATGAAGCATAATTAGAAGATATCATCGTTTGCAATTATCAGCCAATCATAACGATAAAGATTTCTTAATTACGTAGGGAAGGCATTGATGACATACCGCGTGAAATTTAATCTACATACGGTTTTAATTCTGTTTCCGGACAGTAACTGGAAATGGTTGCGCACCATCAATTTGATTTATGAGATAATTTAGAATATTAGCCGCATGTATATGCGATTAAATCTCTCCGCAATTCTACCTTGTTGGTCATAAAGGGAGGAGCATTGTGAATATAAAACAATCTCTTTCCACGACTGGGAATTGTGAAGTCTGGCGGAATCTAAGACAATGACATCCCCAACAAGCGAGCACGTTTCTCTTTCAGAAGAGAAAACAGGCCAATTTCCACAATCAATAATGTCCGAAACAACTTATTCGGTTGATGCACAACTGACTGATAGTCAATGGCAGGTGAGTGGGAAATAAAACGTAAATGGATGAATTTGTGCTAAGCATTTCAAGAATTCTCAAGAGATTTCCAATCAGCCCGAACTTCCTCCGAGTCCATTTCAACCTCTCATTGAGGAATTGAGCAGATTAACACAAGATAACCCAGAAAAAGCCCATCATGCCTCGAAGATATTGAGACTTTATTCTACTCTCTGGGAATGTCATGTTACCAAAGTTCTATATCTCCAGCGGCTCGAAGAAGAGAATGAAATTCTTCGGGCATCAAACATTCAGTTATGTCAGGAGATCCAAGCTATGGATCGCCGCCATGTCAACCAAGAAGCCTTAGTCGCCTGCTATGGTCAGATCTTTGAAAGAATACATGCGGAAACGGGCCCCATAATCAGCTATTGGAACGGCTACTCCGATGCTCCATCATCTGGAATCTCTAGAAATGATGTAGACGGCGCAGCTTCTAGTGAATAGAGCTGTGTCTTCTCCCCGAGAACGAATTTGGCTCTACACAAGGACTATAGTCCATCGATATTACATGCTGTCGCAAGATATTTATCGAAAATCAAAGACTAAGAGTCAAATGAACAAAGGGGAAAGTAGGAATCGAGAAATTCAACATTCTGTTCGTTACTATCGATAATGAGATTTGCTTCTACCTAGACCTCGCCAAACGCGGGTTTGGGTTGGGTTTTCAATTTCCTTACCCGCCCACGGGCAGCCCACCGCGGGTTTTGGCCTTGATGAACCCGCCCACGGGTTCTTGGCGGGTAGCAGTGCCGCACTCGTATTACAATACTGCGCGCACCCCACCTGGCGGTGAGGGTGCGCGTCACAATTAGAACAATTGTCAGAATTAGAACAAATTCACACAACCAGCCTTCGTGAAGCTATTACCATCCACCATTATGCCGTATCGACCCAAAATTGACGAATCTCGTGTGGCTGAGGCTTGCGAAGCCGCCAGTCTCCTTGAAAACCCGAATTTGTCGCAAATCGCGAGGCAATATGGTGTTTCATATGGGGTATTGCGGGGACGCATCCGCCAGGGTAAACAGCCTCGTACAGCACCAAAACCTGAAAATCGAGCTCTTGATAATACTCAGGAGGAAGCCTTGATTCTGTGGATTGTGGAATTGAACAAATATCATATGCCAGTAACCCCGGCGTTGCTCCATGAGATGGCGCAGCTCTCGTTAGTTCGCGCAGGCTCAGATCATATCTTAGGCGATCGCTGGGCTTATCGCTTTATTAAGCGTTTGCCAGAGGATGTGAAACTATCGCCAGTGAAGCAGAGAACGAAGGAGTATAAGCGTATTAAGGCAGAGGACGCATGGAAGCTCGATGTGTGGTATATGAAGCTGAAAAATGTGATCAAAAAGAATACCCCAGCACGGTTGGTATACAACTTTGACGAATGTGGTTTCCAACCAGGAAAAGGCAAGAATCGAAAAGTGTTAGGGCAGGAAGGAGGGCCTGATCTTGGAGAAAACGAGCATTCAGAGACTATTACTGCTCTAGAGTGTATTGCTGCAGATGGTTGGTTTATGGACCCGTTGTTCGTTTTTAAAGGTACCACCTTCCAAGAAGTTTGGTATGACAACAGCGAGGGCCTTCCACCACGTACACTTACAGCAGTCTCTCCAAATGGCTGGATTTCTGATGAACTACTTCTTGAGTGGCTTGGTCACTTCCAGGAAGCAACAAAAGAGCGAGTAGAACCTAATGAGAAGCGTATTATGATCTTTGATGGTCATAACTCTCATCTTACGGTTGAATTCCTCGAAAAATGTCAGGAATATGAGATTTTACCAATCGCATTTGAGCCTCATACAACTCATATATCTCAGCCTCTTGATGGCAAGCCTTTTTTGGCTTATAAACAGCATTTCAAGGTGGTTAATAATGAGATGTCGTACTTTGCAGGTATGCCGGCTGGTAAATCAGAGTTCTTAAGAGTCATCACCAGAGTACGCGCCCGTACTTTCAACACTCGAATTATCCGAGATTCGTTTACAGAACGTGGTATTTTCCCAGTCAATGGCAAAGATATTGTTAAGAAGCTTCGTATGAAGCTTCCAATAAGTTCTGAGGACCTTGATATCGATACATCTCAGCTACGACTACACGGAGAAGAGCATACACCACCTCCTCCTGAACCTGGATCATCCAGTATTGAGAATTCACCTCCAAAATCAATACAAGCTGCCAAAAGGAATCATCGGAAGCTGGAGAAGCTATTCAGAAAAGAGAGAATATCCCCAAAGCTTCAGCGAGGGTTAAATCGAGTTCTGAAACATCAGGGTGTTATCATAGAACACGCAGCATTAACCAAAGATATTGTTCGTCGTATATCAGCTGCACGTCGTCCTCTACAACGCCAGTTTCACAAGCGACAGGTAAAGCCACTCTCTGGCTCTAATATACTGAGTGTACGTGATGCCAACTACTCAATTAAAGCCAGAAAGGAGAAGGAAGCAACAAAGGTCGCAAAACAAGCTGCAAAACGAATAGGCCACAAGCTCAACCAACCAACAGCAACAGAGGTTTCACAGGCAAAGCAGGCATCATTAGATGCGGAAAAAGCTGCCCGAGAGGGTGGATTACTTTTTTGGTTCGATTCAAATCCAGTGCGTTGAAAAACGTTGTAAATAGTTTCAATTTGTTCTAATTCTGACAATTGTTCTAATTGTGACGCGCACCCTCACCGCCAGGTGGGGTGCGCGCAGTATTGTAATACGAGTGCGGCACTGCTACCCGCGGGTTGCCCAAAATACCCAAAAATATGCATAAATCGTGGATAAACCTGATTAGTCACCTAGTGTAATTTTGGTAATTTATCTCTGTCACGCTTTTGGGTAGATGTTACACTGAAACAATAAACGCTATCGACCTGGAAATATATATTCTCTATATTAAAATCACCGCCCTTACTACTTCACCCACACATCCGAAGGGACCATAGGCCGCATCGATGATTTTATGCAGATTCATCGATTCAGAATCTTTTAAATGAGCTCAAAATTATTATCTGATGATTTAAATCAGTGATTTGGACCTTCTCAGTAGCCTTCCCAAAGTCATATTCATCTCTGGGCGGGTTTTACGCGACTCAGGAATAGATAGATCCAAACGCACGACGCGAGTCAACAAAATCCACAACCAAGCGCTCAAGATGAAAAAAAAAATCCTTTCTAATATGCACGACCTATTCCTTCAGTATAGCGTCTTCTTCCTCGTCATCGCGATCAATACACCAGTCTTTCAGTCCTCTGCTGTCTATTCAGCCGTTATCTGACGCTTTCTTGGACTCTGACATTCAATCCTCTGTAAGAGAATAAGCCCCTCCCATTGGCCTCTGAATGTCGTAAGTCGACCTCTGCGTATACTAAGATGGACTGTAGCCTTTCAGTAGACCCCGCATAACCTACGACAGAACCTCTCGAAGACCTCCAGCGACACTCAGGTGTGTGGGACCTCAACACAGAAAGAAATGGATTGCGTACGAGTTACATCTAGAGAGAGAGTTTCTTGAATGGTGGAATGGAACGGAGTACGGCCAAAAGCTGAACGGAGATGGCCAATCCCGAATTAAATGGTCCACCGAATCGCGTCACGCTGAGGTGTGGAAACACTTTGACCAAGTGGCTGATATTGATTCTGGACGTCCTCGAGTCATCTGCCAGGCTTGCCTTACTGTGCTTGATCATCCACAATATAAAGGAAATGGGACAAGCGCTATGAGTCGACACAAAAAGTCCAATACCTGTCGCAAAGGGAAGAAAAAGGGATTTCATCAGTCACTGATTTCGGATTCGTTGCAGAATCATTTCACGAGGGAACCACCCAATGTCCACAGGGTGACAGCAATCCAGATTGAGGAGCAGTTATTGAAGACAATTACCTGTCTCCGTTTGCCATTTCAGACAGTGGAGAATCCGGTGTTTCAGAGGCTGCTTAGCCTTTTATATTCTGGTCCCGGGGAATTAGAACTCCCGTTAGCCAAAACCCTGCGAAGACGGCTCCGGGATGCAGTTACCCATCAGCAGGACTTACAGTTACAAGATCTGCCTGACGATGCTAAGGTTTCCCTCGCTTTGGATTGTTGGACTAGTCCGTTCCAGCAGGCATTTATGGCCATCACGGTTTATTTCATTGATAAAGATTGGAACTATAGGGAAATGCTCCTTGGATTTGAGCCGCTGCACGGTCCTCACACAGGAAATAACCTAAGTGATGTGTTGCACCAGCTACTGGAGGAACGCAAGCTCCTGGATCGTATTTTTAGCGTTACTACAGATAACGCTACCAACAACGACACCATGATACGAGCTTTGCAAGAAAGACTGATCTCCACCGGCGCAATTAGCTCCAGAGAATCAATAGTCCGGGTTCCCTGTATGGCTCATGTGATCCAGCTTTGCTTGAAACAGCTCTTGGGTCATATTAGGGCAGCCCCTAAGAACAAAGAAGTAAGAACCTTTTGGTCCGACACTCAAGCAAATGGGTTGAAAGATTCGGCCAACCAGGGAGACGTGGCTCATACTCTGACAAAGGTGAGCCAAGATATTCATGTTTGTTTGTCAATATAACCGGAGCGCTTATGAAAGTAGATTCGATCCTTTGCGGTCTTTGTCAACGCAAGCCCACAACGACGAGATGCTTTCCTATGCCTCCAATCAGGTGGTGCCCGGCTGTTTCCGTTACATGACGTTCAGATACGCTGGAATTCAACATTTTTGATGCTTCGCCGAGCACGTCGGCTAAGAAGTGTAATCGATAAATATTGCCGCGATCATGAATACTCGCAGTTCAAGGTTACTGATGTTGAATGGAGGCAAATTGACTACCTGGTTCATTTGACCAAACCGTTCTTTCAGTTCACTATGGCTCTGATGAAGACCAGAGATGTTACAATCCATAGTGTGTTCCTTGTGTACAGAAAACTACTCGAGCATATTGAACGGTCAAATCGAAAACTGAAGAGAAAAGCAACACCCTGGAAAAAAGACATGTACGGCGCGTTGCTTGTTGCGAGGCAGAAGTTGAGAGAGTATTATGAAAAGACTTACCGCGATTACGGTTTTCTCTATGGCACCGGAACGTTACTCGCTCCTCAGTATAAGTTGAGTGCTTTCGATGATAGAGAGTACTCCACTTGCCACGAAGATACGTCAAAAAGGTACTGTGAATATTTGAGAGCATCTTTCACACAATATCAGCAGCAGAACCCTGAGTTGCTATTCCGTACGGTGCAACGGTCTTCTACTTCGCATAGCACGGAGCTTGATCGGCTTCTTGAGCCACCTGATGCAAATATGTTCCACGAAGGGGTAGAATATGACGAAGTGGATCAGTATCTTAGAGAAGGTACGAGCAATTGACACACTATACTGGAACGACTGACTAACCCTGCATAGCGAATGTCCCCGTATCGCCGCGACTTTATTGGAAAGAGCACGAGCGCGAGTTCCCAGTGCTCTCTCGGCTTGCACGAGATTTGCTTTCAGTCCCGGCCACCGGTGCGGGTGTAGAAAGGCTTTTCAATAGTGCACGAGATATTTGTCATTATCGTCGAGGATCTCTTCATGAGGGGACCATTCAGGATTTGATGATGTACATGTGCTCAGAAAAGCTCACTCTAGAGGGGCAGCAATTGATCTGTTTGGAGAAACCGTTGGAGAGCGACAGTCAGGAGGCAGTCGAAGAGGATGAAGCGTTGAGAGCAATTGAGGAGGATGCAGCGCCGATCAGCGAGGATGAGGAAATTGAAGAGAGCGAGAATTTGGAGGGTATTTTTGAGTCGGAGGAGCTATGTCAAGTGGAGTGTACGCTGGTAGAGACTGACCGGACCTCTATACACAGCCAGACTCCTGACCTTGAACAAGAGGAAGAGAGTATGGAGGAGGACGATGAGTCAGATTTACTTCCACCTCAAATTACGCAATTGAGTGGTGACAGGGGCCAGAAGAGATCTTCTGGTCGGGTAACAATGCCCTCGAGCAGACTGCGAGGTTATGAACTATACTAGTCCTTGTAATCAGCCAATTTTATTGTTTGTTTTAAGCACATCATACTCTTCCAAATATATTCAGTCATAGACCAGCAGTTACACAGTCGGTACCATTAGATAATCGAAAGTTACTGCATAATCTAATGTAAAATGCTATGTCAACCTTTTTTGCTTTTTTGGGTAATCGCGGGTACCCATTTGGGTCTTGGGTTGGGTTCCCCATATGACAACCCGCCCACGGGTTTGCTGACTAAGACCCAACCCGGCCCATGGGCTGGGTTTTCGCGGGCGGGTTTGGGCAATGGGCGGGTTTTGGCGAGGCCTACTTCTACCTGGTTACTGCTGCACTTTCCTCATCCCTTCCTCGTATAATTTTCAAGGATTTATAGTGGATTATATATTGATCTAGGCATTCAAAGTTGAGGGCTATTATTCAGTACTTTTCGAAATAATCTATACCAGCTCACTCTTTTGACTTAAATTTGGGGAAAAAAAAGTCCGAGGTGAGCCAAGCCGATTTAGGTCACCGCATTGAAGTTACGGCAGAATGCCAAGCAAAGGCTAGCCGAACCAGTAAATCCCCCGCCAAGACGACAGCGAACTGCAAGTCCCATCGGACACATTTAAGCGAGGCATCGCTGGCAGCCTTTAATTTGGTACCATACACCTAGGTATCTACTATCTCTCAAATCTCATATTTCCTTAACCCTGGGGCGTTCTATCGGAAATCTTCCTAGGTTGGAAGCATGGCGTCGGAGCTTTTCCACGACAACTCATGGACGACACCATGGCAATCACCCGAGTTCCCCCCCCGAGGAACTCCCCCATGAGAGAAGAAAAAGATTTCAAACAAAACCGGGATGGGGATCGGGTTGGAATGGCCATCTTCCTCGATTTTTCCAGTTTCACTCGAGGGGCAGCTTCGGTTGGCCGTGGGGCTTTGTTATCTATCGCACAAGCTTTGAAGCTACATCTGACCAGGACTGGGCTGCTGTGATTGCAAAGATTGATCGGTACTGCTACACCTCAATGGGTCCCCTTCCGAAAGGATTCGAGCGTCCGTTCCCACCCCAGCCAAATATTCGTGAACTTGTTTGCGAGGGCTATCGAAATGTGATTGTCGAGGATCCAAAGCTAGAATTTGCCTCGATTGAAACCATTCGCAAACGACATATTGAATGGGCCGAGGGACAGGGCTACTCCCGTCATATTGGCAGACCTCGATTTGACTATTGCCTTGTTCTGGATGACCGCTCTATACGGTCGATTTTGGCAAGTTCAGAGCCAAAGAGTAATGCATCTGATTCTGGTTTAGTCGGATACGTTAATGTGATCGACTGTGACTTTGACCCAGAAGATCCTGAAAATGAATGCTCGGAGTTCTATGATGGGTCACTAAGAATTTGCTTAAGCGATATTTTCTCCTTTGCTCTATCTTGTGAAGATCTCCAGACAGGCGAACAACAATGGGGAGACTGGGGAATGGAAAATCCCGGAAACGTTATCTATACAGATGGACATTCATCGCTTATTGAGAAGCAAGATGTGTTTCTCTGTCCATCTGATTACAACATCTTTTCCCGCATACTAGAACCTAAATTGCCAAGAAACCCAAACATCACCGAGTCTGAGTATCGTGAACGGCAGAGTTCTATCACAATAGAAAGTCAAGCCGCCTGATTCATGTTCATGTTTCATTTGAACCAGAGAAGAATGAACCTATTTGATCACAGATTTTGTATTTCGAACTATTCATGGATCGATTGGAACAACCTAGAGGGGTTGGTATTTTTTGCTGAGAGAATTTCCAAATAAATTAGCTAATTGAGGTCTTGAAGCTCGAGATCATCCATGTAAATCTCCCCGACGTGGCTCTCCAGCTCTGTAAGAGCATCGCGGACCGCACGAGCCCGGTCATTCCACTCAACACTGGCCCCTGGATCTTGGGTCCATCTAGTGTGCATTTCCTCAATCGCTTCGTTGACAAAAACGTGGCCTGTAGCTACCATTTGATTTTTCCTGGATTTGAAAAAGCGGTCCCAACAGTCTGCGAGGTCAATATCCTTTCCTTTCTGGTCTTTGTAAGCCTTTGAAGCGCGGCTCAGCTCGGTACGAATTCCATCATTGACCATTTTGAAGCGTTTCAAAACTTTAGGCATATTTTGATAATTATAAACCGAAATTGTCTAGCGAGTGGTAGTCAGTGAGGTAGTCCTCGGTTGTCGTTAGATGATGCCCTGTTGCCACATACCTGTCGGATTACAGTTAATGCCTGACGCGGGTTATCATCCTGAACCAGCTTTGACCAGGAGCCTGGGCGTCCTGGAGCATCGTTCAAATTCCAAAGCTAAAGGGAAGTGTATGTTAATATTTCATGATGATCAGTTTGGATTTGACGGAAAGAAGTCACACTTACATCACCTTTGATCGCATTGATACTTTGTTTAAGCAACCGGAATACTTCCTTATTTGATTTGCTTCCAAATTGTTCCATCACACGATCAACTGGCTTCTTGAGATTTTGACTGCTTCCTGGTGTCCGAGGTGCGTTTTCAATGACATCCTGGGTGAAGAAATCAAGGAAGAAATTGCAGTCAATACCACAATTTCCCTCTGCAACAGCCCATGACATAAAAATACCCATCAACTTAATTTCAATGAGATGCTCCGCTATGAGATAGCTTGATCAGTATCAGATTTTCCTTTCAGTCTTCCGTTGAGCACTTACTATTGACTTCTGGACTGCTATTTCCCGGTCCAGGAGCGCGATCCTCCGTGGTAGCTTCCCTTTCCTCGACTTCGGTATTCGTGCAACTCTCCGAGTTTACCAGACCAACGGCCTCTCGAACTTGAACAGATGTCGCGGGCCACTCACTTGATCCAGGATATGCGAATCGAGTGTACTTTATCTTCTTCTTTTCGCTACCATCTTTATCTACGCAATCAGCTGATTCCTGCTTTGCTTTGGCTCGTTTCCCCAAAAGCTTAAGCACGTTGTTCTGGCAAATGGGATACATGTTAGCACAGTGAAGAGATTGAGGGAGTCATTCGTTGCACACCTTTTCCGTCCAGATGTCCTGACGGCGTTTGAGATCTAAATCGCTCTCGTCCTGATCACACATACCATCTCCGTATTCACACAGATCCAATGTGCAGAAGATGGTGTCTTTGGAATCCGCAATCATATTATCATAACCTTGAGGGAGTTGCAAGATGCGCCTTGCAGTATCCTCGTAGCCCTGTTGATAGAATTCCGGATACGTATCATTGGATGTTATCCATGGAAGCATGAACTTGGTACTAAGATGTTCAAACGGGTTAGAGACCATATTCCAGATGTTGACAAGGCGATTATAGTGGCTTGTTCGACCGCTCAAATTCAAGTAGCCAGCAAAGATCGCAGCTAGCTTGACAACCAAAGAATGCTTTGCGACAATCTCACAAAGATCTTCACGCTTTTCGAGACCGCCACTTCGCTTTTTCAGATGAAGCTCACATACGGCATTCGTAAGCCAATTGCTAAGCTCATCTTCGAACTTTTGCAAATCATCCGATAGATGCTCTGTCTCCGTGTAGTCGGTACCATCACAGCAGTATGAGCTCGCTCCACTACTGAGACATCTACCAGAGCTGCTCGACGCTACTCGCATCTGACCATCGGGACAGCCGTTCCAGCAACGGTTGTCGGTGACTGGATGGACCAGGTCACTGCCATCGTGCCAGTCGCAGTTTTCAAACTTCTTGTTCTTTTTCGAAGTATCACAGCAGTAGTCGCGGCCCCCATTGTAGCACACGGAGGCTCCAGTGCCCCATGCTGAATTGACCAGTACGGTGTCCTTTGCACCGGAGCACGTTCCAGATGCGCAGGTAGGCCACTCAGACCATTCGCAAGTGTTGTACAGAGCCATGCTGGCCAATTCATTTCCATCATCGTCCGTGGGAGAGCAGCAAGCCGACTGATACTGCTGAGGCAGAGAAAAATCACATCCCTCTGTGATTGAACCAATCTCAAGCATTCCATCTTCGCATCCAGCTTTGCATTTGCCCTTATTATAACCATACCAGCCACATTTTGGCAGTGGAGATGTTGGTGGACAACAGAACGACGAGTAGCCAAGACCGCCGCAAAAAGTGGAGTCCATCATTGGCTCACTGTCGTATTTCTTCCATTTATCTGCTCGCGTGATCATTGACCACCCAGCCGGACAGGGCTGTGCACAATCTGTCCAGCGACATTGGCTATGATCGGTCCGCTCAATCACGGTGTCATTATCGATCTTGTCGAATTGCATAGATACTTGTCTGTTCGAAACCTTTGCCAAATCCCGAGAGAAGTCAGCCGTGGGCGTGTCGTGGCTGATAGCCCAGACCATTATGCCACCGAGACATTGCTCACGAGCAAAATCTGCCTTCAGGCCCAGGGTATCTTTATCGTCCATAGAAACCCACTGGTCATCCCAAGTGACGACCTTGACCGTTGCCTCCTTATACAGTTAAGGCTTTAGTTTCCTCTCGTTGATGATGTCCATGATCTCGTTGTTGAGTAAGATACCGGTTTCATGGCTGCATTTTCCGGCAAGACCTCCAGATGCATATTCGCATCCAGGCTCGACGCACCCCCCAATTGTTGTGTAAGTACGGCCATAAAATGCGAGACCCATCACCACCTGATCAGGTTTCACATCATTGCGCCAAAGAAGATCCATCCCTTGTTTGATCTCTGTAAGATTGGTATGCGCATTGAGGAATGAACCTGTCCATGTATTTCCTTCGTCCCAAGTACCGTGCATGTCATAGGACATGATGTTGAAGAACGAGACATGTTTTGCAAGGTTTTTCAAGTCAAAATGTTGAAGATACCAATATGATGCAGGGAGAGTGATTGAAAGGGTATTTCGCCCTGCTGTTCCATCCAAGGCATTCTTCAGGTTTTTCATAAAAGTCGGAAAGTTTTTGTAGTCTTCGGGCTTTCCGCTTCGGTCGGTTGCTTCGGGATATTCCCAGTCCAGATCAACTCCGTCAAAATCATGGACTGACAAGAAATTGGTCAAAGAGTCGAAGAACTTTCGAGGTTTAGATATTTCCAAGATTCGGTCTTCACTCCGCGGGGATGTTTTGTACAACGCTGAGCTTGATACTCACTTGGCACATTTAACCGTTGGTGAGACTTTGACATTCGCATCTCGTGCAAGCTCTGTTAGACACGTCCCAAGTGGATTCACTCGCCAGCAGCTGGACACAGTTCGTCGCGATGTTATGATGGCGATCTTCGGCCTGAACCATACCATCGATACTCGAGTCGGAGACGATTTCGTACGTGGTATTAGCGGTGGAGAGCGAAAGCGCGTTAGCATTGCAGAGGCATCTCTGACTGGAGCCAAGTTCCAGTGTTGGGACAATTCTACCCGGGGCCTGGACAGCGCCAATGCTATCAATTTCTGCAGCAACCTACGACTCCAGGCAGATATTCTTGATATAACCTCGGCGGTGACCTTATATCAAGCACCACAGTCAGCCTACGATGCAAGTCTTCAATACATATTTCTGTCCTTTCACACCTCTTTGAAGAATTCTAACAGTTACAATGATAGATGTTTGATCGGGTGACATTGTTATATGAAGGCAGACAAATATTCTTTGGTCATATTACCGAGGCAAAAGGCTACTTTGAGAGCCTGGGATTCTTTTGTGAGCTTCTGGTATACCCTGAGCCGACAATGTTCAAAGTCTGACATGCTTTTTAGCTCCACCTAGACAAACAGTCCCTGATTTCCTCACGTCGATGACGAGCGCAGAGGAGCGCAGAGTACGACCCGGGTTTGAAGGATCCGCACCTCGCTCAGCAAATGAGTTTGCCGAAAGATGGAAGTCAAGCGAGCAACGGAAGAAGCTGCTTCTTGAAGTGGCATCATATGAGCAGAAACATCCTACAGAGGTTCGAATGATGGAATATGACAAATCTCGACGTGCTGAACAAGCGAAGCAGCAGCGTGCCATGTCTCCCTACACCATATCATACGCCCAACAAGTTTCCTTGACTCTATGGCGCGCATATAGGAGACTGCTTGCTGATCCCGGATTCACGATAGCTTCCCTCCTTTTCAACGTCATTATGGCGCTGATTTTGGGAAGCATGTTCTACGATCTCAGCCCTGACAGCTCTACCTTCTACTACCGTGGGGGTCTAATATTCTTCTCACTGCTTTTCAATGCGTTCGGGAGCCAGCTTGAAGTAAACGGGCCTAGTCATACTTCCTTATTATCTCATACTTGACTAATTTGATTTCAGGTCTTGACCATCTATGCAGAGCGCCCCGTCGTTGAGAAGCAAAATCGCTACGTCTTCTATCACCAGTCTGCCCAGGCCATCGCAAGCTACCTCACCGACCTGCCCTACAAAATCATCAATATGTTTGTTTTTAATATATTGATTTACTTCATGGCCGGTTTGAAGCGAGAAGCAGGTGCTTTCTTCTTCTTCTGCCTTGCTACGCTTCTCACCACACTGATTTTATCGGCTCTCTTTCGCACCTTGGCTTCTATAACCAGGACCCCTGATCAAGCAATGATACCTACTGCAGTTCTGAGCCTTGGACTGATGATATATACTGGATTTACTACCCCACCGGCATACATGCCGGGGTGGTCGCGTTGGATGGCCTACATCAATCCTCTTTCATATGGCTTTGAGGCTTTGATGGCCAACGAATTCCACGGTCGAGATTTTCCATGCGCAAGCATGGTGCCCAATGGCCCAGAGTATACAAGGCTGCCATCGGCATCGCAGGTATGCTCTGTCGTTGGTTCGGTGGTCGGCTCCACTGTTGTCAATGGAGATGACTATATCGGCAAGTCTTTTAACTACCACGATGTCCATAAATGGAGGTCAGTAAATGCGAAAATATCTCAACAAATATGCCGGCTAACAAGACCATCGGACAGAAATATTGGGATTCTGTTCGCCTTTGTGGCTTTTCTTTTCCCTGCCTACATCTTAGCGGCTGAGTTGGCAAAACCTCCCAAGACGCATGGAGAAATTCTTGTGTTCAGCCGTACCAGGGGTTTTCTCGGCGCAAGAAATATTCAAACCGTGGATTCGGAGAATCAAGAAAGGACACATCCCATTGTCGCAGATAAAGTATCATCTTTGCCTGCGCAGAAAAATATTATTTCTAGAAGGCATGTGTTTCACTGGGAGGATCTTTGCTACGATATCAAAGTCAAAGACGGGACTCGTCGCCTCTTAGACCATGTTGACGGCTGGGTAAAACCAGGAGTGTCGACAATCCTCATGGTATTTTTTATCTGCTACCTGAATGGATCCGAATTTGAATCTAACCACCACTAGGGTGTGTCCGGAGCAGGCAAAACAACCCTTCTAGACGTCCTGGCAAACCGCGTTTCCGTCGGTGTCGTAAGTGGCCAGACCATGGTCAACGGAAAACCCACAGGTCCGTCCTTTCAGCACAAGGTCGGCTATGTTCAACAGCAAGATCTTCACCTGAGCACTATGACAGTCCGCGAAGCTCTGTGTTTCAGTGCCCTCCTTCGACAATCCACGGAAGTACCCAAGTGTGAAAAGCTCGACTATGTGGAATATGTGATCGATACGCTAGAGATGCGAGAGTTCGCGGATGCTGTCATTGGTGTTCCGGGAGAGGGACTCAATGTCGAGCAACGGAAGCGCTTAACGATTGGCGTGGAGCTGGCCGCTCGACCCCAGCTTTTGGTCTTCTTCGACGAACCGACATCGGGCCTGGATTCGCAGACATCATGGGCAATTTCGGAGCTTATCAAAAAGCTGACTAACAGTGGTCAGGCAGTTCTCTGCACTATCCATCAACCGTCTGCTATTCTTTTCGACCAATTTGATCGACTCCTACTCATCGCGCCGGGAGGGAAAACGGCTTATTTTGGTGGTTAGTGGTTTTCCTTTCCCAAAAATGATTCATTGGTTTGCAAGTACTGAAGATATGATATTTAAGATCTTGGCTGCGGTGCCTCGACTCTAATTCAATATCTCGAGAAGAACAATGCCACTCCATGTCCTGCAGGCGCCAATCCCGCTGAGTGGATGTTGCAGGTGATAGAGTCGCATAAGGATGGAACCAATGGACCGAATTGGCACCGGATATGGCTAGACTCTCCCGAGTATCAAGCTGTCAAAGAAGAGCTTCATCATCTGCGAACCCCGCATGGAACAGACCTCACAAATGATGACAGTATCACTGATCAGAACAATTCACAGCACCAAGAATTCGTGGCCTCTTTCTGGTCTCAATTTGGACTAGTACTTCGGCGAACCTGGAGGCACTTGTGGAGATCTCCGACTTATATCTGGTCAAAAACTATATTGATTCTTCTTTCGGCTCGTAAGCCTTTCTCATCGCTCTTCCTGTCATGCACAGGCTACTAATGTTATCTGATATTCTAGTCTCTCTATCTGGGATTCAGCTTCAACGCCGACAATTCGATTCAAGGCCTTCAGAATCAGCTATGGGCTATATTCATGCTACTCGTTGTGTTCATAAACATCCATGAGCAAATAATGCCTATCTTTCTTCCTCAGCGGGCGCTCTACGAGGCACGCGAAGGACCTTCGAAAATTTATAGATGGAAAAGTAAGTCACATTCAAGTTACTAGTAATCACAGTGATACCATTGTGGATCAAATTAATTAGTTTCCTAGCATATTTACTGGCAAACGTTTTTGTCGAGCTTTTCTGGCATACTCTTATGGCTGTTATAATGTACTTTTGCTGGTACTATCCCGTCGGCTTTGTCCAAAATACCACCGCCGATGATCGTGCCATTCGCGGATTTGCCGTTTTCCTTTTCCTATGGGTATACCTTTGGTTTACCAGCACATTTGCCCACTTTGCCATCTTTTGGATCGACCTTTCAGAAACCGCTGGTGTTCTCACTAGTCTTTTTTGGATGTTGTGCATCCTGTTTTGTGGGTCAGTAAAGCCTTTTCAACTTCCGTTTCCTTTCAGCACACTAAGAAGTTAAAAACAGAATTGGTGTACCGCTGGCCGACCTTCCGGCCTTCTGGAAATTCATGTACCGTGTGTCGCCAGCCACATATCTCGTCGGGGGTATAATGTCAAACGCAGTCGCAAACGCGGAAGCAAGTTGTGCTGATCACGCGATCCTCCGAATGGCCTCAATTGGGAATCTTACTTGCAACGAATTCCTCGGTGCATATATCGACGCAGCTGGCGGTCGGGTCCTGAACCCTGCATCGCGGGATATCTGTCAATACTGTCCTTTGGCCACGACGAACGAATTTCTTCAACGATTTCGGATTTCTTACAGCACGAGGTGGCGAGACTTTGGACTGATTTGGGTTTACATTCTTGTTAATATACTCGCAGGTCTTGGGCTTTATTGGGTCTTTAAGGTTCCCAAAGGCAGGAATACTAGCGAGAAGGCTTAGGCATTTTTGGACTGAGCAGACCTATCAGGGCTGATGCTCATACATAACTACTCGGTACTAGCAGAGAGGATAAGCAATGGAAGATAATTAGCCAAGACGATACATTGTCGATTTGAATCTTTCTTCTCTGGAATGACTCTTCGGGATACTCAAGCAATCCTCCACTCTATTCAAAATCAAAGAAAATCACTTGGCCACTGAAGTTTGTTTGCACATGAATTTTCTCCCCCAGATTTAACAGGCGGCCCCTGTAGTCAGCAGCTAACTATCATAAGTAGATTCTTACCACCTCTGCTCAGCCATTCCACCCCCCATCTACATATAGGCTGGATTGAGAAGGTTCAAAATCAAGGGGGACATCTAGCATCTCTGTGGCCAACTTGTAAAAGCCAGTGTCCACCTAGAGGTAATTGTCATTCGCGGAAAATGATAGCGTGCAGTCAGTCACATCGTGCTTGATGACTTGCAGACGAGTTCCAGTCTTAATATTCCAAAGCTCCACATTCAAAACACCCGTAGACAATGCACAGAGCTGATTATCGGGAGAGATTGCCACGAGGGCGATGCTATTCCAGGATTTCAGTCTGTGCTGAAGAGTGCCCGTAGAGACATCGTAAATGTCTGCTCCACCAAACATCCTACCCACCATCACGTTTTTGTTGTCAGGAGAGAAACATGTTGCCAAAATCGGCCCGATCATGCCGCGCTGATCGTTCTCGATCGTTTGAGTACAATTCCACATGTCGGTCTCCCAGAGCTTCAATCTTCCCTTGTTACTGTCGATCTGCGATCCACGATGACGTCTGATCGTTGATATAGCAGGGATCAGTAAAGGTTCCTATTGGGCTTGAAAAGGGAGTGAGCTGTGTCGGACGTTGGTTAATGTAGGAGTACATACTCGTACTGGACTGAGAGCAATTATCGGAGTAAATACCCACCGCATAGTGTATGACATTTCGTCTCATGCATATTGATAGACTCAAGTGAATGATATGATACCGCTCAGCCATTGTGCACCCTTAATATCACTCCAGTAAAACGTTCGTGCATCAGCCGTAAGAACATCAGAAGAAGATATAATGGGCAACGCCATGGGCATCAGGCAAGCCCCTCGGAAGGGATCGACGGGATTTAGTTTCCCATTCGATCCAATGTCAGCTCACAGTCCTGGCCAGTGCTATGAGGTGGAGAAGCTGATCCACCCATCAAAAAGCGGTCGGCTGTCGGAGTCAAGTTGACTGTGTTAGTTACCTTAGCCAATAGTAGTTGCTCGATTCGTACGAAATAGAAGTTTCAGATTTCTTCCAAGTTGCTGTTATGTATTTCTCCGACTTGAATCACTTAATTTGTATCACCTGGTCATTGATCCCCGTCTGCCGCAACTACCCCTGATCCACCTCCACCAATCACAACTTAAGATCAACAGCTTTGTGAGGAACATAATGATCATAGCAGTCAGGGTGACAAGAAGGATCCGAATGCCATGTGTCGAAAATTCCTTCCAAATGAACCCATAGCCTTGGAGTCGACCGATTCACAATAGACCATAGTCCTGGAACGGTGCTGTCAGTATCTTAGCATGTTATTTCAGAGCTCGGTGCATAAGACGGATGAAGGTTCCCCCGTGGCCCCCAATGGCCCCTCACAAGTGAACAATTAGACCACCTGGGCACTCTTTCAAATGTACCACAAAGGTGCCCCCATTATCGCGTTCAAAATGGATTATGGGCACCGGAATCCAGCACTCAGGTCCGTAGTACAACTCAACCAATCCTGTGATCAGTGCCGGTCCAGAAAAGTTCGATGCATAAGTATATTTTTCACCTGAGTGTGCAAACACCTCTTTAAGTTGTGACGGCAGTACGCAGGCTAAACCAACCCCCTAATTCTCGATAGTTTCCGAGACACCAAGAAATGCAGGACAATCGTCCACATGTGTTCATTGTGTTGTATGTGCTCGCGACTCTTTATTGATACCATGTCAAAGCCACTGATAGTATGAGCTCGCATAGAACCGCAGAGAGTCTTGTCAATTCAGTCCCATGAAGCGGAGATTTATTCGCAAATCTACTACGCGTACATAGCATTCCTTGGGGAAAGTACGGTACATACCTAGGTATTTAACTGATCTCCGTGTTAGAACAAACTCCGAGTCCTCTGGCTCAACCGGCGCTTCCAAACGTTGATGACCTCCCTATCGATCGTATTTTACGAGCGGGGCCGCAAAGAATCTATCCATTGGACCTATCCGACTTGGACTCTACCGTAATTAAAGTATGCCAGCAACTTAACTCCCCGTGGATGAATTACTAAACATCAATCTATAAAGGCCAGCAATGAGCGAAGTACTACTCTGAAAGCGACCCGACCATGAGACCACCTGACCTGACAAAGATAAAGCAAACAGCTCTAGTATCTCATTCTTCTCCGCTCAACGCATCAGTTCACTGGCAGACCGCCTAGGCTCACGTATACTGACGGAGCTTGTTCAAGACTTAGAGGATATTCTTGTATCACGAGTCTGCTCTCATACAGAGTCTTCGCTCGAATTGAGCTTCCAGCCACCTCTGCATAGGTCGAGCCCAGATCGGGACCAAGCCGACCAGTACATTGATGACAGGTCTAATACCAAGTAAACCACACGGGGCTCATCACTGATATTTACAGCTTACTTCCGCAATACCCACCAGCTTTACCCTTTCATTGACAGACAAGATTTCACTTCGCACACTGTTGAATGCCAGCGCAGCGGGATATCAAATTGTGCCAAAGCATGCTCAGCACTATACTATACCGTTCTTGCCATTGGCAGTCAGTACTGTGGTGGTGGAAGTTTTAAACCAGGATCGGGGATAACGTGGAGCTTGTTCCAGTCAAGTCTTGGTTTCCTTCCGGACCTCCTGATCCCTCCGTATTCATTAGAGAAGACCCAGGTGATTAAAGGTCCATCTTTCGCTTTCAAACACTGAGCTAATGACTTTCAAGGCCTTGATAGCGATGGTGAGAGCCCCAGACCTTGGTTAACCATTTCGACAAAGCTAATGTTCAGCCGACAGTCTATCTTTGCCATGAATCCGTACTGCCTCTATCTAGACCAAAATCTGATATCCGAGGCCGCTAGAATGGTTACAAACTCAAATACCACAAATCTTCGAATTTAAAAGAATCTCACTTGAGAGCATTTTGGACAATATATCATCTGGAAAAGATCGCCTCCTTCTCCGATGACAACAGCTCTGTGCGTCGCATTCTACATATAGCATATTTCCGAGAAGAAATGTTTTTTTGAAGTTTTTAACACAATTCCTCAAATAGATTTTTGCAGATGATGACATTACATCTGGAATTCCCGCTGTGCCAGAAGGATTGATGATACGAGATTATGATTGGTTTTCGTCGGCCATTCAGCTTGCAAGATTGACATCAATTACCTACACCACCCTTTTTACGACAGGTTTTTCCTCCAGGCCAGAAATCGACCGCCTGACTTCTGTACAGGATGTAAGACGCAGATTGGAAGAATGGCGTTTATCTGTACCGATGGTATTTCGCCCCAAAGAGCCATTTCGAGCGAGCGAGCTTGAGACGCCAACAAGAAGAATGATCGCGATAGAGACACACTACCTATATTACCATATCGTGTTCGGTGTGGAGCGTGTGTCTCTTCTCATTGATTCCGATGGCAATCCCCGAAGCGGAGGTGGCAAATGTGAATTGATAAACGCAGCGCGTAGTGTCATTGATCTACTGCGCTGGGTTGATATCAGTCCTCATATGCCAGTTTTGTGAGTATCCTCGCTATCTTGAAAATTTCACCCAATGACAATCGCAACTTGAAATCCTAATATCTAGGTCAGCATTATAGGGATCATGCCGTTATCTGCAGTATTTATTATTTTTGATTTTGTGATTCATAATCCCGGCCACAAGGAGACCCCTCACAATATAAATCTTCTTGATACAGCTGCGGAGTTCTTTGGCCAGATTGACTACGCCTCTCAAGAAGTGCTCCCAGGAGATGTCATATCACGTTTTACTGGGATCGCCCGGGAATACGTCGTCAACCTTTCGAGTGAAATTACTGCAATCACGGTTCCAAACTCACAAATGCATCAGGGAATTCAGCCTATATGGGATTATGCACCTGATATAGATTTCAGTAACATGAACTCGGACGTCAGTTAAATTTCTTCCATCGACTGATACCTTGGCTAACAAATAGTATACAGCTTTCCTTGATAAACGCCCGGCCAGAACAAACAGATTCCGATTTAGCCCTACCACCGTCGACTTTCATGGACAGTGAAATGTTGAATTATCTCGTATCAGGCGAGAGTGATACTATGGAAAATCAGATGCAGGACCTCAGATCTGTTTTTGGCTCCGTTTTTCCTGACCTAGGAGGTTTTGTATAGTCATATGCCCAACGATTGGATCTCAAATTCCGTGGACGGATATGTATCTAGTAGCTCGGAAGAAAGATTCACTCGATTCTAAATACAATTGCAATGCTCTCATGAGCTGAAATTGCATCAAAGCGCATTTTTTTAAATCAGATTACACCATTGAGACTGTCCTGATGCTGGCCGCTTTCATTGAAAGAAGACTGTGCCACATTATGGTAGTTACTAGCCCGTCCAGTGCGGATGTTAATTCATAGTACATTGAAGCCCATAGAAATTGAATCGTGTTAAAAAAATACGTGACTGCCAGTGCCTCTCCTCTTTGACCTTCTGAAATCCTCCTAGTATACATACTGCCCAGATTATTAGCATCCTTGGAACTGGCGACGTCTTGTGACAAGGGGATTTCCTGTATATGTTGTGCTTACATGGAAATATTTGTTTTCTAAGTATTGAGATGAACAGATTAGGTATGTATCATTCTTTCGCAACGATTCCATCGACACAGAGAAACGCATATGCTGCCAGCATAAAGCTAACAAGAACCGAAGGGATGATTATCGATTGCTCGCATGTTTCCGAGGACTGCGCAAAACAAATTCTATCTTTAACACGTGCGCCATTAATGTTCTCGCATTCCAATGCTAAATCAGTCTTCGACTGCGCACGTAACGTCCCAGATGAGGTGATTGACTTAGTGCGCTTTAATAACGGAATTATCATGGTGACATTTGTGCCTGAGCATGTGACGACCAGACGATCTGAAGCAACGATGGACATGGTCCTCAATCATCTCTTCTATATCGCGGGCCAGATTGGCTGGGATCACGTTGGCCTTGGATCTGATTTTGACGGAATTGAATGTGTAATACCGGGATTGGAGGATGTGAAATACTACCCGCGATTGCTCCAGTCCATTCTTGACTGTGGCGCGACGGAAGAACAGTTGGCTAAAGTTGCTGGGGAAAATATTTTGAGGGTATGGAGGGGCGTTGAGGAAGTTCGCGATCAAATGAAAACTGAAGGCGTGCAGCCTGTTGAGGATGTCTGGGAGGATCGAACTTAGTGGCGATATGATAGATATTATCAGATGCCTGATCCAGATCCTGAAGATAAATTGGGATTGGACTAGTACGGAGTTCCACCTCCGAAGGAAGGTCTTTACCTCAAAGAATAGTTTAAATTACTCGCGAGATAAACAACAGTATTTCCACAAAATAAATTTCCTGACTTCAGGTTCATGGCTGTTTGCCCGCCATGCGCGCCATTGAAGCAATCTCTTCACCAGGCTTGCTATAATCCACAAACCCAAACTTAGCATAAAGCGGCGCACCCTCTTTACTAGCATCAACATAAGCCAAAACACCTTGAGAATCCGCAAGCTCACAACCCCATCCAACGAGCATAGACCCAGCACCACGACGCTGATAATCCGGATGTGTTGCAACAGTATCCAGGTCTGACACATCGTTACCGTAAGCGGGTGAATTTGGGAATGTCATCCCCCGAAGCCGCAGGTAGTAGGTGGGGGAAACTTACAAAAATGCTTCTTCTCACCCATAACACGCATTCTATTCTCCTCTTCCTTGCGGAAAAACTCATCGCACAGAGACGCGGACATTTCCTCGTGCCAAGGTGGATAGCGACCACCGCGCTCTTCGGGCATGGAGGTATCCCATTTTGCGTAGGCGGCGATACGGGGTCTGCCTTGTTGATCTGTTGATATAGGGTCGATTACTTTGATGTATTTTTGGAAGGGTTTGTGGGTGAGGTCGTGGCGGTTTGCGTCTGTTAGCCATTGGCGGACCGCGGGCGTGTCGGGGAAAACGCGGCGGAGTTCTGGGTCCGTGAAGGCTGCGAACCATAGCTCAGTAAGAGCAGGCGTATCCTCAAGTGTCAGAGGCTCTAATTGTAAGGGTACTGGGGTCGTCATCTTTGTACTAGTACTATGTGTTCTGTTGATGTTTTGGGTGAAAGTGGGGTGTAGTACACAGGCCAGGAACAGTGCGGGGAAGTCGGTGTATGGCACTCAATAACTACTAGGCGTACGGCAGCCGATGGCCGCCATGTTGCAAATAATTATGGAATTATAGGGTGTACTGTATACATACGAGTAGATCTACTCAGTAGCCATCATAATCAGTTTTGTATACAAAAAGTAGCGCTCAACGGCTATCATCTACTCGCTTTTTGTATACGGTAAATTAGTACACGGTGGTTATTACCCGCTTACTATTTGAATATAACCCTTAGAAACAGTAGTGCTTGGTAGCTACTAGGTAGCTACTAAGCTAGCTTTTTGTATACAAAAGATCAGCGCTCAGCACCTATCACCTGCTTACCTTTTGTATACAGGAAGTATTAGTTATACTGTAACTGTATCGCTTATTCATGAGCATCCTTTTGAGCACGACCGCACTTGTAAATAAAAGAGTAAACGTAATCACCTAGGCGAAGTGAGCGGTAGGGTGAATTAATTATTGCAACATGGCGGCTATCGGCTGCCGTATACTAGGCGTAACCGATGTTCTACTGGTGGTATTGGGGGCAATTCTCGAAGGCAGGAAAAGACACCACCTGTAACATATACATCCCAAAATTACTACTAGTAGTATTTCATAAATAGATTTAGACCTATCTGCTACCTACACTACCTTTAATATCTTCTTTGATTAACTCTATCCTTCATATGTACTTACTTCCAAAGTTATTTAGTCGATATATACTATTGTTTCTACTATCTGAAGACTTTCAATGGTAAGGTACCATTTGAAGACGACTCGGACGACGACACGTGTGCGACCTAAGCGGCCCCTCGATACATGTTCTTCTTACTGTTCAATGTTTTCAAAGTTTCCCCTAGACATTTTCTGCAAGCAGCCCTGTCTAACAATTAAATCACCAATGGACTTATTTAAATACAGTTATCTAGTTGGTATAGAGATAACATATACTCAATTATTCCAAGGTTACCAGTGTTTCGGCTCAGAACTCACTTCCTTAGTAGATTGCTTTTTATTTTCGGTTTTGTAACAATATCTCGAGTCGGATAGAGTTCACGTCTACTAGAATAATAATAAGGCTATTTAGGCACGAATAGAATACTAGCTGCATACTAATAGCGTTATCGGAGACGACAAGCTCGATAATATAGCTTCATAAGCCCCGCTTACAGCTGTTGGTTGGTTCTTTAGCCAGGTAATTAGAACTCAGTCACCACCTGGGCAATAGCACGAAGTGCCTCATGCAATTCAACATCCACGTATACACCTTCATCATCAAACTGCCTTCACTAATGCAAGAAGACGCTTAGGCAATACAGCCTTTCCCCGCCCCCTTTAATCATACCTAAGGCTAATAGCAAGGCATCTTTACGGTGTAGCGCCAAGCATGCAAATGCTGGCATTTGGGGTGGCAGTCTAAGCCACATTACCCCTAGATCTCTTATTCTATTTGCCTTCCCCGCAATGTATGTTCATAATTTAAATAGATGAAAAGAATACTGTCAGCCATATACAAAATGCCAAGGATGATATGACTAACATATAACCAATAGGGCGCATCACTTGCAGGAGGGAGAGAAATGCAGAGAGACCTGGCGATAAATCAAACGAATCAGCTGGTATGACTGCCAATATGAGTCGGTGCGTTGTGAAGATCACAATGAAAGGAGTATCCTAGAATCGGTGTGACATGGGGGTGGGCTGCCTGATGTCAAAATAGACCCCAAGCGCCAAGCGCCAAGCACAAGGGAAGGCCTTGCAATGTGATGATGATCCGGAATTCACCTTGGTGAGATTTGCTGTATCATTACTGAATATAGTGCTTTGCTGCGATCGTGGGGTCTACAACCTTTTATCCGCGGACTCCTATTGCACACTGCAAAGCCATCAATTCTATAGTGGGCCTTGCAGATTAAGCTGCTCATCCATAGCACTCTCAATCAAATTATTCGTGTTCGACACCTATATAAAGGCCAACAAGATCCTTTTTCAATAGGACCATCATCAGTGAATCAGCAATCACACATCTTCTCCGTTAATCTTCTTTCACCAACCAAACCAGGAAAACAAGAGAAAGGCCCGCCAGAGCCTCCCAATTGGAATATCCCTATTTCATATCCCTCAACCCACTATGCGTTCCGTCCTCATCAGCCTTATTGCAGCCTTGACGGCTCCTATTGTGGCTGCTATCCCATATCCTGACATCTCCAACACCGCGAAAGACATCCTGACCCGAAAAGGATCCCAATCCGGATTGATCACGCGTGATGATATACCGAACGAGGAGAAGATCGGGTACCTGATTTTCAGCCACGGCTGCTTCGCTGCAGGCAGTGGTTTTCCTCAATGCAGAGACCTGTATACTATGAAATGGGGAAAAGAAGGGGAATACAAGTCTTGCAACGATGACTCTGTGGATTCAGCCTTCGAAGAATACTGCAGTATCAAGGGTTCAGATGAGGTTAAAGTCGATACTCCTATGGGGGAAGGCATTTTTCAGCCAGACGCAGATCACTGCGGGAAGGGAGGGGGTCCAGAGGGCTTTATACTAACGGCCTTGAACGATATTTCCTCGAGCGGGTACGAGTGTGTGAAGGACGACCATCAGTTCTCGGAGAATTGTGGATTTACATGGGCCAGCGACTCGGAAATGAAATGCACCTATAAAGGTCAGCTTTGAGCATGGACGCTTCTAGCTCCACATGTTTGGGTTTCTTTTGCTTTTCTTCTCCTTTCTTTCATTTTGTAATTGATTTTTTTTTCAATTTATTTTACTGTTGAAATTCATAAATTCCCGTAACAAGTGTCAGAGCGTGATTGAAAGGAGACGTGGATGCGACGAGGTAGGACCTTGAACCTCAGTTTTAGCCTGGCCTTCTACTCAACTCGGTAGTAGAGCGGGAACGATAGCGATTTTGGATGTAGGTAGTATAGATAGCTTCTAGGGTAGTTAGGAAAAAATACACCCTAATACTATTGGAATCTCCATTGGACCGGTTGCGCCTATTGAGCGTCGTAGCCAGTGGCCGATGTGGTGCGGTGCGAGTCCCGATCGGCCCATCGATGCCGATGATCCCGACACCCCGAGGCCATTGACAGGATGGTCCCGTCATGGGGAAAAGAATCAATGAATGAGATACTCCTAGCAATGTGCACATTTCGGCGAGGGTAATTGGTACCAATCCCTATTGCATCTCTAAAGTAAACCCAAAGGCTTCCAATTAACAATATTTACTCCGTATTGGCGCTGAACTACCGAGATTATTGACCAAGTCGACGCTTGAAGAACTGTTCAAGAAAGCAGAAAAAAGATGAAAAAGAACAAGTGGAGCATGCAATGAATGCACTGAATGCAGAAGTACCCCGCAGAAAAAAGAACCCCCCCGCAGAAATGAGGTGACTCCCTCTGCCACAAATGGCCACTCTATTGATAAGCCGCCACCTCCCTTTGATCGTCCTGGGCGCGGGTCGCACGTTCTGTTTCACTAGCCTCGTTGAGGGTTTGAGTCTGGGTCTTGGCCTTTTGCGCCGCCAGTTTCGACCCTAATTTGCCCTTGTTACCTGAAGATGCGGTCTCGGCCCGTTTCTATAACCCCACAGCGATTAGCATTAGCGCGATCTCATCCCCGCGTTGTAGATCGCCGCGCAACCCATGGTAGCTGGGGGCTCGACATTTCGCGAGACAGATGTGCGTGCAGCTTCGGAATCACTCACCTGGGCAGCAATTGCGGCATTGGATCGGGCTTCATCACTATCGCCTTGGGCTCCGGCGCTGTCGCCTAATGTTCGACCTGGGCTATTCTTCCAATTGGCCTTTGCGGGGACGGAGGCTCGTGGGGCGGCAGATTGATTGGAGGGATTTGTTCCGACGACGCGGCCGGGACTGGAGAAGGCTTCGGGGTCGTTGGAAGCACGCGAGCAAATGTTCCCCATTGTTGTGGACGGAGGTGCGGAGTTGAATGAAGTTGCGGGGAAGGGAGAATGGAGAATGGAGAATGGAGAAGGGAGAAGGGGGGAAACAAGTGTGTGGTCAGGTGATGGTGGTGATGATGTGATGGAGGAAAGAGCGCATGAGAGTGAGGTTGCAATGCGCCTTCCCCTTTGGAGTAGAGTGATCTGATTGAAGTTGGGAAGGAGCGAGTTACTCGTATACAACCTTCCTAAGGTTAGGAAGGGGTGGAGGAAGGCGGAAGGGAGATCCGCGGTAAGGCGGGGCACGTGGGATGAGTCAGCAGTATCTAAAGTTATCGATAAGAAAGTTTATGCCTCAGGCAGAAACAAGAGTTCCAGGGCAGCCACAGTTTATATAGTACAGGAGAGAAATTATCTCCAATAACAGACACAGCTATGGTAAAATACCCTTTTCTACAGTCGCCTCACCCATGCGACTCATTTTACACCCACATTTTCCCAATTCCCACTAGGACCACTACTATTGTATCCACCGGGAGATTGCCTCAGATCGCGGGGAGAAATGCTGAGTCATCCGGCCAGGAGGGTCTTTTTTCACCCCCGGGACTTCCACGAGGTTATCGGAATGTTGGCTGGTCCTTTCTCCCTCACCAATTTCCTTCTGCGCAACACTACATCCTACGTCCTCCGCGGCCAACACTATACACCTCCACCATGAATGCGATCGGACCTGGTTGACCGCTTGTCAACACGCGCACTGCCATTCGCCAACTGCCGACTTACTACGATGACGCCTAACCCCCAAGGTCCTCACTCACCCATTGTCCCAAGGTCCTCATATCCTCACGAGAAGTCGCAGAGGCTGCTTTCCCTCTCCCCGCCTCCCCTGAATTTCGATTTCCATTTCTCCTACTGGTTTCAATCTCGCCTATTCTTCTTTTTTTCACTCCTACAAGGTCCTCGTTTTTGGACCCGGGAATCTTGTGCTGCACGACGATCTCGCCAATTTCTCCGATTGCCTTGCTGATCCTCGACCAACCGAGTCGATTCGCTGCCCACGGCGCATGACACAACCGTGAGACGAGCTGCATATCCAGTGGACGGCCACATATGAGCGCATACTCTGATCTCATTTCTGGACCTGAGATACATTGAAGGGTGGATGCTACTGTGGCCTTGCGATCTCCCGGTTACGTGATTCAACGGCTATCAACCGGATATCGTACCCTAACTACGGAGTGTACCTGGTTCCACGATAATTCCACTAGCCGGTCGCACACCCTCCAGACTTTCTTTCTGGCCGTGTCTGCTGGTTTCCCTTTCTCTTTACCCCTTGATTTTCCCCTCCTGGCGGTACCTGATCCTCCGGTGACACCGGTTTTTGGCCTTACCCGTCTCACCATCCTTTCCCTTATCCCATCTGCCCCTCCAGACGTGGCCCGCGCACACCATGTCGAATCAACCCCAAGACGGAGATTTCTGCCTCGAGTGTCACTGGGAAGGCTTTCATATCGATGGGAAAGCCTCCGGTGATAGCTCGGGCTCCCATTCACAGTCCCAGTGGGAGTGTTCGCAGCCTGAACTCCACACCGCGCTTGCCAACAACAAGTCGTCTAACAATGATTGTTGTGAGGCCGAGGATTGCGCGCTAGACTGTGGGTCAGGATGTGAAGGCCTCGCAGACTGCGACGCTTCGACCGTCTGCTCTGTTGCTCAATGTGACGAGACTCATTGTGAGAACACAGACCCTGCCTGCTTTGAAGACCACTGCTGCGACGACACGAACGATCAGGATTGTGCCTTTGACTCCTTTTTCGGGCTAAATACCCCTTTGTCCCTGGACACATCCGGTCTGCTACCGCCAACCGCTCCTGTCATGGCCCCTAGCCTCGTCGATGACCAGGGCAAGTCGCTAGACCCTACCCTCCCCGGTGCCATCGATCCCTGCTATCACCAAGACTTTCTTCATTCCTACCAGAGTCATGCGAGCCATTGCGAACAGAATGTAGCCAGCCATTTTGAATGCGATGACTTCCAGAGGGACCTGCAGGGCATGTTCACACATCAACCATTTCCTCAGCAGACTGAAGTCAACCCCCAGGATGTCTTCCAGATGCTTGGGATGTGTCCAGATTACACTGTCTGCCACGACCATGTTTCCCCTCCCCAGCCCAGCGCCAGTGAACCTGAGAAGCCCGCGCAGGAAGAGATACCTCTCGGACTCAATTGTTTCCACCCCGAGCACCACCATGTCCATGGCTCTTCCCATGGTTCCTTCAAAAACCCCAATGATTTGAATCTCCATATCCCACGAGGACCTCTTCGCAACCACCATCGGTGCAGAGTTCATCATCACCACTCCCACCCATACTCACCGTACTCCCGCCACTCCCGGTCGAGCATCAGTTCGCACTTCATGTCAAGCCCTGGGGAGACCCCGCCACCGCTGGACGGAGGCATTTCATCGGTTTTGACGACACCCGACTTCTCCGCCGAGGACAGCGACTTTCATACATGCAAATGGGTTGTCAGTATCAATGGGATCAAGGCACCATGCGGGATCACTTTCACAGATTCAGGTGCTCTGCAGGATCATCTTGTTTCGACACATATGAACACTGTTGATGGCGCCAAGGGCAATGGGTATTACTGTTGCTGGGAAGGATGCCATCGCCCGGACGAGCCATTCTCTCAAAAGTCAAAGCTTCAGGGTCACTTCTTGACGCATAGCAACTGTGAGGCACCTTTACTTGTTATTCCATCACTTGTACCCACTGACAAATCATCTTCTATAGATAAAAACTTCAGATGTTCTGTCTGCGGCAAGTCTTTCGCTCGACAGGCAACTCTAGATCGCCATGAGCGTAGTCACCGCGGTGACAAACCGTATAGGTGCAAGGATTGTGGGAAGACATTTACCGATAGCAGTGAACTCAGTATGTCCTGTTCCTTTCGCCTCTCATGTACCAAGCTGACCTCTTCAAGAAACACACTCCCGAACCCATAGTGGTGAAAAGCCGTTCCAATGCACGTTTCCAGGGTGTAACTTCACGACTGGCGACGTAAGTATTCCAAGATTACCCCAATTGTCGCATATTACTAACCGGCCAATAGTCATCAAACATGTCTAGTCATAGGTTGACACATGGTGAACGAAAACACAAGTGCCTTTACCCGGGATGTACTAAGAGCTTTACTCGACCAGGTATTTATCATCTCAATCTACTCAGAAGAACTGCCCTAACTCCTATGTCCATGAATAGATCAATTGAAGCGCCATCAAAGAACAACACACAAAACCGAGACCTCGTCGCTTCTTTCACCGAGTCCTGAACACTTCGCTCTTACACCTTTCGGTGTCATCTAACGAATACGAAAACCTGAAACCTCCACAATGATACCCATCGAATAGTAGCATGCATGACTGGCATACTCTTACGACTATGGAAATCGCGCTGCGCGTGAAAAGGCGTATATCATGGCTTTCTGGGATGGGGGAGTTGAGTCGCGGGAACACGCCACTCTGAAATAGCAGTGTGTTCCTTCTCATCTCTGGGCCCCGGGTGGTCTGGCGTTATTTGATATTGTGAGAATACTTCACGACATCCAGACTCCGCTTTATCTGGATTATTTCTATGAGAGGGATTATTCATCCCGGTTATTTCTTTTATTTTTATTTTTCACGTGCCGTCCTTACCGCTGCGCGTTATGTACTGGATTCAACTGCAGTGATGATATTGGCAATGATGATATTGGCAATGATGAAATGTTAATAATGGTCTTGATACCACGGTCGAAGGCTGAATCTTGTTCACCTTAAACAATCGCAAGATTCATCTCAGACATGCAATAAAGATACCTATACACGAGTACCTCCCGATACTAATAATACACCATAGTAATATGTTCCCCTCCATAGTAATAGCCCTCCCCGTAGCATCAAATCGGCATATCTCAACCTCAATCTCACCCCGTAATAGCGTACACTAGGGCCAGAGTCACTCACAGTCACACCCGGCACCACCGAGCTAGACTAGAAACCAAACCACAAGACCCTACTCATCATGAGCCCTCTCCTCAAGAATCTCAACGGCATTCTTCAACTCCCTAACCCTCTGCCCAACCCTCCTCCTAACCTCCCCCCTAACCTCCTCACTAAGCCCCGCCGGATCAAAATTCGTCTCGACAACACCGGCCTCACCCTCGGCAGCAGCACCACCGTCCCCATCAGCGTGTGTCTTGGCAACCTTGGCCCCGGTATAAAGTTCATAAACGGTAACGAGTTGATTCAGCGCGTCGCGGGCAGACTCCCGATCTGAGGCGGCGTAGATTGTTGAGCCGTCTGTGGAATCGGTTGCAATTTCGAACTCGTCTTTGGCGATTTCGTACAGGTCTTGGAGTTCTTCGATTAGATTGTCTGCTGTTGGTGTTGGTGTGCTTGTGCTTGTGGCGTATTTTCTGAGTTGGGATGCTGAGGCTGAGGTCCAGGCTGAGGTTGGGGGTGTTGTCATGCGAGCGCGGAGATTTAGCAAAGGCACGGCAACGGTACGAGCCTGAGCCTGAGTTTTTGTCCCTGCTGAGGCATTCCCGGTCAAGTTTCTAGATTGATTGGCGATTGAAACGCGTGGCACTGAGATTATGCTTGTATTTGTGCTTGTGCTTGTTCGCGGCGGGTTCTTTCGGATGCTGCGAAGTCGGAGCGAGCGTGTTCCGGTACGGAGGCTGGGTGATGACATTTTGACGCTTGAGATATTTGCAATTGAAGAAATTTTGGCGTGTAATGGATAACTTCCCGATTTGATTGATGCTTTTTGTACTGGAGTGAGAATGAGTGTAAGTTGATTAGTTCCAACAGGGAGAGCTCGTATGACTGGCGACGCACCTTATCTGAGATGACGTATGGGTATCACGTGCTGATAAGAGGCCGTTGGGTTCCAGGTGGGCTGACCTTTCTTGCCCTAAGAGGACAGGAATAGTGCTATTAGTGAATTGGGACGAGTGGAATGGAAGGATGGTAGGGCGAATCGATATTCTGCGTGTCGTCGGGTATGTTTGATGGGAGTTGCAAAAATGTGACTTCATGCAACGAACTCGAGTGTTGAAGGATTTAGCCCGGACCCAAGATTGGAGAAGCTTACCACGAAGTACTAATACCCTGAGGCTCTTTTAAAGGAGTGCCAATTTAGGTTTACATTGCATGATCACATCGCCGGGAAATCATTGATCATACGATTACTTTGGTTGGTCCGACCGCAAATTCTTCGAGTTCTTTGACGGATTGGCCCCCATATTATGAACTGGCAACTTTCAAAATGCTACTAGTATCGTGGTAATTGTTATTGAGCCTCCAAACTACCCTCGCAGTCACGAGCAAAGAAATACGATTCATTAGATATTTTCCAGTAGGGCCAATTAGCACTCATGGAACTTGAATCGACGGAAATACCAAACGAAATTGAAGAAGAACACGCACGGAATTTCCACTCGAACCGAAAGCCATATGGGATACTCAAGGCCCAGTCCCAGTCCCACGCCCATGCCCACGCCCAGCCCCAGCCCCAGCCCCAGTCCCAGTCCCAGTCCCAGTCCCAGTCCCAGTCCCAGTCCCAGTCCCAGTCCCAGTCCCAGTCCCACGTCCACGCCCAGCCCAAGTCCCAGCAGCAGCCGCAGCAGCAGGATTAGGGTAAGGAGGTATCGGGGGAGGTATATAGCCTCCGGCTGTAGCTCTACCTCTCCCTGTACCTGGCATTGGTATCATCAAGACTTCTTTCGGGGCATCCATAAGCTCTGCTGCTTGTGCAGCAGTTCCGGCTGCTGTACCTGCAACGGGTACTCCGATTCCTGGTAATGGTGCGATCAGTCGGTTCGGCCACGTTGGTGTTGTTACTGTATAGTACTTTTCACAATTGGCTGGCTGGAATCCATCGGCCCCTGTAGGTATCTCTGAGCTGCCGCCGGGTACAGGTAATAGACCCCAAGGACGTGGGATTGTTCTAGTCTGGTCTCTGTTCGGTAAGAATCGCTTTACACCATCAGCGCTACTGCTGATACACAACCGTGGAGGTATTTCAGGTGCCGTTGCAGTGTAGACCATTTGCCGTAAGTATGGCCCGCACAGCCTTGGCCTGCCTGCTGCCGCTCCTGGATGGACACCAACGGGCCATCGAGACCATTGTGTTACTGCAACCCCATTAACAGCAAGCGCAACTTCTAACACAAAAGTCACTGTTCGAATGTTACCGGATATTGTCGTTGAGATACCGCTATAACAAAATGGGGCTAGTGCTTGGCTAACGTTGATGATATCATCTAAATCGGTTTCATAAAGAGATATAATCTGGGCGCCAGTGTCATCAATCATATCTATATTGACACCGGTATCAAAAGTCGATCCCGGGGTTCGAAATTGGAGAGTGACCTGCGGTATTGACACGATAAATTAGTAGATTTCCTACAGTAGGAGTCTAAAGCTTGACACATACCGGATAGTAAAAAAAGATGCATTGGATTGGACCCCATTGTAAACGCTTCTTTGAGGCCAGTTGCGAATTGCCCACATGACCCTGGTGTATCATGCTAATAGAGTCAATGAGAATCTGTAGGAGATATACAAATATCAAATATTAAATGCGAAGAATGCTTTACCAATTCTAGCCAAAATCCATTATCGCCATCGTTTTTTGAACTTAACTCCAAAAGTTCCTTAACGTTAAACGGTTTGGGGCCCGCAATCATAACTCCCTTTGACCAATATGTCGCTGTGCCATCCTCCCATTCATAGTCACCCGAGCGATATAGGTCCATGATTTTATGGATATTAGGAAGTGAATTATACTTGTCGCTATTCTTGATTGACAATATATCCTTCTTGACCGCCTCTAATCGCTTCAAACGCACGATGACCTGCATACTGAGCCCATCATTCTCACTCTTGACTAGACTTTTCATCTCGTCTTTCATTTTCTCGCATCTCTTGAGCTTATTTTCCCATATTTGAGGCAAAATATTATCCCGAATGCGATTTTTGCACCGTTGAGTCATTGCATCCAAATCACTGTTCAGTCATTAGCAAAATAAACTCGAATCGGACTCTAGAGATATTTACTATTCATCTATATCATCGTCATTTGGATTCCAACCCGCGGGTGCATTTTCACGCCTGTCTATCCGAGCCCCAGAGGTATTTAGAAGCTCTAGCGGCGGTATAGGATCACCAGTCTTCCGTCTCTTGTCTGGTGGCAGCTCTTCGCCTTCGAGCCTTCCGAATCGTCGACGCACGGACTCCTTATGCTCTCCCCACCTTTCTTTAAAATCCCCAATTATCTCCCCTGTGCGTCCACGCTTGAAGATCTTGGACATATTTGGTGTCTAGATAAATATCTGTGTTCGTTTCTGTCAGAAGAACAAATCTAACCTTTTTGTGCTGAACAGTAGTGTAACAGTGGGGGCATAGAAAAAAGCATACTCAAAAATCAAAAGTCGGGAAGGACCCTCAGGCTCAGTATAAGTCCGAGGGTTCCTCAAAGAAATACCATCATCTGAGTGGGAAGGTCCCGAGCGAATAAATCCTCTGGATACTAATTTAGTCGATGATACTACTAGCGGGTCGAGAAATGAAAGAATTCTTTCAAAAGATTTAATAGCAAAACCCGAAGCTAAGATTCTGTTGAAAGAAATTCTGCTCGACTTTCGAACCACCCTTTGAAGATCAAAGGGAGCACTCATGTGAGCAGTTCAGTGAGCGAGCCAGTCCAAATTTTCTATTGGTGGGTGTCAAAAGATTTGTTATCCTGAAAGAGAGCCTTCGAATAATTTTACACTCGATGGAGTATTTTTGCATGATATGCTGGATGGTTTCATTCGAGGCTGATATACTAGTGGCAACAGTACCATACTCCCCACCTTTGGCAAATGTGGTCTTTTGTCTGTTGTTAGGATTGAGATAGGGATGCCTGATGCCTCAGGCATTAACGTTGTCTACCCGTTTACCCGCGCTTCCTCCCATTAGTTAGTAGCCTAGTTCTGCATCTCATTATGAAACCACACTTCATGCCCCTGAGCTTATGACCGTCCTATTGGCATCACCTGCGACCTCATTTCCCCAGATCTCAGCATTCCTTACATTATTGTGGAACTCTGTCATTTTTCCTGCAGGCTGCAGCCAATCATTACCCTTAGTCAATTTAAATATAGCTCGGAGAGTGACTCGCCAAATTGTCGTGTTTTCAATGACAAAATGCTTGAAGCTTTGATTGGTACAGCATACGAACTACCAAAATAGGACTACACCCGCATAATTGCCAGCGAGTGGCTTAATACGCAGTGCTTACCTATAGTTAGCTTTCTTCGAGGTCAATACGGAAGGATCCGCGGCCCAGATGTTCCTCTGGGGCCAAATTGTGGATATACTGTTCAGCCTCCGGACTGTTTTGGGTAGGTAGTGCGATTGTTGCGGAAATCAACAAGAGAAAGCAACATTGTAGAATGTCTATATAAAGGTTTGCTGTGCCAGCAATGCAGACAGTATGATCTCCTTTCCCCCATCACAAGCCTCGGCTTCAGGAATAAGCCACAATGAAGCTGATTTTCCCTTTTACTCTTTATAGCCTTTTAGGTGTGGTCCTAGCCTCGCCTTCGGTCAAAATCGAGGCTGGTACTCTCCAAGGCGGCAAGTGCGGCGATGGAAAAGATGCGGTCTATTACAAAGGAATTCCATTTGCGGAACCACCGATCGGAAACCTACGATTTGAACCGCCCAAAACCTATACCAAGTCGTATTCCAATGGGATATTGAATGCAACTACTAATGCTCCAACTTGCATTCAATTTGGAGATGATATGGTGCCATCTGGAACAAAGTCTGAAGATTGGTATGCAGCTTTGTGAGCGTTGACTATGAATATACTGCTGACAAAATGACGCACATCTGCAGCCTTTACCTGAACATTTGGACTCCCGCTACAGCCACCAAAGACTCAAAGCTACCCGTCAAAGTTTGGGTTTACGGTGGATCAGATAAAAGTGGTGGAATTGGTTACCCATTATATGATGGTTGCAACCTGGCGAATGATGGTTCAATACTTGTTTCAATCAACTACAGACTTGGTCCGCTCGGATTCATGGCACTCAATACTGCGGGAATCTATGGGAACCAAGGAATTCAGGATGTCCTGTTGGGGTTAGAGTGGGTTCAGAAAAGCATTGCGTCCTTTGGTGGTGACCCGGTAAGTCTATTGACTTAAACAGGTCTCCCTAACAAATGGCTTACCCTTATGTAGAAAAAGGTCCTTCTTTTTGGGCAGTCAGCTGGTGCTACAGATGTGTTCACTATTGCTACACTTTCTCAAGCACCTTCACTCTTCAGCAGCGTTATCGCAGAATCGATCGCTCTGCCTTCATTGGTTTCAAACCTCACTCTGCAAAAGACTAGTGCTTCGGTCGCACAGGTTCTCAAGTGCGATATCAATGATGTGAGTTGAATATTTTCCAATTCCGAAATATACACTAACCACTGAATAGAAATCGTGTCTGCAATCCAAATCTATCGAGGACATTCAACATGCAGTGACATCCGATCCTTTTATGTACAAGGGACTTGGTACACTAAATGGCACAAGTGTTCCTAACGGCAAAACACCTAAGTTCTGGCCTTATGTTGATGGTACTATCATCAAAGAGAATCCTCTCAGTCGTGGAGCACAGGTTCCCGCAATCATTGGATATAGTAAGCACTTCCATTGGCATCAAAGCATAAAAGAAACTGCTAATCATATTTTATTTGAATCAAGACCAACAAGAGGGAATGATGGATACCCTTACCAAGTATAACTCTGCCGCGGCTGTCAAAGCTCTTAATGCAACTGATTACAAGACATTCCTCCAAGGGAACTTTGGCTCTGCTTCTCAGATAATCGAGAAGTATTATCCATTGTCTGCATTCATCGCTGCTGCGGGGTCAACCGAATTTGGAGTACTCGAAGCTATAGCGACAGTTCTGACCGACTCTGAATTCAAATGCGCAGGATATCAGAGCGCCAGGAGTTCCGCCCGCAATAATGTGCCGGTATGGGTGTACGAATTTACCCACAATTCGACTTGCGCATGGTTACCGACAATGCCCTCAGCATTTCTCAAATATTTTGGCGCTGCTCACACTGCCGAAATTCCCTATGTCTTCGGCAACCTGAATTTTGATTTCCCCGCCGATAACACTACTTGCAATGGGACGAAGGCCGAATGGGATCTAAGCAAGAAGATGATGAGTTTGTGGACTGCAATGGCAGAAAATGCCAAACCGGCAATTGAAGGTGTCAAGTGGCCTGAATTCGAAATTACAAAAAATGGATCTCAAACGCCCGGACTGATATTCGATAACTCAACTTCGTCTGGTTATATTGATTTTCAAGTCTGCAAATTGTGGGATCAGATTGGTAACACGATAAATCTGAGCAATGCGACAAGCAGTGGCACCCCCCTCAGCAGCAGCAGTAGCAGCAGTACTAAGCACACTGCATCGCCGACCAGCGGAATTGCAACTGCACCTAGCCAAACCGGAAATTCGGTCATTTTGGAAGTGCCTGTGGTGTTGTTAGCTATACTTGCCTGTTTCAACTTAGTGATTTGAGAGAATATGACGGATTTGCAGAATGCTAATGCAATGAGAATGGCGCGGGCAGCAGGACAGTTTTAATAATTTCAATAAAGAGATACCGCTATATAAGAGTATGAAGTGGCAATAGTCAAGCTTAACAACTACAAAAAGACTGAAAGAGCCTTGGGGAAGAAAACATCAATAGCATTCAGGGGCTATCCCTTTGTCGATCCTTTTGCAAACAATCGATCAAAGGGTAAATTGAACCAGTGGCAATTCGCGCGCTGTTTCTTCACCTTATCGGACTCTCGGCTTCCAGCTGTTAGAAGCAACAATGTTCTAAACATTTTTCAAAGTCAACCACACAGTGGGTCTATTTCGAGGATATCATGGTGCTGATCGACTGATCGATCTAGATTCCTATGACGCAACCATACATACATCTAACTGGCCCCAAGACTCATTATCGAAGTGAGCTTGAGAGAGAAAAAAAAGACAAAGAAACAAAGGAAGAAGAAGAAAAACAAGATTACACCAAATTCAAGATTCACAAAGGCTCTAGGGTAAAATACTTCAACCGAAATTGCCGTGATTAAAAGAATCGCGTCGACTGGCGGCTAAATTCTTCAGGGGGTCGCGGGAAAGGCGGGGAAGTAAACAGACCCTTGAAACTGACATTCCACCCTTCATCACCCTGAGACACTTGTCTCCGGACCATCGGGCCGTAAAAATGGAAGGAAGCTCCAATCCTTTCTCTGATATGTGGCCTTTGAATCCCCGTTATTCAGGCTTAATGCGCCTTCCCCGTCTACTTGAAACCACTACCGTCCCGCCTGAAGAAATGCGCGACGCAATTTCACTCCAGGGCTGAGAGGAACCATCAGCACAGTATTTGTTTCTCGGAATTCCTCCAAGATCAGCTGTCACTCACGACAGACAGTACCTAGCGAAACGCAGTATTGTTTTTCAATATGACGCGAATGCTCTTCGCTGCAGTCGCGGCATTGATTCCACTCGCGACAGCGCAGCGCATCGGCTCAATTCCCGAAATTCACCCTCAGCTTGAGACATGGAGATGTTCTACCAAAAATGGATGTGTCAAACATAACACTTCTGTCGTTCTTGATGCGCTTTCCCACCCACTTCATGCCGTAGGCAACGCCAGTGTCTCATGCGGAACCTGGGACGGTGGCTTAAGCAAAGAGCTCTGCGCAACTAAAGAGTCATGCGCCAAGAACTGTGTTTTGGACGGCGTCGATTATGCCTCCCATGGTGTCCAGACCAAAGGCGACAGTTTGATTCTCCATCAGTACCAGAAGTCGAATGGGGTTGTTTCCGCCGTTTCGCCGCGTGTATATCTGCTAGATGAGTCTGGCAAGAATTACGACATGCTGCAGCTACTCAACCAAGAGATCAGTTTCGACGTTGAACTTTCATCACTTGTCTGCGGTATGAATGGCGCACTTTATCTTTCGGAGATGTTGCAGTCTGGTGGGCGGAATAAGCTCAACCCCGCGGGTGCTCAATATGGCACTGGCTACTGCGACGCACAATGTGGATCAAGCCCATGGATTAATGGCGTCGCCAATGTTGACTCTCTTGGTGCGTGTTGCAATGAGATGGATCTATGGGAGGCAAACGCTCGCTCCACTGCTCTAACTCCTCACGCTTGCAATGTGACCCGGCTGTACACGTGTGATGGCGATGACTGCGGCAGCAGGGGAGTTTGTGACAAGTCTGGATGCGGATTCAACCCCTATGCCCTCGGCGACAAAGACTATTATGGTTACGACATGACGGTAGACACCAAGAAACGTTTTACCGTTGTCACCCAGTTCATAACTGACGACCACACATCGCGGGGGAAATTTATCGGAAATCCGACGTCTCTACGTGCAGAATGGAAAAGTCATCCACAATGCAGTCGCAGAGGTCTCGGGCAGTGAAGTGGATTCAATCACCGAAGGCCTTTGTGAGAACTCCGCCAGCTACTTCCAGAAGATGGGCGGCCTGAAGCAGATGGGGAACGCGCTCCGTCGGGGCATGGTTCTAATCTTCAGTATCTGGAATGACTCTGGTCAGTTTATGAGCTGGTTAGACAGTGGCAGCGCTGGTCCTTGCAATAACACCGAAGGCAATCCTGCCCTGATTCAAGCACAGCACCCTGAGACTTCGGTGACATTTTCCAATATCCGCTGGGGTGATATTGGATCTACTTATGCCCATAAGAAGAATTGAGTGGGGATCTAGGATGTTCAATTCAAGTGAAACACTATTCTTCATTTCTTTAGCTAGCTCTAACTAGGTAAAATTCGCCACCAACATCAACTTGCGTCGCCATCAAACTTCGTCAGCATCAAGGAGTGTATACAGTTCGTGTGCTCATATTAAATCATCAAATGCATAAATATCAAAGTCATCGCAATCTTGTTCAAATTCCTCCAGTCTGAAATTCAAGTTAGCCATTGTATACGAGCATTGGCAGGTAGGAGTTTCACATACCTTTATCATCCACTGGCAATGCAAGTTGGTAGGAGTTGTTTACTCCTTCTTGGTAGAAGTAGCAAGGTCCTTGTCCTGGTGGTGGTCCTTGTTCTCATATCCCTTGTTCTCAACGTTCTTGTAGTCGGTGTTTACGACCGCAGCAGTAGTAGGGGTGACAGAGTTGTCCTTGTCGTCGAGGTTGACCTTCTTGTTGTCGTAGTTGGTGTGTTCAATGGGAGAGTTGCGATTCCAAACACGAGGAGTGGGAGTAGCGCTGGTGCGGTCCCAATCACTGCGGCAGCTCCAGCCAGATCGGTCAGAGCGATCGTTGCCTTCGCACTTGTCATAGCCGGATCCAGTGTTGTAGTTGTAGCTGCCATCGTTGTTGTTGTTATTGTTGCGGTTACGGCAGTTCCAGTCGTTACGGCCGCAGTCACGGTCCCAGTTGTTGTTGTTGTTGTTATTGTTGTTGTTGTTCCAGTTGGTGAAGGGCCAGATGCGACGAGACAGGATGTTTGAAACGACATTCTCAGCAACACGGCGATCTTCGGCATTGTTGTAGCGACCATCCTCATAACCATCCTCATAGCGGTCATCAGAACGGTCATTGTCGTAGGAGTCAGGGTTATAGTGGCGAGGGACATGGGGAATTCCAGCGGCATTGTTGGCACCAGCACCGACACCAGCGAGGTTTCCGTGACCGGCAGCAGCATTCAGAAGGTTGGAGGCCTGGGCCTGGCTCAGAAGGTTGGGGTTGGCAGCCAGGTTGGTGGTAGAAGTTGGCTCGAAACCACGCTTCTGGTTGTTGTGCCAAACACCGTTGGCATCAGTCCAGCCACCCTGTTGGTTGTTGGAGTGCCACTGTCCATTGGCATCAGTCCAACCGCCCTGGTTGTTGTTGTTGTTGGTTGCGTGCCACTGTCCGTTGGCATCAGTCCAGCCTCCTTGCTGGTTGTTGGCGTGCCATTGACCATTCGCATCAGTCCAGCCGCCATTGTTGTTATTGTTATCGTAGGGCCAATTGCGGGCGTGGATGCCAGTGCCAGGAATACCAACACCAGGAGTGCCAAAGTGGGTGCCGTGGTTGTGAAGAGCAGCAGAATCAGCAATATCTTGACCAGGAATCCAGCGTCGCTGCCAGCGACCTGCCTCGTTATTGCGACCATCTTGGTTGTATTGACCATTCTGATTGTATTGGCCGTCCTGGTTGTATTGGCCGTTCTGGTTGTATTGGCCGTTCTGGTTCTGGCCATTGCGCCACTGTTCATTCTGGTATCCGATCTCGTAGCCAGATTGACCGACATTGTTGGCGATGAAGTTGCCTTGGCCATCGTAGTGACCCTTGCGATACTGACCACTGGGATCCCAAACACCACCCTGGTCATTGGGGTCGACCGGGAGGGCAAGGGCAGTGAAAGGCGAGACGGCCAGGAGAAGGAGGCCGTTGATCAAAGTGTAGCGCATTTTGAAGGTCGTCTCTTGGTATGTCTCTTGGTATGTTGAGGATTTCGGGTTTTTCTTTTGTCTGAAGAATTTTCTCTTGATCTTGTAAGCTAGAGAGATGGATGATTTGCTTTGAGATGAAGAACTGATTTGACCGTCGAATGTCCTCGTATTTATATTCAATCTGAGAAAGCTCCAAGCCTTGGAATTACGTATTTGAACGTAGCTCTAGCTGAGCTTCAATTACCACTGATGGCAATGTCTGAGCTCGTTGTGTACATCGCATCATTGACTTTCGCTGGGGTTCGGTGTTCGCTGCAAGGGACCCGAGGACGAACGTGCAGTGAGTGATCGTTCTGCCTTGCGGGGATGAAAATCGGGCAATTGACGGTCTGCGCAATGACTTCAGAGATCTATTCTCGCCAGATCAGTATGAGCGAATAAGATAATTCCCTACGTTGATTGTCTTACCGGGTATACTTTTTGGCTATTGCATGATGAACCTCGCATGAAGCTACACATAATAGCGTGTCGGGAGTGTCGATCGTCCCCGAAGGGGCTTAATTACATTCCAGTGATGATCCGGGGTCCGGGAGCCGCAGGTAATCGCATGAACAATGTATCTTTACAAGACTTGTTCAGGACTCCGCGTTTGTCTCGCTTGACGTTGATGGGGTGATTGACGTGACGCCAGCCTCCCTCCCTGCGTAGTCTTGCGCCCATGCACCACGCTTTTGAAGTGCTCATGGGACCAGCAAAACGTGTAAGACATGCAGAGGTCATTGCGTCAGAATAATCTAGATGGCTTGGTAGCTTGAACAGTCGAGAATGGTAAAGCTGAGCTGCCCAAGTAATTCATGTGCAGCTTGCACCTGGACTTGCGGTCTGCTCGGACTTGAACGGTAGGCTAGGGGCGCTGCGGTATTTTTTCTGATTCACTTTCACAATATAGTCTCTTTTCTCCCTTTCGTCTTTGCCCCGCCAGTTTTGTTTGTACTCAACCCGCAAGATGTTTATTGACAAGTCTCCAGATCTTCGTCCACCGGATTACGAGTCGAGTGAGCGCCTGCTTGCTGAGGAAGAAGGTATTTTGTGGACAGAAGACGATGACTCCGATGTCTACATCTCAATTACGACTATGTTTCTTCAATTCACGGCTTTTGCTGTAGTTTTCCTGCTCGGAACTATATTCGGGTTCTTCTGGAGAGCTGACTTGGATGGACTATGTGGGCGACATGTTTCTCGATATTGTGAGAGAGAAGTCTATCAGCCTGCTTCAATCAAATACAGGAAAGCTTACAGTCTTCAGCCCCTATTGTGAATGATCTTGATGTTAAATATAATCTGGAATCATTCAATGGATCCCTTCTGAAAGAATCCATATTTTGACAAGACGCGAGCCCAGAAGTCGATGCAGCCTGGGATTCTCTGGGTGTCAATTGTGTGTCATTTCTCACTGGCAAGAACGAATAACTGTCATGTATCTAATCTGTTCACAGACCGTGGTATTCGAGTTCCTGCCGTAGATGCAGAGGAGTCTGGTCTTGAAACTGATCAGGTTAGAATTAAGGATAGATATGGAGGGGGCTTTCCAGCGGAAGTAGAAGGCTTCCACCACTTACATTGCCTGGTGGGTATCTTTGATCTCACAATGTCGTCGCTAACTTAATTTTAGAATGTTCTTCGACAATCACTCTACTATAACTATGATTATTATCATAGCAGGGGTGAGAGTGTACTCGGCAACAATAGCTACATCGCACGACGCCGGGTTTGTGAGTTTGCAAAGACATTCAAGAAGATGATTCACAGAAGCTAACTTCTACCTCTCTCACTTTCTCTTCAGCGTACTGTCTTGATGTTATTCGGCAACAGCTTATGTGTACCGTCGATACCGGTGTGGTCGGTCAAGTCTGGATCTACCCGGAAAATCCAGAGCCCTACGTGGATTTCGAAACACATCACAAATGCAAAAATTTCGAAGATATCCGTCAGTGGGTGGAAAGGAATCAATTACCTGAGAATCCTCCCTGGGATTTCTTAGTGCACCCTGGTCCCGGTGATCGAATCTACAAAGAAATGCCCTGAACTCCCCTTGATGAAGGAATGCCTCCCTATGAGTATGATATATGAGATAATGATTTCGTTTTATTTTCTGACCCCAGCCCCCCATTACCTCTAGCTCACTGAGTCCCTGGCAGTTTATATTGAGAAATAGTATTCAATTGGTGACCCAAAAATAGAATATAGAGGCCATTTCCAAGGTTTTCAAGGGTAATCTAAAGACAAGACTCTACTTTAGTAAACCGGAAATATTATGTAGAGTATAATGTCTTCTTTCATTTCACGTCAGCCCTGCCAGTGTATGATTGCCAGATGCAACATTCAGTATTTCTCTCTCTAGGCCAACTGATCCAAAAATTGCCAGTACTAGTATATACCTAGGTACCTTCTGAATCTAGAATCGTATCAATAAGAAGCTACTAGCCGTTCCCGATATATTTCCCAACAAATTTCTGATTTCAATCGACAACGACGACGATCTTTTTCGCCGAAACACCCTTTCTCAGTATATAAATTCCCTCTTGAATTCCCTCCAGTCCCTTCTGCTCAATAACAACCGGTTCCGGCGCAATCAAGTATTTCTTCTGAAACAGTGCCTGTGGCAGGAACTTTTCCCAAACCTCCAAGATATCGTCATGGTCATCCCCAAACACCATTTTCGCCCTCACGCCTTCGGGAACCAACCCCTCCGCCAGCGGTGTCGTCGTCACAACGAATATATCCCCGTCAGTCCTGTCCGCAATATCCAAGCATGGCTTGACGGAGCCCTCCGCCCCAGCAGCTTGGAAAATGCCAGCACAAGCACTTTTACCGAAGGCAGCCACAATCTCCGCGACAACAGTCTCACTCGTATAATCGAAGACTCGGCTAGCCCCAAGATTCTTCATATGCTCAAAATTCCGCGGCGACGCGGTCGCATAAACCTCCAACCCAGCCGCACGCGCAAGTTGAATCGCATTCATCCCAACAGCTGACGCACCACCCCAAATCAACACCGACTTCCCCGAACTTCCCGGTCCAATATCAAGATCCGGTTTTGGCAGCGCCAGGAATTTGCTGTTGAATAGCGCATGCGAGGCGGTGGTGAAGCAAAGAGGGAAAACAGCGCCCTCGCTGAATTTCATATACTCGGGAAGAAGACATGCGAAACTTGCCTCAGCTACGACGTACTCCTGAAATCCGCCCATGTGTGCGCCTCGGAAGGCACCCTGTGCGAAGGCTAGGACAAGGTCGTTGGCTTTGAACCGAGTCACGCAGTGGCCTGTCTCGATGACGGTTCCGCTGATGTCTTCGCCTAGGATTAAAGGATATTTCACGAATGGTAAGGCTGTATCCTGGAGCATGTAGTCGCAGGGGTTGATAGCCCAGGCAGATGGTTTGATAAGAATTTGGGTAGGAGAAAGGGTTGTTGGGTAGGGTGTTGGTCGGATAGTCAGAGTCTCCCCTGCTGCATCTTGCCAGGCCGCGCGGTTGGTGGGCATCGTGGTTGAGAAATTTTAATGATTGTAGATGAAATCAACCGAATAATTATTTTGATTGAATCAGGTCAACTGAGTGGCGGGGAGCTTTTATAAGGGCAATATGGGGGTAGACTATATTTCAACTTCGGACGAATTGGTCCGTTCTGACGAGGCTTTTTCTCAGTCTCAATTACAGCGCTACCTTGAGCTCACTATGTTCCCAGTTGTTTGGACACAAAAGCAGCTGGCCAGACAACCTAACAAGTGGATAATTTGGGGTTTAGAGAAGGAAGCCCGTCTAACTCCGAGAGTAAAGCCCGATAATCTCCGGAGGGATCTAGTGAATCGGTATTGATGCGTAGACACGGACGAACCCAGCGCATTATGCGTCGACTAGACAAAGATGTTATACTGAAAGGCTCTCATTCTGGCGAGAGTGGTTCCGCAAGTCCGTAAACTGCCAGGTCATCGCCCATCTCAGGCAAGGCATATACAGCACTCTTCTTCCCTCCAAAGACTTGCAACTCTGCGGTCCCCTTGAACTCCATCCCAATATTTTGTAGAACCTTACGACTACGTCGATTTGACGGGTCGCAGAATCCAAACGCACCCTCAACCCCACAATCAGTATGCGCCCATTCGAGAAGCCCCTTTGCTGCTTCCGCAGCGTATCCTTTGCCACTGTGCTTGGGCAGGACAGCAAACCCGATGTCTGGGGCCAAAAAATGCGGGTCTGGGGGTGCACCTTTCATGAGTGACACGGTGCCTATGGGAGAAAGAGTGACATTTTCTCCTTCCTTGAGTGATACCAGAAACATGCCATATTGGTTGACTGAATATTGCTGGAGAACACGCTGTCGGATGAAATTTGACGCCTTTTCAGGAGTTGAGATAGATGTTCGACCGCAGGAATTGATGAAGTCTTCTGTGTTCCAGAGTTGGACTAGAAATTCCGCGTGTGTTTGATTAGCGGGGTCGAAAGGGACGATGTGTAGTCGCGAGGTGGAGATGTTGAAGCCCGCCGGGAATGGGGCGGATTCTGAGGCCATGTTGATTTGGAGGAAGGTATCATGTATGGAACTTTCGGCATCTTATATACCAGGATAATAGCGTCCTTTTCTAAGCATTCATTAGCGGAGTAGCCTGATGGCTTCTCTCTATTATGAGTCAACTGCTGACGGGTGCAGGGGGGTTAGCCAATCTTGACCAGCGGCGATAGCTAACTAAAGGGTTGACACACACTAGTAGGTATGATTACAGATTGAGCCCATTCAAATACCGACCACAATAACTTCTTAGATTACCAGTAGAAAACTAATTGTTTAGAAATAAGCCTTGGAACCGGTTCAAACTATGGTGCCATACAATTTTATTCAAGTTGAGGCATGAAAGAACACTCAACAAATGCCCCACCATCTGCAACCACAGACCAGCTGCAGCAAGTCAAGACATCGTCACATTACATATCTCCCAGCCCCTTACCACTCAAACAACCCCAACTTCCAACTCGATCTTAAACCACCACAAGGTCCGGAAAGAAAAATCCAACAAGTCGCGGCAACAAAACCCCCCAAAATATCATCCTAAAGCCCCCCCGATCAACCTTCAAAATGACCTCAACCCCAACAATCCTCCTCCTAGGAACATGCGACACCAAACTCCCCGAACTCCTCTACACAAAATCAGCCATCCTCGCACAAGGACCAAGCAAAGTCCTAATACTAGACATCGGCCGAACCCCTTCTTCCTCCTCGGAAGTAGATATCAAACAATCCGACCTCCTCAACACCCAATTCCAACACAATGATGTCAAACAAACATCTACCCCGCCACCACACCCACCGACATCGGAAAAATCAAAAGCAAAAGAAATAAGTAACCTGGATCGCGATAGCTACATCAAAACCCTATCACCCTACGTAGCAGGGTATATATCCAACCTAAACGCAGCTCGACAAATCCACGCTGTTCTCGCTATAGGCGGATCATGCGGCACGGCACTCGCTACCGCCGCCCTGCGCGACGGGTTACCAGTTGGATTTCCGAAATTGATGGTTTCAACCATGGCATCTGGGGACGTTGGGCCTTATATTGGGGAAACTGATATCGCGATGATGTATAGTGTTGTTGATATTGCGGGTCGGAATCGAGTTTTGGATACCGTGTTGCAGAATGCGGCTGGTGCTGTTGCGGGCATGGGGCGCGTTTATTCAAGTCAGCAACTTGAACAGCAAGACTCGGAGGCTACTAGTTCTGTGAGGATCGGAATTTCCATGTTCGGCGTCACGACGCCGGCTGTTACTACTGCTCGAAAGCATCTCGAGTCTATACTGCCCGGTTGCGAGGTTTATGTTTTTCATGCAACTGGGTCTGGGGGTCGAGCTATGGAGAGACTTATATCTGAGGGACAGCTAGATGCTGTGTTAGATTTAACGACTACGGAGATTGCGGATGAGGTCGTGGGCGGAGTGCTGAGTGCTGGGCCGGACAGACTGGTTGCTGCGACGAAGAGGGATATACCGCGGGTGGTTAGTGTTGGTGCGTGTGACATGGTGAATTTTGGCACTTTTGATTCGATTCCGGAGAAATTTGCGAATGATGGAGCGAAGCGGGTGTTTCATCGGCATAATCCGACTGTTACGCTTATGCGGACTACTGAGAAGGAATGTCGGGATATCGCGAGGGTTATCGCGAGGAATATTCGGGGTGCTTCGCGGACAAAGGTCTTGTTGCCGATTGGGGGTGTGAGTATGGTTGATGTTCCTGGACAACCGTTTTGGAATCCGGATGTTGATGGGGATTTCTTCTCTGCTCTTGAAGAGGAACTGTGTGACAGTGAGATAGAGATTGTGAAGGATGGGCGTGACATTAATCACCCGGAGCTTGCGAAACTTGCAGCAGAGATGTTGAGAGATTTGATTAAAGTCTCGATATAGATAAGTGCAGTGAGAGTATAATCATAGAAAGCATTCATCCATGGAACTGGAGCCTCTGGGCATCGGTCTATCACCTGCCAGTGGCAGTAACCTTGGAATGCGGTAGTACTGCAAGTGGCTGCTTCAACAGGGCCGTTTACCTTGACGATACACTTCAGCAACTTCTACACCTACAAGTCTACAGGAAGCTCAAGTTGGTGCTCAGATTATATTTAACTGTGCAGCCACGATCTGACCGACGATAGGGCCAGCAGGACTAAGGTATCAATAAGAAAAAATCCCATCCGTACGCGCAGTGTTGAATGCAAGACCTAACCCAGGTCGACCCACGCCAGTAAACAGAAGAACATCGCACCCCCATGTGGAGACAACTTTTTATGCCGTTGAAGGACAACCACTTTTGAGTTCTAAGTTGATAGAGAACCCGAATGCCAATCGTAACATCGTCGAAAATTCATGTTGAAAGTCTATTCAAAGAAAAGAAGAGGAAACTCATATGTCGGACGCAATTGTAAAAAAAGGAGAAAGATTATGAGTTACTGTCATGAACGACTTCCGCTTAGTAGCGGTAGAGGTCAGCCTTGTAGGGGCCGGCAACCTCGAGGCCGAGGTACTCAGCCTGGACGGGGGTGAGCTCGGTGAGCTTGACGTTGACGTGGGCCAAGTGGGAGCGAGCGACCTCCTCGTCGAGCTGCTTGGGCAGGACGTAGACACCGACGTCCTTCTTGCCACCAGCGCCGAACTCGACGTACTTCTTGCCGAAAGCAGCGTCCTCGGCCTTGAACAGAGCGATCTGGGCAAGGACCTGGTTGGAGAAGGAGCAGGACATGACGAAGGAAGAGTGACCGGTGGCACAGCCCAGGTTGACCAGGCGACCCTCAGCGAGGAGGATGATGTGCTTGCCGTTCAGGAGGTAGCGGTCAACCTGGGGCTTAATGTTCTGCACGGACTGAGCGTTGGCCTTGAGCCAGGCAACATCGATCTCAATGTCGAAGTGACCAATGTTGCAGACAATGGCGTCGTTGCGCATGGCCTCGAAGTGACGGCCAACGAGGATGTCACGGCAACCAGTGGTGGTGACGAAGATCTGACCGATCTTGGCAGCCTCCTCCATGGTGGTGACCTCGTAACCCTGGACGGCGGCCTGGAGAGCGTTGATGGGGTCGACCTCAGTGACGAGGACACGGGCACCCATGGAGTGCAGAGCCTGGGCGCAACCCTTACCGACATCACCGTAACCGGCGACGACACCGATCTTACCGGCGATCATGACATCGGTGGCACGCTTGATACCGTCGATGAGGGACTCACGGCAACCGTACAGGTTGTCGAACTTGGACTTGGTGACACAGTCGTTAACGTTGATGGCGGGGACCTTGAGCTTGCCCTCCTTGAGCATGCGGTACAGGTGGTGGACACCGGTGGTGGTCTCCTCGGAGACACCGAAGCAGTCCTTGAGCATCTCGGGGTGCTTGGCGTGGACGAGGGAGGTCAGGTCACCACCGTCGTCAAGGATGAGGTTGAGCTTCTTGTCATCCTTGAAGGCGTGCAGCTGCTGCTCGAGGCACCACTGGTACTCCTCCTCGGTCTCACCCTTCCAGGCGAAGACAGGGACACCGGCGGCAGCAATGGCAGCGGCGGCGTGGTCCTGGGTGGAGAAGATGTTGCAGGAAGTCCAGGTGACCTCAGCACCGAGAGCAGTGAGGGTCTCGATGAGTACAGCGGTCTGGATGGCTAGGAGTGGGTCAGGATGGGATCGTACGAGGTCGGAATCGGCGGGGGGTTAGACATACTCATGTGCAGGCAACCGGCGATACGGGCACCAGCGAGGGGCTGGTCAGCACCGTACTTCTCACGGATGGCCATAAGACCGGGCATCTCAACCTCGGAGAGCTCGATCTCCCGGCGACCGAAAGCGGCCAGGGACTAAGGAGAGGAAATGTTAGCCATTGAAGGGGTAAATAAGCTGGAATAAGCTTGAAGCTGGAGGTAGCAAGCCATGGGGAGGAGGTGGAGGGGCACATACGATGTCAGCGACCTTGAACTTCTGAGCGGGGGCAGACATGATGAATTGAATAAAACTGGAAGATGTTAGGATTGAATATGGAAGAGAAATTCCAGAGGAAAACCAACCAAAAAGTAGGGGATGAAGAGGGGAAAAGAAAAGGAGGAGTCGAGCAGAGAAGAGGAGCAAAGAGGGGCACCGAAAAGTCAAGTGGCTGACTCAGCGAGTCAGGGCCCCGCGCTGCCCCACGTGAGCCCCACGTGATTTTCGGCAAGCGTGGCTGCCGAGTGGGGCGTAGCATACAGTAGTATAGTATACTACAATAGTAATATAGTATAGATACACTCGATAGTATAACAGTAGGGTATACACTGGAGTATAGATACACGAATACTCTATGGAGTACCTTGTGGAAGAGAGATACCTTGGTGGATACCCGGTAGACACCTTGATAGTCACTTTGATAGACCTTGATAGACCTTGACAGATTGTAACATCAGAAATCTGAGCAACCATGTTCATCAGAACTATCTAACACAAACAGAAAGACCATGCAAAGATCAAAATGTAAAAGTTAAGAGAAACGTTAATACAAATAAAGTAACAATCCAAACATAGGAACCCTCAAAGTATCCTATCATTCATCCATCCATCATAAATCATAACTTCATCACTAGAAACAACCCTAATAAGAGATCGCCGGCGCCTCCATCGTAGCTCCATACGGATTCCCATCATGATATGAAATACCTCCATTTCCATGTCCCCCATATCCATCATGAGCCCCCGCATCCTCAATCTCATCTGGCCAGCGATGATAAGAAGGAAGCGAGTTACTCCGATTGCGCTTAAGTTCCCGCCTCATCGCCCTGCGAACACACTCATGCTGGAAATTATTCGTCTCCTTGCGCTTCTCATTGACCTCCTTCCACTCGCCATAGGCACCTTTAAGACCCAGCGCCGCAAGGCCAATACTCGCCGCATCCAGGACATTCGCTTTCATCCGCTGCTTGCGTGCTTCTTCCGCTGAAATCTCGCCACTCTTCAATTGGGCCATTCGCTCCTTGCGCTTATTCACGGATCCGTACACGCTGTGGCCGGCATGGATTGTTGCCACGGTCGCCAGGCCGGATGTTAGCAGCATGTCCCGCCTCATCTTCTTTTGGGTCTTCTTCTCATCACTACTGTCGCCTAGGTCAGAATCACTCTCGGAGCTGGGGGGATCCACCGCGTGCAGTGGAGGTGGTTGCTGATTTTTTTCCGTTTGTTCCACCGCTGCGTGGGGATTGGGGGGTTCTGCCGCCGTTCAAGGAACGCGTTCGACCTACATCTCTCGAGCCTCTGCCTCGTCGCGAATACCCCCTGCCATACTCTGTGTCTGAATCTGAATCTGAATAGCCGCCGTAGCGGGAGTCTCGATCTCTGTCTCTGTCTCGGTGATCGCGGTCATGATGATGACGGCGGTCCCGGCGATCTGATCGATCGTCTCTGTCTCTGCTTCTGCTCCTGTCTCTGCTGCCGCGGTCTTTGCCCTCGTCAAGGCCAAGTGCTGCAATACCCTTGTTGATGTAGTCTGAGACACTCTTGCTGCGCTTCTTAGATCCACGGCGGTCATCATCACTATCACGGTCACGACTATCGTCTCGACCACGCGGTTTCGATCGCGAACGAGAAACTCGATTGTAGATCTCCTTCCCGGCTGCAGCTAGTGCACCCGTTGCGGCGAGATTCTTAAGACCGCCACCCGTGGAGGACCGACCACGTCCATCTCGATCACGAGATTTGGACGAGCCGCCATTAATGAAGTGGCTGGTAGCCAATCCGGCGAGAGTTGACTCGATGACATGGCGCGTGCCGTGCTTTTTAGGATCTTTGTCGACAAGTCCGTCGGTACCGGCTGCAGTGACAGCGGCAGTTAAAACACGCTTGCCCTTGGCTCCGGACCATTCACCAGGATCCTTGCGAGATCGGAAGGCCTCTGCCGCACCGGCGGTCAGAGCTGCACGGGCAGCTTGCATCATGCGCTGTTCGCTCTTGTTCCGCTTGCCCCCGTGGCGATCACGGCTGCGACTGCGAGAAGATGATGAATAGCGACCATGGCGAGAGTGCGAGCGGCCTCGATCACGACCGGGGTAACGATCACGTTCACGATCACGGTCACTGCGAGAACTGACTTTGGAAGCAGCGCCGAGACCGAGGGCACCTAGGGCAGCGTCGCCGATAGATTTGCGGCGACTGTGACGAGGGGGCGAGCGACTGGAGGAAACAGAATCATATCTGGAGCGACGAGGAGGAGCTGTCGAAGGCAAAAATGTGAGTGTCCAGCACAAAGCGCAAAGTACAAAGCAGGGGTTTCCATCTCAACCGATAAGAAGAGACGGAAAGGAGGCAAGGCAACTTACGACGATCATCATAACGCCGGGACTTTTGAGGACGTGAACGACGATGATATCCGCTATCGTAGTATGGATCACCGCTTACAGAAGACGCACGGCGCACATTTTCGTAAACGGGGCGGCGCGGGCGGCGGCCTTCATAACGCTCATAGACATAGTCCCGTCCAGGGGGGAAATCGCGAGGGATTTCTTCGATCGAGCCATTATCCCGGTAAGAGGGATATGGGTCTCTTTCGACCCTTGCATCTCGGCCCCGTGGATGGTTGTCAAAATAATCTGCAGCAGTACCGCCGCCGCGGGCGCGGTCGCGGGGTGCGCTGTAGCGACGATCGTCGTAGTACGACATCGTTTGTGGGATTTGACGAGACAGAAACAATCAGAGAAAAAGAGAAAGAAAAAAAAGTCGAGTTTTTTGGTGAATCTTGTAGATCACAAATAAAGTTGAGATGGAGAGGAAGAGAGAGAGAGAAGAGAGAGAAAGTCGAGAATTCAGAAACAGAAGCGCCTAGAGGAGGCGGGGCAGGTGGCGTGACGTCGTTGGGCGAGGTGGACGAGAGGTGGACGAGAGGTGGAGGTGGACTCAAGAGAGGGTTGAGGGGCGGTGCTGGCTGAGGCTGACGGAGGCTGAGGCTGGTGAGTGCGAGAGCCAGGTCAGAGGCATATTTATTACTGGTACTGGCAAAAGGAGAAGAAGTACCACCAGGGGAAGAAATTGAGGAGGTTCTGCGCCCATCTGGATATACTAATATACTATTAATACTAATAGTCCAATCCCCTCCCCTCCCCTCCATATGACGTCGTGCCAGCCTCCTCCAGTTAAGGATGTTTTACCCCCTTCCAATCTGCCCAAAATAATGTTCTGGAATCGGTGCTCGGTTCTCGGATGCTGCCATGGCCCTGTCGATTTTGCTTATTGATTGCGCCCGACGTCATGCTGCAGGTCGGCGATCAAGGCAGTGACAGCCCTACCCAACACACTTGGTTGGTTTTCCCATTTAACGCCATCATGACAGGACTAGACCGCCACTTTCGATGTGGTGGTGCCATAGTTGGTGACCTGAACACCTGTACATGTGGCTGATGCTGATGCTGATGCTGATGCTGATGCTGATGTTGATGTTGATGTTTTGTTGATGTTGAGTGCTTCCAAGGATCAATTCCGGGGTTTCCTTCCATTTCCATGGCTCTCGTCCGGCTGGTCCCGCCACGCCCAGGTGGCTCATTATTCTCTTCTACCCTTCTATCCTACAGTATACTTACTCTTTACTCTTCATCATTTCAGTTTTTTCTCTTTCTGTTGGTCGCCCTCGCCATTTTTCATCGCTAACCTACACCTACCTGTCTACCCCGAAACGCAGAAGCTTTGCCCCCCCCCCCGGGGGCTTCTCTCTACAATTGAATTTCTTCGTGGCAAAAGATTGTTGCTTGGTGCAGCCAGAGCTGGTCGCACACGGTCATTCCATTCATGGTGATCCTTGCTAATTCCTATACAAAAAATATACCTCACCCAACGAGACAAATCACCCCGCCAGGCCTCCCGCAGGGAAGCGCATGACGCCCTTTCCGACATGACACAGACAGGCAAACCACAACGGTACGACCAAGGTACAACAATAGTGCACAACGTACAGATCACATAATCATAGAAACTTCTTTGTTCCCGGATATGCTAACCGAACTATCTGAACTCTGAACTCTGGACCCCTCTTCCCCGGATTTGCAATAATTTGACAGGTGCGAAGTGTCTCTTTGCCATTTGCAAAGGGCCATAGGCGTATGAAGTGGGTGAGCTTTTGGTACAACAAAGTGCCCTTCCGTTCGAAGGATGATGACACAGGAAAGGAAATGAAATGAAAAGCGATAGAAGAGCAAAACGCTTCGGAAACAGACAGCGTAACAACACTGCGCAGCAGTGAGTGTTTAGGACACACGTGACCTGTCATGGTCAACGCGAAGAGAAAAGGGAAATGAACAGAACAAGAGTAGAAAGAAGACAACATGAGAATAAATCAACCAGGATAATAACTTGAACAAATGCAAATGCAGAAAAATGGCAAGTAAAAACAACAACGTGGGGTATCCGTATGCGGGCCATGAGAGAGACGAGATGAGATGAGATAGAAAGAATACATCGACGGTAACCAGCGAATCTACCGACATCCAAAAAAAAAGAATATGAAAAAAAGAAGACACAGACAGACGTTCTGTTTTTGGACTTTTCAATCAGGACCGATGCTGATTTAATCGAGCACCCGGTGGGGGCATCACACTAGCATTGCTAGCATCAGTGGACTGACTAACGATCCGATTATGCGCAGAGGTATAGCCAGACTCAGGTCTTGACACAGCGGCCCATCGCGGGTCTGCCTCCGGCTCGGACGTCGAGCGCATTTCATCCGAATGCGTGCGATGCGTACGAATGTGTTGCTTCATATTATCCTTGCGGGTAAAGGCCTTATTACAAATCGGACAATGCACGCTCTTCTCGCCTGTGTGCTTCTTCCCATGACGTGCTGCGTGCCCGGATGTTGTGAATGTAGCAGAGCACCCGTGGCTGGCCGCGTAAGGGCATGGATACTTGTTCTTCGGTCCCGTGCCTCGTGTTCCTCCGCATGATGATGACTTCGCCTCTGTCCCGGATGTTGATTGGATTTCTGGAGGCGTGCGAGGCGCTGCTGGGCCTCTTGATGGAAATCTATAGGCGCGTCGTCGCGAATCTTGTCGGGCATATGGGTGGTAGGCGGATGAGGGGGCATGGCTTGTCAGATATTCATAGGCAGATCCCTCAGATGAGCCGGGTGAGGTGGGTTGGGTTGCTTCTATGAATGTGTGGCGAGTACTCCGTGGTGATGCTGTTGGTGATTCTGATGAGGCATGAGGATGGTTGTATTGAGCGTCGCCGATGAGTGGGGGAAGTTGTTCTGGTTGAGAATTCAATGATGGCGATGGCTGGCTGGATGTATGTCTGGGGTTGGACCGGACGGCAAACGACGGGTGGTCATCATTATTCAGGATTGATACAATGTTCGTTCTGCAACTGGAATTCTCCTCGACGCCCCGATGTGAGTTCACCGAGGATGGAAATGTATACTAAATTAACAACGGATGGTTAGTTTTCCAATATTATCAATGAGACTCCTCGCCAGCGAGACAAATAGACCCAGGAAGGCCACCCGATTTCGAGCAGAGTGGTGGTTGATAGAAAGAGGAGAGAACTGAAAGAAGAGTAGGGGGAGGGAGAAGGGGGAGGGAGACAGCAGAGAGCACAAAGAACAAGAGTTTAGGAGGAGAACTCCCCTTCCCTGAAATTCTGCTGCTGGCGTCCCTCCTTCTTCTCCTTCTCCTCTGCATAGACTGGAGATGACGTACAGATGGCTCTCGAAAGATGTTTGGCCTTTGCGTCGTATAACACATCGACAACATTAGGTCCGCCGTCTGCTGGCAAGACGCACAATGTCGGGTTTAAAGTTGTATCCTGTACCGTTGACCTTGGTCAGGACAAACTAGCGATTAAGTCGGCTAGTGATCAAGAGGGAATACTGTCGCTATAAGATATCTTCCCCGATCAACTCTTTCGCACCGGCGACCTTCAAGTTGGGGCGAGTTAGCGCAAGCAGGGTTTTGAACCCCGGGCGTTCGATCTTGCTGGAGGAACAAAATAGTCGTGAGAGATTTTGGTTCCCTTTTGTTCTTTTCTTGCGTCTACCTGATTCGACGTGGGGAACACAATTCTCAACGGCAGTTGCAAACCGGCCTGGCGATATTGCAGGGGTGGCCGGGATCTAAGATCGTCAAACCACGAACAAGTCCCGTTCTTCCAAGGAAAGTCTTTAGATCAAACTGGAAGTGCAGATGAGTAGCCTGGAGTGGAAAGCTACTTTAATAAGGGAGTGAAGTAGCCGGTGATTGTGGTGGATGTGCCGATACGAGATAAGCCAGGTGGGTTGGTCCAGTAACAGGAGGAGGGGGTGGAAAGAGATTCGTAACAAGCCAGCAGGATGGTGAAAGCAGGCAAAGGAACGGAAATAGTAAAATAGAGGATGGGAGATGAAAATGATGAAGAATACAAAGTCGAGAAGTAGAGATAAGTCGTCGAGAAGAAGATGGAGAAGTAAAAATAAGAAAAGAAAATAAAAGAAATCAAAAATAAAACCCGCAGCTTGCGTATCTCAGGAACTCATCATACTAAATAGGACAAGGCCAAGCTTCAAGGGTCTCTACGAGGCTCTCTCCAGTCCAGGTACGAGTTCAATACAGTACGGAGAGCTAGAAATGATACAGTAAGGGACCCCTAATCCACCACGAAACCCACCCCTGGAACTACGGTGGTTTCTGTGAAGACCCGTTTTCCAGGCTCCGTTTCTTCCGGCCCGCCCCATCGACCCTGGCGGGGACAGTCGTCAGCCAAAAAGATCTGCTCGCTATTTAGGCCTTCTTTGGCTAGCAGCTAGCAGCTAGCATTCTGATTTGTGCGTTGAATTTAATTTCAAGTTTAATTATCGTTTTTCTTCCCCCCATTTCCTCCGTGCTGTATGCACTTATCGAACGGTCTCTTACAATCCGACCCATTCAACTCCGACTCCGCCCTAGATTATTGCCAACCCAACTAGGGCTTCGGTTGGCCCAAGCGATGCTCCACTGAGGGTGGTGCTGGGCATATCGGTAGAACTACGGAGATTGTTTGATAATCGGGATAAGGCTCATAATCAGTCCATGGACCCTGGGAACCAGAAATTTGCCCCCAAGAAAACCCGCTCGGTTCGGACTAGAGTTTACCCTGGAAAGGGGGGCCTTAGACCCTCATTGGCAAGGGCCGGGAAATCCGGATCGTGTATCAGTATCAGTATTAGTATTCTATTCGTCACGGAGTATAATTAAACGGTATACATAGTACACTTTCAACTGAGCCGTGTGGCTCGTTACAGTAGATCGCGAACAAGGCGAGAGCCACTGGAGTCTGGGGACATACGTAAGATGTTACGCTCATCACTACGCCGCTTCGGGAGATCATGACCGGCTCCGAGGTCGGTGGAGCGAGTGCCGCAGCGTGTGTCCATGCTTGCGAATCAGTGGGAGCTAGCCCGAAATCTGGTACAGTGGTACAATGGTACACGGTACCCGTAACTCCGTACGAGTTCTCCATCCTGGTAAGAACAGGTACGTTCCCTTGGGTGGTGCACTGGCTAGCTGGCTGATTCCGATTGTGTTACTACAGGGCCCTGTTGGTAGCGTTGAAAAGTAAAATGGATGAAGCAAACCAAGGCGGAAAAAAAAAATCCAGAAAAGGACCCACCATCATCCCGAAGCTTTTCGTTTTTATTCTTGCTTTGTCTCTCCACTCCCTGCCCTAGGAACTTTAAATACCCTTTGTCTAATCTTCCGATGCCAGTGATTATCTGCCCACCATCTATGGTACGAGTATGTATGTGCATACATAAACTGTAGGGCTATTTACAAACCCGCACTCCCCTCACTCGGACGCCTTGTATTCCGATCTTTACCCGGCCACCGGTTCTCTAAACAGTATTCTACACCGAGTGACGAGTGATACGGACATTGTCATTCCGACTTGATATGGGCGTCCACGTATGCATATGACCTTTGTCATCCAAATAGTGACAATAGTCCGTACGGGTATACTCTGTACAGAATAAATGGAATAAATGGAAATAAATCTGATAAATTACCCGTAGATAAATTACCAAGCCAACAGCCCTATGCTTTTAGGGCTTAAATTGGCCCGTGCAACCCTTCGTACTCGTACGCGTCCAATGCCGCCCCGCTCCTTTCACCTTCCACCGCGGGGGCTCTCCGCCAGCCTACGTAAGACGCAGACGTAGTTAATCTTCCTTTGTCTCCTTAGTCCCCAGGTGGATTTGACTACGAGTGTCGAATGCCTTTATCTTCCAGTTCATGGCGGGGAAAGCTCCATCATATCCCATTTTTGGATACGCATCCTTGTTCAACCACATGGTATCTAATCCACGTCCCCGTCTCCCACTCTCCTACTCTCCCGCCCCAATGCCGTCTCCCACATAATCGACCGCAACACATGGCATGTGCCGATCAGTCAAGCTTCTAGCCCACGATCGCGAGGTTCATGCTAGGCTCGATGGCCTTTTGGGCGTTTGATGCCGAGCGATGATTTGCTCTACGCCAGCCAGCAGGACGGGGCATACGTATGCAGCCTACGTATATCCACCGGCACCATGACAGGGCTAGTTCCCGATCCAGCGATCGCGCTGTCGCGAAGGCCTGACTAGTACTCTAGCCGGCGGATGGCTTCTCCATGATTCGTACGCCGCTCGCTCAAAGCGTCCGCCCTAGCCCGTAGCAGCTGACGCCAAACGCCCCCGTCAGGGTCCTCGGTTTCCCTAGCGTCTGTGATGAATACCACCAGGAGTATACAATTACCCAGCTTCAAATACCGAGTGTCGCGTTAGAGACCCCTAATGATGCCTTAGCGTCATCCGCTAGAGTCGCTCTCCCTTTCTCTTAACCTTTTTTCTGTTACCTCCCATGCAGGGACTCGTGGCCCATCCCCATCGGCTTACTCTAGACAGATCAGGGTGCGGACTTCAAGCTGCAATTTTTGGGATCCACTATCCCCGATTCACATCTAGTGCGATGGATCATGGGAATCGTTGGGGCAGATTGGATTGATCATTCATGCACACCCGCCACGCCCACGCGGCCTTATCCTCATCGTGGCTGGAAATTTCTTAACTCGGTTGGGTTCCGTGGAACGAGAGCTTGAGCTAGACCCCTCCTCGCTCCGCTTAGTTAAATGCTAGTTTCAGGGCCCTGTCTTTTTTTAACATGGCGATAGGCGTTCGTGAATTTGGACCCCAAAAATTTCCCTCTTAGTGAGTGGGAATTCATTAAAAAAATTTGGTCACGAGGCCAAGATGTCGGAGCAAGGAGAGAGAGAGATCAATCTGTCAAACCACCACATTGTTCTCGACCGAACTTAAAATCTAAATTACACTCGGAGATAACTTACTTGATCCGCCCCTTTGATGACAGACGTCACAACTGTCATTGACCTGTGCACAGCCACCCTCCGCAATCCGTTCATAAATCCGACTCGTCGATTATGTAGATGGCGATAACTCTACTCCATTAAGATCTTGCTGACTCCAGGCTGCCACGCTTTCTTCTTGTTCGCTTCCGCCAAGTGGATGCACACAGCCACAACCCCGTTCACATTCTTCAGTGCTGCCTACCGCACGCGCTTCCAGAACGCTCCAGCGAGAACGCTCTGCGGGGACAATCGCACTATTGAAGCCAATCCGCATTAGCCTGCCTCGGCAATTTCTATTCGCCGGTTTTCTAGAGACGATCCGGGTCTCAGCCTGCCGACTTGCTGACCAAAGTCTAAAGGGGCGCAGCAGCACACATGGCCGTCCGGAGTACACACCAGTATATCCGAAAAGAGTAGGCATGTAACAAGTACAGGGAATTGAATATCAACGCTTTCTTAATCTGATGGATATGGATGACAAGAAAATGCTACTGCCTAGAGCACTCGCGCTACGCTTTCCCTTCCTAGTGACTTTCATCTTTTTCTTTTTCTTTCCGCTGTCATCCGGAAGAGCCACACCACTCACTTTGTACTCCGTACACCTGGCATCTCTCCCCAGGACAGAATAAGCTCCGATTTGTGGCGCGGTGTCTTGCGATCGCGATCGTCCTATGTCTGGCACCTGCCCCATGCTTCTTCGGTGGTCCGCATACCTAACCTGGCGAATTGGCCGATCAATCTGTAAATAGCACCGCTATCGATGGCGCTATCGAAGAGATGACGGAGTATCGTCTTGATATTGACGGTCCGCCCTTTAAGGGGTGATCATATATGTACATAATGCAGTACTAGTGATTGAATAACTTGTTAGTTAGTACTTTGTACAAGTGGATTCATTCCGTTGCTGTTACGGAGTACGGAGGAGAGTTCATTCAATCGGACCTCCGACAGCCGACTCCCGACCACCAAGTCTAATCCACCATTGGGCAATATTGAATGTGGAATTTGTACCTGTACTCCATACTATGTGGGAACTACAGCACCATACGCGCCGGGGTATTCCTTCGCCTAAGCAGGTGATCGATGTACTCGTAGTGGATAGGCTCGTATTTACTGGGGAATGCACACGTACAGTATGTTGTCTATCCGTCGACTAAGTGGATTTACGTTTAGTGGGTAATCACGAACGACATCTGCAGTACTCCATCAGGCTATCCGTAGAGAGATTTCGATATCGAAAGCTTCCCCAAGCCTGCAGGGCGCAGCCACAATGAAGTCACCGGACAGATGTACCATGCAGGTTTCAACCACACAGCACGAAATGCTCCGCACTGCACCGCCCCATCGAACATTCGACGGCTCATGTACCGAGACACTTCGAGCTATATGTCTCAGCTTTCGATCCAATAACTGTCTCTACATAGTCGAATAATAATTGAGACAAGCATATCCGCAGCAAATTCCTTCCCTCGGGCGGGGACTAGCCCTGGTATGGAGATTAGATGCACACGCCAGCACGGGCAACGTCTGCAGTACTCCTTACCTATCTTCCAAACATCACTGGGTCCCAGGGGAAAGAGAAAACCCACACGCTATTGCTATCACCCCATGCCAAGCGCAATATGGTTTTCTTTCATTCGACCGGCCCGCATAGGGTCCGGCCGAATTGAGCTCAAGTGGGGAGAGCAATTTTAGTGGGGAAATGATATCCACTCAGCAAGTGGTTGTTGTGGCAGGGTGACGAGGCAGCACTCGCACTCGCATTCGCACTCACATTTGTACATGTACAGCCGGCATGTCGAATCAAAGATGATGCTCTGTGGCTTAGCGGTGCTTGTACTCCCTGAATTTGTATTGGTGTTTTCCCTCTTACGAGAAGGTATGTAAAGATTATAACATACGCGTTTTACAAAACATTTCCAAATTTGAAAGATTGCCCATATTTACAAGCGTACCCACATGCGACTGCTGTACTTGCTTTATGCGATTCTGAATTAATTAGGTACCCTATTTAGTACATACATACATACAGTTTACAGAGTGCATATCTGCCCAATTTTATGGCCCCGTAGCGAACTTCGATTTCCACCTCCGTAGCAGATGCCTGCAATCCTAGGCATTAGGGCAAGAACATGTTATAGAAACTTGAATGTAATTGATTTCCTTCTACATACTAAACGATCTTCTCAATAAGCACCTCTTACCCCGCTCCACTATCAGCTTGGGAAATTCAAACCGGGGCAAAGAGCTGCGTAAGCCGGAAACGTCATGCCGGGAGGTGGGTTGTGGTAGACTCCACGCGATGTCGAATCCTCACTGCGGAGAGGCGTGCGCCAAGCTGAGGGAAATTACTCGAGAGCTTAATAGTGTGGCCCCTGCATGATTAGTGGATTTGATGATATGGCATTGTGCGAATCAGTTACGTGGAGCGCTGTTTCCATAGTATCTTGTTGGTTTGTTTGGGTGCGAGCAGTAAGGTTGGTTTCGTCTTCTTGGTCTTTGCTCTGCCAGATGGAACTGGTTCGGTGTACTCTTGCCCCTGCATGTATCAGTTCTTCAGTTACTGGATTGATTTTGGAACATGATTGGGTTGATTGTGGAATCGACAAGCGCCCGGCCATTGATGCCGGAGATTGACGTGGCTGCGTGCTTTTGTGATCAGTTCAGTTGCGTCACTTTCATCGTGTGATACTTCCGAAACAGAAACTTCGTGTTCTCGTTGTGTTGTATTGAAGACTGGGGTTAGTATGATTATGGTTGTCAATTTAAGACTCATCACTATTTTCAAGATCATCTCACATCTTGTTGAGAGGAGCGGACAGTGAGATTCATGGGACAACTCAACCGTCCTGATTATGTTCATCTTCATTATTCGATCATAACTAACTCTGATAAGCAATTCTTGTTAGAGACGAGTCGACCTAGTACCGGCCAAGAATGTCGACACCTTTTCCACTCTCAGCGTCCACCGTTCAAATCTTTCGAGCAGCCAAGTCTGATAAACAGATTCATACCGCAATCCTCGTTTCCATATCCACATACCTACTTGCTTTTCCTTCCCACGCCGAATGACTGAAAAGAGTAATCACGGATAACCCGCCATTCGAGACAGAAAAGAACAGAAGTCGCATCCTGGCTCCCTTGACGAGCCGAGGCGCATCAACTTGCATATGATGACATCTGATGGGCCAACACTCTCGCAAGTGGCGGTTTTCAATTTGATAGCAATTTGCGAATTGATCAGGCCTGTCATATTTCATGGAATTGTGCAGGCTTCGACTATTCGGCCAAAACATTATAAAAGGAAATCATTGGGGGCTTGGAGGAGTTCAAGTCCTCCCACTCCAAGGCTGCTGCAATGCTCTAGTAACAAGTAACTATCTCCGTAACTTCGACCAGTGGTATAATTTTACTAGTATGTTGGCAAATACTAGTAATCTTCGAAATTACTGACAGTACTAGTAAGTTGCAAAGTTGGAATTGAAGCCCTGGACCACAGAATAAATTTCCACCCGTAGTTATACGTCGATTACCACTGGCACTTGTCACCATTGGTAGATACATCAATTCAAGTTAGTAGAAAGCCTTTTTGCAGTCGTATTCTGCTGGCTTTGTTGAAATTCTTCCGAACCTCAAAAAATTGCCATGCAGGCAGTCTAGGTGACACTTGGTAAAAGTAACTGAAACCACCTGGCATACCACGCCAGTCCTTTCAGCTCGACTAGAAACCGACAGGAAAAATCGCCAAATACCTTGAATCCACCGATAGGCCGGCTGAAATAATACTCAGACAAGTTCATAATTGTTTGCTTCCGTGCAACAGGGAGCTCTCTGCAGTTTGAAAAGCTAGAACCACAAGAGTCGCCACCTGGAGCAAAAGCCCAGACAAATCAACGCAGCAGAGACCTCAAAGACGGCGTCCTCCCCGAGAAAAGTCCAAATCTCGGATTATATATCCTCTGCGGCCGGGTTTGACGCGATACATGGACCTAGGCCACGACGAGCCGGCGATCAAACTCGCCAATAAAGCACGACCACAGACGCATAGTCGTCGTTTTTTGGTGTGAGATGCATCGTGTGAGACGCGAGCCTTAACCTTCCGAAGGTATCGGTGAAACAGGGATGATCCAGGTAGCCGATGGTGATGGCTAAGTGTGTTGCTACTTGAGTGTGCGGGCCTGAGGTCATTCGTGGGGCGGGGAGCAGGGGAGGAGGGGTATACCACGACTCCATCCCTTCAGTGCAACATCCAACTGCCTTCTCCCCTATACTCAGTGAGACCAATACTATACTTCGAGGAAGAGTCAATTTCCGCTTTTTATCATTCGATACTAGTATGCCCCGACCGGTGAATCGAGAGGAAGTCCTCGCGCGTCTGCGTAAGACGGTCGCGGATGGTTCCATTATTGTTGGCGCCGGAGCTGGTGAGTGCTGGGATCACAGTGTTGCAGTAATCCATGGCTTCGATGGAGAAAGCTAAGGTCTACGAGGTATCGGCCTGTCAGCCAAGGCGGTCGAGAAAGGCGGCTGTGATCTGATATTGGTCTACAATTCCGGTCGATTCCGCATGGCTGGTCGCGGCTCGCTGGCCGGGTTGATGCCATACTCGGATGCGAACCAGGTCGTCGTGGAGATGGTATAGTTCCATCTAGCCCTTAGGTTCCCTCCAACCCCCAAGCCAACTAACGAGAATGGTTGTTTTCCTTCGATATAGGCGAGCGAAGTCCTCCCCATTGTGCAGGATACCCCCGTCCTGGCCGGAGTTTGCGGTACTGACCCCTTCCGCTCGATGCCAACCTTCTTAACCGAACTGCAACGTCTCGGTTTCGTCGGTGTACAGAACTTTCCGACGGTCGGGTTGATCGATGGACAGTTCCGTGCTAATCTAGAGGAGACCGGTATGGGGTATGATCGTGAAGTGGAGATGATCGCGACGGCGCACCGACAGGGACTCGTGACAACGCCGTATGTCTTCAGCCCGGAGGATGCGGTGCAGATGACGCGGGCGGGGGCGGATGTTGTGGTAGCTCACGCGGGCTTGACGACGGCGGGTTCAATCGGGGCTCGTAGTGGGCGTTCGCTGGAGGACTGTGTGGGATTTGTGCAGGCGATTCGTGATGCGGCGGTTGAGATCAACCCGGAGGTGCTGGTGCTTTGCCATGGAGGGCCAATCGCACGCCCGGCAGACGCCCAGTTTGTACTGTCAAGGACTCGGGGGGTGCATGGGTTCTTTGGGGCAAGCAGTATGGAGCGATTGCCGGTGGAGGTTGCGATCCAGGAGAATGCGGAGGAATTTAAGCGGTTGAAGATTAATTAGCCGAGTGGACGGAGGGGTGGGAGGGAGTATGTGTGGGAGAGAGAGATAAACAGAGGAAGAGAAGAGGAAGACAAGGAAGTGAAGTTGAAGAGTCCGGAGCACATGACCGCCATCTCAACCTCATCTCTCATCAACTCTACTCCTCTACACACACTCTCTTCTTGCCTCTCTTCTATACTTCTACCATAGCTACTGTATCTCACCACTGCATGACCATTCATTGAACCCCGATGATCCTACTGACCCACTTTCCCCAACTTCGCCCCTTCGGGCAATTTGCGCCCGCCGTGGAGAAGCCGCCAGTCGGCTAAATTGCGAGGCGAGTACAAAGCAAAGCATCGCTGTCCTTTTTTTAATCATATTTACAACTTGCTTTTCTGTCTCTCATTCAAATCCCTTCAATCTCCTCAATTCCATCCTCAAAATGTCGCGCGTCTTGGAAGGAAAGCTGGCCATCGTCACTGGCGGATCGCGGGGTACTTCATTTCCTCCATCTTTCTCTCCCCCGCAAACCCCAACCAGCTCCGCTAACTTATGGTTTTTTTTAGGAATCGGCGAGGCCGTTGCCCGCAATCTGGCCTCAAAGGGTGTCTCTCTTCTCCTAAATTACACCTCCGACTCATCACGCGCGCCCACCGAGAAGATCTGCGCTGAATTGGCCGCTGAGCACAAGATCCGCTGCGAGTTCGTTCAAGCGGACCTGGGCAAGCCCGAAGAAGCCACGGCTGCCATTCTCAAAGCTGCGCACCAGCACTTTGGTTCCTCAGGAAAGTTGCAAATCGACATCCTCATCAACAATGCTGGTGTCTCGGCGGATCGGGATCTGAATGATGCCCAGCGCGGCCCCATCACTGCCGACCACTTTAACTGGCACTACACCATTAACGTGCTAGCCCCCTTGCTACTCACGCAAGCTATCGCTCCTTTCCTCCCCACAGACCGCTCGGGTCGCATTGTCAATATCTCCAGTGTGTCGGCCTCAATGGGCTTTGTCGGTCAGTCTATGTATGGTGGTACCAAGGCGGCTCTGGAATCTATGACCCGGACCTGGGCGCGGGAATTATCCGACCGGGCCACGGTTAACGCCGTGAACCCTGGTCCTGTCATTGGTGATATGTATTTCAAGGCTGGTGAGGCTTTCTGGAATGATATCCAAGGTTATATGGATAATACGCCCATGACCAAGTTGGATGTGAATGACGAGTCGACTATGAGCCGGTTGACTGAGGAGCAGATTCGCCTGATCAAGGAAAAGATGGGTGGTCGTCGACCGGCATTCACTAGTGAAATTGCTGGCGTTGTCTGCATGCTATGCACCCCCAATGGTGTGTGGAGCACTGGTAGTGTTGTATGCGCCAATGGCGGTATGAGGATGGGTGTTTAACATCGTTCAACCCAAACTCACAATAATAAAAAATGAAAATCATGAGTACTTCTATCACGACAAAACTTCGCGTTCAAGTGAAATGAAAAGTAAGCTTAGAGCCTGAAGAGGGCATCGTAAAGCTACTAGGTGAGATGATATTTATATTGTACTAGTACTAGTAGTACTTTGCAAAATCATGATTGCGCGGTTGACTAAGTGGCACTAGTACGAGTGGAGATAGGATGATATGGACACAAGCCAGATATATTCAGATCAGTGGAAGTGAGAGGGCTGTATAGTCCCAAATATTCCCTTTCTAGCTTCTTGCAAAGGTAAGATAGAGATGGTGATTGAGAGTGGAGCAATATCCAGATCCTTGGATCTCTACAAGATACCAACTTCAAAAAGGTGCAAGTATAGCACCTAAGAACTAGAAGGCAACATTCAACTTGAATTTTGGAATGCACGGGATCTCAATTTAATCACAGCATACTCTTCACTCCAGGTATTCCTTTTCGGCATCTCGGAACCAAGTGGACTGCCTCTTCCTCATCTATTTCCGACTTACTCTCTGTTTCGGTTTTTATCAAACCAGCAAACCCTCCAATGTTTTAAGATCCCTCGGCTAACTCGGGCTTTTTAACTGTCTGAAGTGACTCCTTTGTTTGAAGAGACCAACATCTGTGGTAGAGACATGAAGTGTTTTAAACCCTACGTACCGTGTGTATCATACAGAAAAGATAATTGATGTAATCGAATATATTCAAGGAGTGTCCGCTTTCAAAAAAAGAGTTAAATACATCAAGGCTAACCAATTATGTCTTGGATGAGCCATCATTATAGAATCTGGGCCTTCCTCCAGCCCAATTTATACACGACCATTTTGCCATCACACTGTGCTGATTTAAGGGAGGGCAGCGGGAGAGTAAGCCTGGTCAGGCTTGACGACATTGCCGCCGTCGAGCTGCTTATCGGTGTAAGCGGGCCAGACGATCTGGCGAGAGTCGTTGTTGACAACGGAGAGGGTGGTGAAGCCATTTCCAGGACCGAACTGGCCGCTCCAGCCGGAGGTGATGGTGTAGACACCGCAGGTAGAGGGGCCACCGTTACGCTCAGAAGCCGTGTCGCCCTTGACGACGTAAGTGCAGGCCTTGGTGGCACCGGTGCCAACCTGGATGCCGAAGTTCCAGGTGCAGGAGGTGTCGGCACCGTTGCAGACGCGCTTGAGGTTGCGGATGGTCCACTGGGGGCTGGCGGCCATCATGTTCTTGCTGGTCTCGGCCGGGGCGGCCATGACCGCGGAAGCGGCGACGAGGGTGGAGAGAAGGACTTGAGTGATCTGCATTTCGGCGGTTGTTTTGTAGGGTGGTTGGTTGGTGGTGAAGTGGAAGTTTGTTTGTATAAATGGAGATGGAGATGGAGTTTGATGGGGATGAATTCGTAGGGCTGGAGGAAGGTATTTATATTCTTTCTACAAAAACAGCCAAGTATATGCGAGGTAGGCAGCTCGATCGATCATAGCTACTACCTCTGCTGATCTCCCATCATACTTCCTTGAAATAGAATGAACTAAGGATTAGTGCATGTAACAGTACTGTGAAGAGGCCGGAAATAACCCGCCATGTGCTAGCGATGTCTTAGAACTGGACCGGTGAGACATCATTATGAGGTACGGACGCACGAGTAGTCTACATGAGGGCTGCAGAGCTCAAGATGGCCACTGGGGTGATTCAGGCTCTCTGCACAAGGTAAGACATCTTCGAGACCCACCCAATCAGGGTTGTTGTGCTGCGGATTGGCACCCCGCATCTCGAGCCAGGACCCTGCAGAAGCCACATGATCCTGCATTATTCTAGCCTGGCGTGCCCTTTTTGGGCATTTCGACTCGATTCCATCGAAATATCCCTCTACTCTTCGTGTCGTTGTGCAACTCTCTGCATTTTTGTAAACAAAGCTACCGACGGATCGAAAATACAAATGAGTTACTCAATGGATTCGGTTTTTAGAGCCGGCTACAGGGTTAAAAGAACCGTTCCAATGTTTTTAAACTTCTCGATGACTTTTATCTGAGATAATTCTCACTCAATTCAATCTCACCAGCCCCGGGTGGCGCTATCGGATCGTACAAAATTGTGGTTGACGATCCGAGGCTTCGCGGCTGCAACCGGGACCCACATAATACCAGTCAATCCTGTTTTCGGCCCGGTTTGCGTGGGAGATGTAAACAATTTTCAGATATGGTTCAAAGAACAAAAATGGACATCACCAACTACCGGGATGACCGGAAGAGGCGCAGTAACTAACGAACAATGCTTACACTTCCACGAACCATCAGGATGACCATGTGTTCAAGATTGGGATTTCCTCGAACATGACTGCTGCAATCTTCGTATTCGGTACTGGAGATTATAAGCGGGGTGTGGATGAAAGAGGAGGGGTCATTCGACTAGCGCCATCCAATGTGGCAAATGTCTATTTTGAATCTGGAGAATGTATCCATCCGATGCGCAACTTGAATTGGTAGCTTTACTATATAGTACTAGTCGTGTCTTAACTTAGGTAAAAAGGCCTATTCGTACACAGCTTCCCCCGCGAGCAACATAAAGGAGAAACTGCCGATAGACCTGTGAGCAGAATAGATTACTCTGACCCAGATAGCTCTATGAACCTCGGTACCATCTACTTTGAAAGGAAAGTGATCGACGTTATGATGTTGTGTAGACCCATCCCAGCGGACATCACAGTTACATGTCTATGTCTATTTATCAATCTCGCAGCTCACAACCTGATTCCCAAATCGAGATGGCATTCCAAAACTTGCCTCGATCCGAAGTCAGGATGACGTTGGAGCTGACGCTCATTCGGCTAATGCAACACACACTATATTCTGTCTCACACTTCTCGTTGAGTTTACCTCCCCAAAATCCGAAGTAACAACTAGAATAAAGCGTTCTGGCTCTGGAACAACTTGACGCAAATGGCGGTGAATTAAAATAGATTATAAGGCTCAAGCTTAAGTGGAGCTAAATTTCCAGTGTCTACGCCGTACTTTCAACGTTGCTTCAGTTAGAGTAGTACGAAACAACTCGCACGAAGCAATATACACATAAACTGTCCAGATTATTACCCCGGCTATTTCCAGATGAAACATGCCCCGATGTCATTTCTAATTTCCGAAAAGTCGGACTACATGGCTATTTCTGTGTGCCAAATGCCCCTTTTCAATCTCCGTAAGTCTAGATGCGGAACAGGGGATAAAACGAAGAACTAACGTACGTCTCCCCTATCCGTCCGATCCTTTCATATTTATGGGCTGTAGGCGTGATAGTATGCAGGGCATACCTACCAGTAGCTACTAGGTAGCACAGTCGTCCTCTCAATGTTGAGAAGAATCAAGAATAATACCTAGTACATTTGTGGAATTATCATCATTCCAAGATTCATGGATGATATTCCAAGGTTCCAACTTGGTTATTGGTTCCAACCTTGGAGCCTCCGAGTCAGTTCCGTAAATTTAAGTTGTGCCCACCTGGGCACTGGCAGGTCAGGTGGTGCATCTCAGAATGCCTGGAATATACTACTTCCAATATAAAAAAACGTATATTCATCCATTACGAGTTTGCAACTTGAATGCAAGAACATTTTTTTCGGTCAATTCGAGCCATAAAGCAGCCTGCCAGAATACTGAGTTTCGTGGCGATTGAGAGCTGTCATTCCAAGTGTTGGTGCGTTAATGCCTAAGGAATCAGGTGTCACCAGCGCCCATGCGAGGCGTGGATAGCCGCGGTTACTTAGAAGGTGGATGATGCGAATTTATATACCAGTATACTGGTAGTAGATGACGATATAGATGATACTAGCGAGTCATTTCAATATTCCGTCAGAAGTTCAAGTTCGAGGCACCCGGGTTTATCCTTCAAGTTTCCAAGCCCCAGACGTTTTAGGCTGTACCACCTAGGCGGTTTAAGAGCCATGGATTTTGAACTAATCACTCATGCCCAGGTGCTGCAACATGTCCACAACCCAGTAGCCGCAGTCTTATTCCAAATGGTGACATAAGCTATATGGGCTGAGAGGTTCGTTCCGGCGGCATCGCAAACACCGTCTTTGTTATCACAGTAGTCATGGACCCTGTTGGCATATTTCGACAAAGCCGTAAGCTGCGCAGCAGTACGGGGGTATTTCTGTACAAATTGCTATGTCAGCTCTGGGTTATCTTCCATCACTGAAGACTCCTTTAGAGGTACTTACACCAGTTGCGGTGACATCTCCAACATTGTATGTCTGTTTAGGCATGTGGCGGGGATCACCATAGAGAAGAACAGCGGCGACTACGTTTGATTAGTATGAGGGCATTTGAGGGTATATTTTGTCACGTCACGTACTGTGCGAGTCCAGTGTATTAGGGTTAACGGAGGGCCTAGTGAGATTGCCCAAGGTCCCATCATCACCACCACCGGCTAACATGTCACTCACGACCATGGCTCCCTATACATAGTAAGCAAAATTCCAAAGTTGATAGGGTTCCCAGGGTATCCCCTACCTGAGAGTAGCCGAGCAAGACTACCTTGGAAGCTGGACAAGCTTTGACATAAGCACTCAACTGGGCAGTGCCATTGTAAATACCTTCCTCGTAGCAAGGGTGGAACCTTCCTGAGTAGCCGGATAAAGTATATCTTCGTAATTGCTTCCAGGTATGGCTTCCATAACGAGATCAGTCAAAGAACCCTACTAAATGCCAGGGTAGCTTTCTGCGGTTCCGCGCGCAAGAATTATATGCACACTCGCGCAGGAGGGATTGCTATTTGCGTGCGCAGCAAAGGCACCACTAAGGGCGGACAGCACAGCTGCAGTGGCAAGCTTCCTAAACATACTCAGATGATGTCCAATACGACACTGAGATAGTTAAAAAAGGAGGAAACAACCTGAAAGAGGTGTTGAGGCTTCAAGATAGTTGCGCGGAAAAAAAGTCCCGTGGATGCACGGAAACTTATACTCATATTCGACTAGTTTAATTCTCGGTGATAAATCGGGGACACTGATCAGTGATGGAGGCTTGGAGGGAGACCTTGGTGGAGAAACTTCTGACGAATGTTCTACGGAGATGTTAGTGTGACCCGTACTTCTGAAAAACATCTGAAAGTTTCGCTAAATTGATGCATAGTGAGGAGAATCTGAGCCTTAAAGAGGGCAGGATCTTCGACTGTTACTGCGAGTTTCCGACCTGGCTTCCCACAAGCTATGAAGTTGGGCCATCAGATAAAGAAAACCATGTCGGCATATCAATTCGACCGACGGCTTGGGAATTGAGTTGGTGTTCGGCCGAAGTTTCCGTAAATAGAAAGGTCGTTCAACCGATGAAGAAGCTTGGCCAATCTTTATATCATTGCAGCGTGCAGAGTGCGATCAGGTTAAAGGAAAAGATCGGTTCTCTATAAAGTTCTAGAATAAAGCAATTTGTTCAAATGCGCATGTTGCGGGCGACCATAAAATCAGATTTTGCATATGTTGTGGGAGTATGGGCCTTGGAGAATCGTAGCATCTCAGCTACCGAGGAAATGCCAAATACACAGTCAAAGCAGGACAGTGAAAAGCTACCGATCAATTGAGAAAGAGTATCTTCTGGCAATTCTACACTTTGTCTGAAACCTTTCAATCTAGAGTTATGTCCGTTAGACCCCGCCTTGCGTCTGACGGTGCAAAGTCGAGGTCTTAAGTGCCACTCGATGTGGGCCCTGCATGTGCAGGGGCATCATGTGTAAGGAAAGAAAACCGTTATAGTAGCCTAGTAGATTAGGCAACGAGTACTAACTAGTTAGCAAGATAATTGACTGCATACTTCCTACTACAAACAAGCGCTACTGGTAGTAGTACTATTTATCATGCGATCTCTATACTCGGTCTCTTCCAGAAAATGAGAGTGATATAGTCGTTCCTCTCGTTAGCTGAAATATTGCCTTGGAAATCTGGCAGCTCAATATTAAAAATCAACCATGCGCCCGATGTCGTCTATCGTTCGCCATACAGGCAAAGACCCAGAGCTTGGTTGCTCATACTACTCACAGTACTTCCACGGTCCCTGGTCTGCCTACCTCCTCGATGCTTTCCAACATTTCGATCCCCTTTCATCTTACGCTTATCCGGCCTGAAGTTGCAATAAATAAAAGTTCATCTGGAAAGTCACCCGCAGGTTTGCATATTTCCGATCTTGTCAAGTTTAACCAATATGCTGGGGCTCTGGGCTAGCGGGCTGTCAACCACGACGGGGAAATACGAAATACGAGCCATGTTTGCCTGAAAATAGCCACTAGTAGTGATCAGTACTGAATATTTAACTGCGGTTGGCCTTAGGTGCCTAAATACCCGACCAAGGGACGACCGTGGAGAATTCTCAAGACGGGTAACTCTGCGAGGACATGACCCACAACCCATTGGGGGCCGTCAGGACGATGCCGAGTGGGAGGTAAAGTCTAATTATCTTCAAAGCCACTAGAAAAACTCAGGCAGGTGGCAGGTTAGTATTTGCAGAGCACCTTGTTTGCTTCATGGCCCCATTGCTCTACATGCCAAGAGTTACAGAATGTCTTACCATGCAATGCAAAACTTTGCCGCAGATCGATTCCATTCTTGCCATTGGTTGGACAGTCCGCCCGGGCAAATACCTGATCTGATTTCATTTCATCTTAATTAGGCTCGTGGGACAAGTCGCGTGATAGTGAAGAATGGTGGATTTTCTATCATTCTACACCACCTGAAAAGTCGGTATGATTCAGATATTACAAGCAGTATTTCTCCGGGAACAGCAATTCCATTATAAAGGTACTGTGTGTATTAAGCTTTTACATACGAGTTCATACAGATACTTAATTGGCTATGTTTTTTTTTTCGCCCCTGTGTTACAGTGTACAACTTAAAAAGATTCGGCCCCATACATCCGGGCACTGGCCAAAGTTCATCCGCTGAGTCGATCGGTAGATCGCTTGCCACCACTAGACCAAGGCTGGTTCTCTGAGATAATTTGCGCCCGACTAGACTGACTGTCCACCTCCCAGTCTTGTGTGACCAGAATCTGATCCCTCATAGAAAATTGCGAAGTGCCCTGACCCCTATGGCTCGACCTGGCATTTGTTTGCGACCGGTTGTACTTGTAATTCGAGCTGGTTGGATCATCCACGCCTTCAATTTTGAGCCCATTGGTTCTCATCCATGAGAGGAATGGCTTGAGCTGACCCCAGCATGCTGTTACAATACTTAAGCATTGCACAGTGACCTCCACGATCGTAATATCACACAGGCCGTAAGTGGGATCCCGTGACTGGGTACCATTCTTAATCAATGCAAGTTGGCCAATGCCAGCCGCAGAGACACTATATAATTTGTCGTCAGCTTGAAGATTGAAGATGGCAGAAGCGTAGTAAAGGCCCTAGAAAGAACTCACAGGAGTCTTGGCATGAATATACCGGCGAATATCATACGTCTTTTCAACGAAGTTTGAATGCTAGAAATGAGGATCATAGCCTGAGAAAATATTATAAGATCTGTGACGATATTGGAGCCGGTGACGAAGAATCGCCATGCCATCTGGAAAACGTAGAAAGTTCAGTACTATGATCCATGGATGACCGCAGACAGAATATACCTCATCGAAGCATTTGCCGTTCCAGAAATCCCACGTCCGCGGTAGAGAACATTGGAAGGCAGTACCAAGTATTGTGACGACAGCCCATGTGCAAATCATGCCCTCCACAAGGAGAGCATACCTTTTATCTTTTGATGTCGGTGTTAAGCTTCGGATGAAAACAGCGAGAGATAACTTCGATAAAGTAAGGCTAATGAGGTATAGAAGCGACCCGGCGTACAGATACTGTGAGTAGAATCGATGGTTAGCGGAGTCTGAAGAGAGTAAAATCGAGATGACAACTGCTCGCCTTCATTGTTTGATCAAATTCTGGAGCTGAGACATCTTTAAAATGCTTCCCATACCCAGAGGCCACAGCCATGGATACGATCACGCTTTGCACAATGCAGAATACCTAGTTGCGAAGAGAGGAGTTAGAAAGCCAGTAAATATTCACGATGAGGATAACTGGCAAGAATTTATACCAAAGAAGCCACAATTAACAAGTCATCTATCGTCAGTTTGTGGAATAAATTAAATTTCGTTCCCAGCCGGGCACTGACGCTCAGAATGACAACAACCAGAAGAACCCATGTCGTGACATTGACAGCGGGGTCTTTGGATTCGGTTTTGAAGCGTGTACCCATCGATGCTGGTAGTGTGAATGAAAGAGGATAACATAAAAGACTAGCAATCAATATAGGTAAGTGTGACAAGGAGAGCTCCTAGTAATAAGCCGCCTTATATCACTGATGATCTTCTGTGGTTGCTTCTGGAGGGGCCGAATGGTTTGAATTCTATTTTACAGGGCGTACCCGGAAGATCCCAGACTTGAGGGGGCGAAATCGTATCATTTACTGTACAAGGTGCCGAGTCGGGTCTTGGCTAAACAATATGCATCTGCCCCTCAAGGATTCCGATCCCGTTTCAAGCTGAGTATCGTCCTGTTGCGACCCCTATACCCGATAAGTTCCACTTTGCCCGTTCGGCCTTGAGCCAGGGCGCACTGTTTGATGATACTTGAGGACTTTCATTATCCTGATGCACAAATCCTTTGAATAATATTACGCAAGTTTTAACCAACAGACTTCACCTGGCTACATGTATTATGGAGTACTCCGTAGAAATTGGACTGAAGGATTCGCCCCCAACTCAGGTCGGTGCAACAGCGGCCTAGAGCTTAGTTCACTCTCGCCCCTGGGGCTCCCCAATAACCTATAAGCAACGGGCTTTAATATATTCGCACCATATCGGTCCCACAATTGATGTGAATCAAGAGCGCAATTGGCCCTGGCGGAGCCTCCTAGCAACCTTCTGCGTGGGATCGACATCGCAATCGCGCGTTGTGGGCCCCTGAATCCTTGGGCGTCGGGCCAGCCCTCGTTACAGCTCACAAGTGTTCAACTCACACAGGGCCAGATGCATTAGTGTCATTTGTCGCATGTTTGAAATCCTAGCAATGCAACAGCATTACTGCATTTTGCTCCGCTTTTTTCGGGCATTCCATTCCAGTTTGCCTCGCAGGCGTTTCTCTTTTTAACCCGCCATCCCTCCCGGCGTCGCTTACTTCCTCCCTTGGCTCACCCCACGTCGCCTCATCAACAACAAACATGGTGGCATACGAGCTGAAAAATCAGGCCTCAATCACAGCCCGTGGCGGGAACAGGAATATTCTATCCAGGACCGAGATAATCTTCAATTGCAACGGCTGGGTAAGAAACCTGTTCTCAAGGTATGCGACCGCGTCGAGACCCAGCGGCTGATTTGATAACTAAACATTCTTTGCAGCGAAACTTCGGAATTCTCTCAATTCTTGGTTTTAGCTGTACCATTTTGGGTACTTGGGAAGGTCTTCTCGGGTAGGTTCGTTTCATCGGTCTCATGGATATCTATCTAACGGTATTTCTAGTACATTCGTCAATCCTTTGCAAAAGTCAGTTCCATCTCTTCGTTTTTTTTCGACATATCTAACAGATAACAGTGGTGGATCTGGAGGTGCTGTCTATGCCTACATTTTTGCTTGGGTCGGTACTGCCTGTACCTTTGTTGTCTTGGGTGAAATGGGATCTATGTCAGTCATGGAACCGATAGAAATGCTGGGGTTTTACTGACACACAAGTAGGGCACCTACATCAGGAGGGCAGTACCACTGGTGTGCTATGCTTGCTCCGATAAAGCAGCAAAAGTTTCTTAGTTATATAACTGGTAGGTTATAGCCTTGCCCAATATCTGGAAAGGCCGGTCAAGCTGAAATATTGTCAACGATAGGTTGGATGGCTGTGATGGGTTGGCAAACTGCCTTCGCATCAGCTTCATATTTATGCGGAACTGAGATCCAGGGAACCGCGATTCTGGCCCATAAGCTCTATGAGCCTGAAGCGTGGCATGGAACGCTGATTGTCTGGGCAGCACTCGTCGCTGCACTTCTTGCTAATTTAGTCGGCGGAAAATTCCTGCCCCGACTCGAAGCAATCATCCTGGTGATCCACATTATCGGATTTTTTGGGATCCTCATCCCCCTGGTCTACATGTCGGAACACAAGAGCAACGATGAAGTATTTCTGCAATTCCTCAACAGTGGAGAATTTCCAACACAAGGAATATCTTGGTTCGTTGGCATGACTAGTTGTGCATTTGCATTCGCTGGGGGCGACGCCGCCGTTCACGTACGTGTTTTCCTTCTGCATTATGATTTCAGCTGTGCTAATCTCTCGAATAGATGGCTGAAGAGGTAAATAATGCCTCTCTTGTGATTCCTCGCGCCCTAATGATGAGTGTCGGTATCAATGGCTGTCTGGGATTCGGCATGTTGCTTGCGATGCTTTTCTGTCTTGGAAACATGGATGATGCTCTGAACACCACCACCGGGTATCCATTTATCGAAGTTTTCTTACCAGGGCACAGGGTCAATGGCTGGCTCTTTGACCATGTGCTCAATAATTCTTATAATTGCCGTCTGCTCGGTTGTAGGTCTCCTGGCAGCTACCTCCCGCCAATTTTGGTCGTTCGCGAGAGACAGAGGAGTCCCAGGCTGGCGTTTTTGGAGTCAGGTAAGTACTACGCACTTAACTTGTTTTTCTGATTTTCTGATGTCTAACAATTTTATCTGAAGGTCTCGCCTACCAATAGATTGCCCATGTGGTCCGTCCTACTTACAACGCTCATCAGTTTGCTGCTCGCCCTGATCAACATCGGCTCTTCGGTCGCTCTGAACGATGTTCTGTCAATGGCGGTTTCCGGTCTATACTCTTCCTATCTCATCGTCTCCGTTCTACTACTATTCCGCCGAATCAAAGGCGACATTTCTCGGTACAATGATAACGACGATGATATTGTGAACCTCCCCGGAAAAAAGCTGGTCTGGGGCCCATTCCATGTCCCTGGTATTTGGGGTATTTTAATAAACGGGTTTGCCGTGATTTATATTATTATTGTGATCTTTTGGAGCTTTTGGCCTACCGCAATGAACCCCAGCGTGACGGATATGAACTACAGTGTCGTTGGCTGGGGAGGCGTCATATTCCTTGCTTCCCTATACTATGTCATCAGAGCCAGACACATTTATACTGGACCTGTGGTGGAGATTTCCATGTGATATGCTACCATGAAAAGAATATAGACTATGTGTACTTGTTCAGCCAGACCGATACCGTAATCATATTTCTCTTCTATCTTGAGTAGCTGCGATTCGTATATGCTAATAGACATATCGAAATTTATCGTTCTTCAAATCAGTTATGTCCGACAACTCACCAGAGGATGTGCCAAGCTGCTTCTCAGGAGAGCTGTCCGGCGCAGAGACCGAGCCTCTCTTATCCCTCTGTGTGTTTTCCCAGCGAAGATAATACATGAGAGCTCCGCTATCGACGACATTGATCGAAAGACATATAATTATAGCCAAGAACCCGCTCTAGATAGTATTGGTTAGATAAATTTGAACTTTCAACTCTCACTTGCATAACTTACCTGGTACTTGGGGGCCTCGTTCTCAAAAAAATAACTGCGGGCCAATTATATTTCCAACGCAGTACAAGATGAAGAAAACTGCACCGACGGTAGCCTTCTTCGTGAAGCCACCCACATTGGAGCTTATCATTGTCAAAGCAATCGGCATGGCGGTCGAGTACACTCCCATGAGGATCAAACCAGCGTAACGAGCCCCAACAGACTTGCAAACATAGACAAGTACACTTCCAACAATGCTGCATTTAAATTAGCCAACACTCTTTCGGAATATGGATATATTTAATTTGCCTTATTATGTTCATCCCAATCATGACAAGGCATCTGCTATTTCTCAATTTGGAAGAAAGAATACCGCTTGTTTGGTCAGAAAGTTCTATTCGAGAGGACTTGAAATTTCACTTACCCGCTCAACACAAAAAGGAAGACAATGAAACCACCCGGTAACGCCAGTAGCAAGGTATGGCGAGTATCGAAGCCAAAACCTTTGAGAACAAGACCATTGAACTTTTCAAAATTAGCTTGATAATGAAAATAAGACAGCGAGCTTACGGTAGTGTATCCCCCGTTTGGAATGTTGGCCGTGAGGACCATGATCGCCAACAGCAGGGTTTTCGGATCTTGAAAAACTTCCATAATTTGACCTTTGTCGATATGTGTATTCTTGAAACCAGTATGGTTAGCCCTCAGTCTCTCGGTCGCAATCATCCTTTCTTCCTCAGTAAGGAAGGGAGCATCGGTCGGTGAGTTTGGCAGGCGGAAGAGCATGAGAACTCCCCAAACGAAAGTGAGAACCCCAAATATAATAAAAAGCCACTATATCCTGGTGAGTCATCCTTGTAGGGATAGCTTGCGCTGATGTAGCTCTCACCTGCCATGCACCAAGTTTACTCTTGATTTCGAGAATACCAACGGCAATGGAGTTTCCAATCACGAGAGATAAGGAATTTCCACAAAACCAAATACCCGCACGGAGTGGCTGTTCAGATGTGCGGTACCAAAGCGACGTGATCAAAGTGAAGCCTGGAGATAAGCTGGCCTCTGTGCATCCTAGGAAGAATCGAGCTACCATTAATGTGGCAAAGTTGGTAGTAGCCGCATGGCATGCCAATACAATTGCCCACAAGATACTCGAGGAATGTTAGATCAAGATTGTTGAACCGAAGAAAAAGACTCACAAATTGACCGCGAGATATTTTCCCAGTGGGAATTTAACCATTAGCAGTGATGCGGGGTAACTGTTCGGATTCAGCGTGAACAATGTCACTCTTCGAAGCTTTTTTCGCGATGGGATAATCTTACGAGAAAAACAAATATCCAAAGTAGAAAATTCCAGAAGCCCAACTATATTGAGTTCCTGTTAGGTGGAGATCCTGAAGCAGACCCATCAAAGCTGAATAGCTGAGAGTCTGTTTATCTAGAAATGCCATCATGTAGGCCACGACCATGATGGGCAAAATTCTATAAAAGTGGTATTGATTAGCCAATGCCAGAATTCAAAAGATAATGCAAGGCATGACCAACGTTCGATCTATTTTTTGAACGAGCCTTTTTTCTGCAATAGGTGAGAACTCGAACGATGACTGAAATTGCTCAACAGCCCCATTGTCAAAACTTCGGGTCTCCACCTTTGCATCGTGATCTCCGATGGCTTTCTTTTCAATTTGGTCATCCATGATGGGCAAAAAAAGAAATAACAATTTCAATCACTCTGAAGCACGCTGTTGTTAATTTCAAGTTGTGACAGGTAAGAAGTATGCCCTTTCTTTTATACTATCTGAATATAGTCTCATGACCGCCGAGTTATCAAATGCAAGCGAGGCTTCTGTAGCGACATTGTAACTTCAACCCCGCAATAACTCAGACATAGATAAAGAGTATCTCAGCGAAGTATCACAGTATTGCAGACAATTGGTTGTATCGGCAAGCTAGTCGAGGCTTGGCAGGCCTAGAGCCCCGGCAAAAGAGTTTAGTATTCCGAGGGTGAACTAGAAAGGTCCGCGCATCGTTCCTTTCTTCCCTGATTGGTGTTTTGGTAAATTTAGGTTATATTTCCCCAGATAACAAGGGTGGGGGTGCGAATAGGCTACTGTTAATACTTTCGGTGGCTATCTTGAGTAAAGCAAGCTAAGATTCCTAAGGCCGAAACTTCGATATCGGGGCATTTGTAGCCTAAAAACGGATATTTTGCTAAATATTTCTTACTATATCACTGACGCTGAAAGTTTTCCTTCACTTGCTCGGCAAATTTATCGTCCACCAAAACCTGACACGCCACTACAGCCATTCCTGCCGCGCAGGCGATTGCTCTCTCAAATCCTTCTGGTGATCCAGCTCCATTAGTAAACTCAGGGGTATGATTCACGCCTTCGGCTGGGATACAGAACATTCCATGAAACCCAGGAACCTGGTAGGATACATTCCCTAAGCCAAAAGTCAGTAATCTGCTCCATATGCTGCACATGGAAACTTGGAAACGAACCCATATCAGTAGATCCACCAGCAAGCCCTCCCTTTTCCTCTGAATTATCAAAGATAGTATGATAGCCCATTGATCTCATTGCCGAGACATAACTCTCACAAATTGGAACGTTTGTTTTGAGATCAGCATATGAAATGCCCCTAGATATGCACCTTGAGTCACTATTCAATCATTCAATGGGGCTAGTTTAACGTACCAGGTATAATCAACCTTGCACCCGGTGGCAGTGGCAGCAGCCTCAAAGCACTTGATAACCTTTTCGGTAAGTGGTTTGAGGGTCTTGGTTGTGGGCGACCGAATATAGTAGTCCACTGTAGCGGTCATAGGAATCACGTTTGGCCGGTCGCCTCCGTTGACAATGACACCGTGAACCTTCTGGCTCGGCAAAATCTGTTGTCGAAGCATCGATATGTTGACATATGCCGAGACTACAGCATCCAGAGCATTGATACCCTCCCAGGGAGCAGCCGCGGCATGGGCTGGTTTTCCAGTAAAGGTCACCTTGACCTTATCGTTGGCGAGAAACCCTCCTTCCTGGACAGTAGCCATACAGTGAAGATCAGGTTTTCCCGGTATCATCGGAACGGGATGAACCATTAGACACGCGTCCACGCCCTTATAGGCGCCGGCTTTGATAAGCTTAACTTTACCTCCGCCAGACTCCTCGGCTGGTGTCCCAAGCAGACGAACTGTGAATCCAGATACGGAAGATGCTTGGGCTTTCATAGACTCGCAGGTCGCAATAAAAGCCGCGATGGAGCTAGTCGCGATTAGATTGTGGCCGCAGGCATGGCCGATACCAGGGAGAGCATCGTATTCTGCGTTGAATGCAACAACACGGCCCCCGTTGCCGTGGACATAAGCAACTTCGAGGGCAGTCTCCAAGCCAAATGCTTTACGGCGCACCTGATAACCATTGTTTTTGAGGCTGTCAAACAGCTCGCAGATATGATCATGGGCCTTGTACTCCTCATATGCAAGTTCTGGGTTAGACCAGATCTGTTCAATATTAGCTGGGAGAAGATAAATGCGGAATAATTGTATTTAATAACCTACCTTGTGATTGATATCCTTTAGCTGAGCATCATATCGGCGAAGAACTTCCTGTACCTTGTCGAGGAATTCTCGCTGGGATTCGGGGACATGCATATTGTATAGCTTGGCGTTAAATGGACCAACAGGAATGCGAGGCGTTTGATGAATTTTATCTTGGAATGTTGATGATTAAATAGGTCATTTATATCGGCATCAACGGTAATCCGGCAAATCCCAAAGCTCCATCTATGACAAAGGAAGGTTATGCTTTCCAAGGATTTGGGCGACGCATGGCACTGCTCGATTGGGTTAAAGCGATGCTTGCCGACGCAGCCAATCGGCATTCAACAGTCGGGACGACACTTATCATTTTGGCGGTGGCTACCCAGAGAATCGAGCCAGCCAGGGCGATCTCTCCGCTCGGCAGATAAGGTCTCGCGCCTCCCCGGCCTCCACTTTTCCCCTCAACATATTTCTTCTTGCCGAGTAACTATCCTCTGCTCGCCATACAGTAGGTCCTCTACGACTAGTGTGACCTAATTGCCCCAGCTTTGAGGTCTTTAGTGGCGCGGCTGGGACCCTGAGTAGGACCAGATGGACCCTGGATGGCTCTTTGGGGCAGTTCTCAACATCTCCTAATATGCACAAGTCTGGAAAGACGCGCTCTAAGACAGGTAAGGATCTACCACGGTGACAATTTGAACCCTTGCGTCAATCACGGGACTGACATGCACAAGGGTGTCGAACGTGCCGCATTCGCAAGGTGAAATGTGACGAGGGAAAGCAGTTGGTCCAAGGACAAGAAGAACCACATTGTAAACGATGCATTGTCGCCGGTATCCGATGCGAGTGGAGGGGTGGGCCCATTCCACGCAGGTCAAAGCCTGCCTCATCTTCCCCCGCGACTGCATTAGACAATGGCCTTGAAACTGGGACAAGCCAGGGTGCCAGCTATGCTAGTCATATGTCTGGAAGGCCGTCCCTGCCACATGGTCAATCGAGGTCTTCGTCGCGGAATGCACCCTTGATGCCCGCGCGCGATCTCAGCCTCGTGGGAAACAACAAATCGGTACAAGCGGCTAATTCTCTCACTCTATCTGCATTTGATCGAGACTGTCTCGGTTATCTTCAGAACTCGACACTTGTCGTGATGTTGGGAAAACACTGGCCATGGTCCACAGTGTCTTACGCCTATCATAAAATTGGCGTGAAAGAGCCAATGGTAATGAGTATGATTCTGGCCAGCACTGCACGTGAAATTCATCGTTCCCGGCTTCATGACCAAGAAGCTTCTTTCACACCAACCCTGAGCACAGAAAATCGTGAACTGGATGGACGTATGCATTACGGTCGCGCCCTGTCAAGTCTGCGCCATGCACTTAAACAAGATGTTAAATCGCCACAGAAGATAGAAGCCATATTCATCACGCTGTGGCTCATGATTGACTATGAAAATCGATTCGGTAACGGAGCGACTGCAATTAACATTCACATCCGTGGTATTGAAAGTCTTCTGCACAACCATGTTGTACCTTTGCTCCAAGCCCCGGAGGACGCTTCACAGGGCCAAGGGGCCGGGGGTTCGTCTACAGCGGCAATAATATCGAGTGGTGAAGATACTGTACGAAAGAGACATGTTGATATCCAACCAATGCCCTCAGGCGAAATAGGCACTGAGAGAACTTCTGATGCTGCCACATCAATTCCAGATTCTTTGCAAGGACTTCGCTGCACATCAGTGCCTCTCTTTCTGCTTTGGACTCTATACTTTTTCACACCTGCAGCCCTTTTTTTTGGACCTGCCACCACAAGACTGGATACCGATATCTTTCAGTTCTTCTTGGGAGCTCAGAGTGACAGCACAGCGCAGATTTCTCTTCCAGAGCTTTACCGAATAAGTAGGCAGTCTCCCGCCCGGTTCTGGGGCGAAAAATACCCTCTGTCTGCTCAATTAGATGATATGGAGAACCTTCCTGGCCTCACCCTGTACCATCGAAGCCACGTCGCACAGTTTAAAATCACCGAGCTATTCAAACAGGGTGTGCCTAACAGAATCAACTCTGAAGTTGAAACGCCCTATCAACAGGTTGTCGATGAGATAAACATAATATCTATGGTGAGTGAGAGAAGGCAATTTACAAACGATTGATTTTGCCTCATATAAAACTTCAGCTAACTGGGCCGCACAGGAATATGATACAGTTCTAACCACCGCTAGGGCGGCACCTTCATGTGAATCTATTGGTGATAATCGTCGAGTAATGGAGACCGTTTATTGGTCTGTCATTACTTTCTACAGCACTATTGTGTTCTTTCACCTCTGTTTCCAAGATATTCTTAACAAATACCCAGCGACGCAAGCTCGCAACAGTCTCATGTCTCTCCAAACGGCTGTATCCCAGGTTCTTGAGCTTAGCCTGAAACTCCATCGCAGCCGACCCCGTCTCATGGTTCGAATTGCCTGGCCTTTATTCCTTGCTGGAATTGCGACTCCGGATCAGATTTATCAGGACTGGGTGGCCATTCGACTGCGTGAGCTGGGTCGATATGGACAGAATTATTCCCGCATCAGCAAACGCTTTGATGAGATCATTCAAGGGGGTCAAGCCTATGTATACAATAGAGAGGACCTTTCCTTGAGCACCTCACTTACCTAGAACAAAGCAATGATAATTAAATAAGCAAATTCTTCCAGTTCTGGAATATATGGGAATATGTTGACGTATGTAGCATTCAAAACATTGTGATTACCAATGACATACATTCAATAAATATTGCGTCACAAAATGCCCCAGGTATTACAAAAAACCAAGCGTCATCCGAGTCTCCGAGGAAAGTTATTTGATCAAGGCTATTGGTCTCGGCATTTGCGGAAACAGCATTCTCTGCATGGCAAGTGGGAGCAAAACACCGGTTGGTGGGCGGAATGTTTCCGTGATTGAACTTTAATTATACCTGGCTCATACACTACATTGCTGTATATTGATCGACATAACCCCGCTACATACACAGCCGGATAATCCGAGTCGGTAATCTGTGGGGTACATGCCGGGGAAGTGGGGGGATTTTGTGGGAGGTGGAGGTCAATTCTGGGGATCAACAGGGCCCATCCGGCTGCCATGCATCACAATTTTGAAAAGACTCCCCCAGGCGGGGAAATCGGCTTATGACTATCGGCTATGTTATATGAAATTCCCCTTCCATTAATTAAAAGCCCATTAACGCGATGTTTCGGATCTATGTAGTTACACCAGACTAACTTTTCTACGTGACAGTATAGGTAATGATAGCAATATTTTTTAGCGGTGTCTATTGTAATATCAACAGAACTCAAGGGACAAATTGTTGCCATGTACGTCAGGATTGGTCTGCATTTCTCCTACATGGAGTTGAGAATGAAGGCTGATCCCAAGCCAAGAAAGCCTATACTCATCCTACGAGCTTTTTCAAAAACCGATGATGGCGAATAGCCGACGAAAATAACATAAATAGAGATGATTTTACAATCTAGCTTTATCTTTTATCCTCATTCACACTGACAGTCCATCAAATTTTATTGGCCAAAATGCTATCTTTCATTCCGTTGATGGGCATGGCCATATTCCTCGGTCGTTGCCATGGACTCGACAATTCCGAGTCTATAGTTATTCCGAGACCTTATTCCGGTGCTGAATACGTTCCCAGGGATTTGCAATCCTTTTCAATTGAATTTGCCTTCTTTCCGGACTATGCTGGGAATAAGTCTCACCCTAACCATTTCTCTAAGAACTTATTAGAGAATTTTAAGGACCTCACGGGGATATATCCATTGGTCAGAGTCGGAGGAACCTCTCAGTGAGTGCTCAGGCTCTTTCATATATCTCCGGGACAATATCTGATAAATACCATACAGAGATCATTCGGACTACTTCCCGGAACAGAAAGAAAATATCCAGCTCATATACGAGAATCCCGACGATGATCAACCGATCCAAATCAATTATGGACCTACGTTCTTTGAATCTTACCATACACTTGGACCCGTCAAGTTTCTGCATGGTTTAAACCAGAACCAAAATCGTTCTATCAAACAGCTTCAGGATGCTGCCATCGAAGCCTGTACTGCAATTGGACCGCAGCTACATCTTTTCGAGCTGGGTAATGAGTGGAATTTTGCACCGGGCACTTATAGGTCGGCTAACTACTCATTGCTGGACTATGTCCACGAGTGGAATTACAAGTCTTCGGTAGTCAAATCTGCTGTTCAAGAGGCTTGCCCGGGTCCTTTTCCAGGGTTTATGGCACCGAGCTTTGTCTTGCTGGATTCTGTCGTAACAAACGGCTGGACTGTACAAAAACTTTATAATCTTGGATATGATAACAAGAACTTGACCAAGGAATTTTCCTTTCATAAGTGAGTCCCCTTACTTCACGTCACACTTATTCCTCGACCGACCATAATTTTGTCTAGCTACATGGGCGTCAATCTTGATCCTACTAGCAACGGAGCAGATGACCTTCAGAGTATGACCCTTACGGATCTCGGAAAAGTTATGTACCGTACTAACAACAACAGAAACCCTCATGAACCACACTAGTATTATTGAAAATTTGGCGCCTCAAATTAGTCGCTCTAAAGATCTCGCATACCTAGGCCATCTCTATACCCTTGGTGAGATGAACTCAATTGCGGGGCAGGGACGCAATGGAGAAACCAACGTCTTCGGGGATGCCTTATGGATGGTCGACTTTTCCCTCTGGGCCGCGGCACATGTAAGTGGCTCTGACGGTAACTTCATCTTCATCGCGAATAGTGCTGACAAAGAGGGCAGAATATTAAGCGTCTCCATCTACACCAAGGTCTCAACTACCGATACGCTTCATGGCAGCCCATTTTCAGTAAAGGAGAAGCCATAGCCACAAGGCCTCCTTATTATGGTCAGATCATGGTCGCTGCAACTTTGGGCCGTGCCGATAATTCCCGTGTGGTTAATATTTCTTTGAAAGAGGATACCGAGGCCGCGTACGGAATTTATCACGGAGAGAAGCTGTCCAAGATTGTTGTCCTGAACATGAAGGCTTTCAACGAGACCACTTCCAGCGGTCGGCCGAGTCGGCAATATCAATTTCAAGTCCCTGGAAGATATGATTATGTGAAAGTCAAGCGTATGATTGCTCCTGGAAGTGATTCGACCAGCAACGTGACTTTCGGGGGTATTTCCTATGACTACGATCTCAAGCTTGGAAAACCGGTTACTGTTCACTCGAAAAAGGAGATAGTCGAGGTTCGCGGCGGCACAGTCTCCATCGACATTCCGGACTCTTCGGCGGCTCTTTTGACTCTTGTTTGAATCTGACGATGGCCACTAGTTATTGGATTCAAAACTGAAATTAATTGCTTGATCTATATAATTACAAAATATCGAAGCTGCCCCAGAATGCTTTACTTAGTCGTTAAACTCCGAGCTGGATTCCACATTCCCACATTTCCAACATCTAGAAGCCCAGTTTTCTCACCATTATACAAGATGAACAAAGTGACTGTTCTACTAGTATTTCACACTGCTGCCTGGTCCGGACTCCGTATCATGCATCGAATTATGCTTCAGTTAAGCACCTATCGGCGAGGCTGGACACCCAAGTCCTATCCGCGGCTCAACTTAAGTACGAGCCACAATTCAACGTGGGCGGACATAATTTCTGTCTATGAAAGTCCGTGCTGAGCTAGTGCGCCATAAGCTGCGTTAAAGTGGAGTTGGCGGTAATTTTATTGGATCAGAATAGAGACATACCATGTACTCGTATACAAGATGACAAATAGCACAGACAGACTAAACAACGAATGACGGTTTTGTGCCCTCTTTTATCCCCAAACACACATGTGAGAAAAGAGGGCGCAGCCTGATCGTGGAATCTACATACCCAGATGACTACCCCTGTGTCAATGTTCTTACGGGAAACCCCTCATGCCACGGCAATATCTTAGAAAGTCGAAGAGCGGATGCGCTCGTTGCAAAGCTCGACGCGTCAAGGTGATGCGCAATTTGACAATTTCGTGATATGTCGCTAATCGATCTTGCAGTGCGACGAGACTAGGCCTACTTGCGTCCGTCATATACTGATTGATTACGGAAGGCCGAAAGCTGATAGAAATCACAGGGGGCATGTACACGCCATAAAGTAGACTGCGAATATGATGCTTTATACGATGCCATTTTTCGTTCGGAATCTCCGTCATCTACCGAGCTTGGCAATCGATGCGGCTCCGCAGGCCACCGTGCCTCACGAGTTGTGATGCCACTCGCAGAAAGTCAATCCCGTCGTCTCACGAAACTTCGTCTCATGCAACTATTTGTCACTAAAGTTTCGCATACCCTGCCTGGTTCATATCTCGTACAAAATCGGGAAGAGTGGATGAATGACATCCCACGACTGGCGGTTGATCATGAGCCCCTTCTATACGCGATGTTCTCCCTAACAATCGCATACATCACCATAACCAACGAAGAATTTCCCCTGTCGAGACGAGAATTGTCTATATACAAGGCTCAAAATCTCGAATCTGCTTTAAAGCAGCATCGCCAATCCATACGAGAGATGAAAGCCGATTCCGCTGCTCAAACTGTATACACTTCCGTACTGCTTTCGAATGATGCAATAGCAGATCTCAGAAATCGATCCTTGGATCCGTACGGGCCTCCACTATCATGGATGAAGATGAACCAAGGGATACACACCATTCTTCTATCAGCCATCCAGCGAAAGTTCAATAACGTTCTAAGTGGATACTCACAGAATCACGCCCGCATAACATTTTCGACATTTCGGAACTTAGTACCGAAGCAAACATGCAACATTTCCCATATCTCTTGCGCCAGTCTCACGACACGGTTTCTGATGAAGACTGGCAGGCTTATACCGATGCGGTATGTTTTATAGCCGCAGCTGATATTACCAGACAGTCTGGGGAGCATCCGAATGTTTTGGCTAGCAGAGTCGTTTTTTTCCCGACCTACATCAAGCCCCGATTCTTGCAATTGTTGGTCATGCTACGACCACGGTCTCTCGCAATCTTAGCCCATATAATCGCCATTTCTTCGAGTGTCAAAAATTGTTGGATCATTGCGCGGACTCCTTTCCGGGAGATAAATGCCATCCACGAATATCTGGGTCCTGAATGGAGTCAATATACAGAATGGCCGATGGACCTGGTGCGCCATATGTCCGACAAAGCATAGTTGTCAAACAAAAGAGTGGCTTCAAAGCTGGTTTCACAGACTTCGAGTGCCCTTCAATAAAATATGACTCCCCAGCGACGTACATCCTTTCTTGAAATATTGTCCTGGTCTTCATTATCTGCGGACTCAGAACAGTCGGAATCCCCAATCTCGGCGACGTAATCGCAGCGAATACCGCCACAATCCAATTTGACACGATCGCCCGCGCGTATGATTCCGTAGCGTTCACAGTGGCATTTTTGCGGGTTATGCTGCGTAGCCGATTGCAAAGAGGGTAATTTCGAGTTTGAGGAATCCGAGTATTGCGATTTGCTGGAAGATCTATGGGAGTTTTCAGAGTAGTTGCTCCCACCCCCATCCGAAAACGACGATCCCGCATCTCCGCTGCTTAGACGAGCTGTGTCAGGTACGAAGTCTGCTTCATAGACTAGGTTTGGGTTGCACGGCTTGGATGGCCGAGGATGTTTAATTTCAGTCGATGAGACACAAGGAGGAATTGTATATGTCATACTGCAGTGGGGAGGGTTGTAGGGATCAGGTGTCGGCGGGTCCCTCGGGATATTGAATAAATCCAGATGTCTGCTCATTCTGACTTCATGGTAGCTGAGTTAGTAGCTGTCTATGATATATTAGTACCCATAACAATGACCCGGTTGCAGCATCGAAATAAGAAAACGGAATTTCCCGAACCAGTAACATTCCTGACCGTCGCTTTGCAGGGGTAGCTGTCGAGAGTATTTGTCCCAAGACCCAGCTAGTAAATGGATGGTGTTGATGTTGGGTGGGGTCTGCAAAAGGAACTTGAGCCGAAAGGATGACAAGCCCTTGGGGGCAATCAGTGTAAACGGGACATGTTCCTACCGTCATTCTATAGCCATATGGACCCTTGGAACACATTTTCGAGTGCTGTGCAAGACCGAGCAGAGCCTCAAACGATACCGAGATGGGGCCGTTCACTAGAGAGATCGGGCCCACCGGAATATATGACGTGTCTCTACATGCGAAGAGCCAATACTATGCTTTGAAACCTTCATCAAAGCCACGCTTTTCATTGCATTGGTGAATAACAAGGAGTCACCTAAGGCAAGATTGATGACGACGCTCAATAAGGATCAAATCCTGGTATCGAGTACGAAACACAGTTGGCTATTCCAAGATCAATGAGGTCACTGTCAAGTTCAAATATGTACCAATCAGTGTTTGACTCAAAGATCAGTAGGGGATAATTACTCGCAAATTTGGATCTCGACTGCACGGACCAAGCCACATACAATAGTTTGTGTAGTACTAGTACTGAGTACAGGGCACGGAGGATGGGGAGTCCAAAGTAGGGCTGTCACGGTCATCTGCCCATCTGCCCACTCCTTCCGTCTTTCCCCAACTCAGCTTTGACCTCATCTCATCTCTGCTCCTCTCCGCCAATCTTACCAATCCCACCAAATCCCACCAATCCCCGATCAGATCAGCCTTATTCTCACCAGAAAAGGAAGTAAAGGTTCGCGGCCCCTGCACCGCCATGCACGCCCACGACGCCCATCTGCAATCGCGTGGAAGAAACAAGGCCGGACCCTGGCCAAACCGTTGCTTACAACCCAATGGCAGCGCTGCAGTGGAGCCCTGATCATCTTAAAGATCCATTTGCGTCCCTGAGGCTCCACTGTATAATCTGGTCTAACAAATGAGAGTCGCCGCAACTCCGACCCTAAGGACTAGCTCCACCTTAGTGCCTAGAATTTGGCCTCCAGCCCCGTTGCCGCAGAGCATCAGCCGCAAAAAAAATAAGCACGAGGGGCCTCCCTCTTCCTCCACTCTGCAATGACACTCCTATTTTTAACCCAGGTGACGGCCTAGAGCTCCGGTTTAAGGCTGGCCACTTTCTTGATGCTCCGTTGACAGCTTCGTCTCCATTGTGCGAGCGCCAGAATGGCCCAGTCGCGAGAATCTCAGCACTCGCTGCTGCCAGAGGAAGACCTCGTTAATGCTCGCCCTGCTCGCTCATGGAATCCACTCGGCCGCTCCGAATCGCCAAGTCTCGATTATCACCACATCCCCTCTGCCTCGCGCACCTTCTCTAATGAAGTCTTCCGCGATGTCGGCCTGGGAATCACCAATCCCTCGGGGGAAACCCTGCCCGTTGGTAGATCGAGGCAAGATTCCGTCTCGAGTACAGACAGCCAGGTGGACACCCCAGGTTTCTTGAAAACGCCCGAAACACCTGCCATGCCACACTCGCCCAACTGCCCTAGTCACAAAACGATTCTCCAGCGTCGATTGTCATGGGTTCCGATCACGATCCTCGTTCTCGCTTTCTATGCGACCATATTCTCTGGCATCTATCTCATTGTCGCGTTTTGGAAGCCTCGGTGGGATGTCATCAACGACAAGCAGGCGCTGGCCCCATCCACCGCCAATCTACTGTGCGCCTTCTTTGCCAAAACCATCGAATTGGCCTATGTCACCATCTGCGTCGCGTTCTTAGGACAAGTGCTGAGTCGCCGAGCGTTGACAAGGGATTCGCGAGGGATCAGCATCGCCGACATGAGTATGCGCGCGTGGATCATGCAGCCTGGATCAATGATTGTGCACTGGGAGACATTGCGATACTCGGGACTAACAATCCTTGGCACCATCGCGTTGGTTGCTACCTTTGTAGCCATGCTATACACAACCGCTGCGGAAGCTTTGGGTGAGTTAGTTGTCTGTCCATGTTGTTAGTGGTGAGCGATGCATTAGATCAAGGCTAACCCGCATTCCAGTATCACCAAAACTCTCCATGGGATCATATGAAAACAGAACTCTGGCGGGGAAAGTCCAATCTAGTTTCGCCAACACCCACTATCTCGCGTCGGTCTGTCAAACTCCAATCCCCTTGGAAATGGATCCTATAGACCGCAATAACACATGTCTCGAGATTGAGCATGTCGGCTCAGCATACCATAACTACCAGCAATGGATCACAGAATGGAGCGATTTAGTACAGGGCGACAACAGAACATCCGAGAAACTTTACCGCCGCCGACAGCCCAGCGGTTCCATTTGGGATAACACGACAGTTACCGGAAGCTGGATCGAAGTCAAAGACACTGAAGAGCTTTCGAGCAAGTACGGTCGCATGATCAACAACATTACCATGGCAATGCCCCATGGCGGTATTCCGGGTGCAGCTATGGACGGGAAAAACGATATTAAGCAGCCGAAGGATGCCTCAGGCGAAGGCAAATACAATCTTCAAGCCATGGTCCCATCACCGGCAGTCAATGTACTGTGTGTGGGAATGAACAAGTCAGAGCTATCACCCATTGTGTACACCGAATGGCCCGACTCGGATGACTTCAACGCAACAAGCTGGATGGCCAGTGCATCTGACAAAATCCCCGTCACACCCTCGTGGCTAAATAGCACAGTGGTCGACGACATCTTTGGCTTTGGCAAGAAGTATGGCCAGCGCCCTCCTATTTTCGGTAAACTCCCAGAAACCTACAACACCATCCTTAACATAACAGGCCCCTGGCCCGCAGACTCAATCTACTTGCTGGGAAAGCCAAATGTCTCTCACCCGCCCTATGTTATGTGTTCAATCCGCGCCAAATTAACTGGAGCATGCTCCACAAGCTATGGTGCTGCGTCCAGCGGCGCCTTTCTGACCTCGAAATGCGAGGACCCCGACAACTCATTCCAATACAATCGTGATCACCCAGATTTTGGGGAGGGCCGATGGGATCCTGACTGGAAAAACATCGCATCGGAATGGGCCAACGCACTGAGTCTCGGGGCGGGGATCACAGACGGTGCAGCCAGTAACGCACGCCTCTTAATGCAGATGATGCCATCTTACGATGAGTCTTCAAAAACATACTCCCTTAGTCGGCATTTCCCTTCTATCGGTGAAGCCCTTGCCGTAATGGCTGGCAGTACTCTTATTCTCAGCACGCAGGATACGCCCTTCGTTCAAGGTTGGGACTACAACGTGACTGACAATATCCTTCCCGAGCCAGTCTACCACTATTTCAAGGCCTCAGTCCAAGCCGTAGGCTACGCTTCCGGTGGTACAGAGCGCTGGCAAGGCGTGTTCTACGTCATTCTAGTTTTCTGCTTCATCACGAGCTTCATTTGTTTCGGCTTTATGATCCTCGAAGCGCGAGGCCATCAAATCACAGACTTCACCGAGCCGCAGAACCTGTTCGCGCTGGCTATGAACAGTCCACATAGCGCGCGGCTTCAAGGGGCATGCGGCGGTGGTCCTGTAGGTCGACAGCTCAAAGAGCGTTGGTTTATTGGCATGGAGGAAGATGATGCACACTACTATATCCGCGCCAAGGCGGATGGAAAAAGTGCATTCGGCAGTGGACGATCTACTGCGTACCGGGCTGTTGAACAAATGGACATGGATGATGGCTCTTTGAAACCGGTGAGCCCTGCCGTTAATGAATTTCGGCGCGTCTCGAAGCGAGGATCATTCCTCGCGAAGTTTTATTAATCATTAAAGAATAATGTCTATGGAATGATATCCACGGCTTAGCCTGTATTTTAGTTATTTCTTGTTATTTATGTTGTACTCCTTGGATACCACGCCATACACTTGGTTTTGTAAGCTCGGAGCAGCTCGCTATCTAGTAGAAATTCGAGTTCCAGTAATGATGGCATTGGTACTACTGGTAGTGCTACCTACTAGTAGTAGCATTCTCACAACAACTCCAGTGACTCCAGCTCACCCGCCCGAGCGTGCCGTCGGCGGCTTACCCCAGGCCGGTGCCCTATCGGCGAGCGGATATCATGCCGCGGAAGATGTCGAGAATCGGGTCTATATATCTCATTCGCATATTCCAACGCGGTCTGACCATTCTTATCCGTAACATTGACATCGATCCTGCTTGAAGATAGCAGTAACTGCACGGCATCAACCTGACGTCTGGTTATTGCATGCATCAAAGGCGTTTTGCCATCGTCCCTCGATGTGTTCGGGTTCACCGAGTCCGGGCATGCAAGAAATACTCTCATCACTTCTAGGGCATCGCGGGCCACGAATTTCCTCTCACTGTCAGGATAATCATGACCCATTTCCTCCGTCTTCATCCAATCCGGAGAAACAGGAACACCCGCGTCACGCAGTAAATTGAGAATATCCTGACAGGCAGAGGGAAGGGGAGTACCACCAAGCTCATGGGCGAAGAAACTAGAACGTGGCTTTTGAGCAAATTGCCCCTGATCAATCGCAGCAATCAGAGGAGTAAATCCATGGATCTGATCTTTTGCTTCAGGGTCCGCCCTTCTAGACTCCAGTAGCACTCTCACAGCACCCACAGCACCTTTCGCCGCAGCCAAAAAAGTCGCCGTCCGGCCATAGATATCCCTCGATTCGACTTCGACCTCATCAAGCGAGAGCAAAAGTCGCACAGAAGCTTCTTCCCCAGCAGCAGCAGCACAAGACAGCGGCGTTGTCAAATCATCCGTTCGCGAATTAACATCGATCTTCCCGGTCTCCAGCAGAAGCTTCATCACCCCGACATGTCCCTTTACTGCAGCCCAACAAAACGGCGTACGGCCAGACTTGGACGGCTTCTCAGGATCAACATCGTCCCTAGCAAGCAAGATTCTCACGATACCCTCATGACCACTCCTCGCCGCACTAATCAATGGAGTCCTCAATTCCCCCCCGAGGCCGCCCCGTAGCCCGATTCGGATCAATTCCCCTCGACAACTCCAGTATCAGAAGAACAATATCTTCATAACCCCTATCACAAGCCTCCGCCAACTCATCCTCCCTGAAAACATGATACGCATCATCCGCCCCTTCTCCAACGGTATCAATCTCCAAACAAGCCCTAACACACTCAACCTCACCCCCCAAAACCGCAGCCAGAAGACTATCCTTATCGAATCCACTCCGTCCATCCTCCAACAACATCTTCAAAATCTCAACCCTCCCCCATTCCAACGCTATATTAATCGGATTAAGCGCACTCCTACCCAGAAATATCCCCATACCATTCCCCCTCTGAATAATCCGAGCCACACTAGACCCATCCTCATCCACCTCATCAACCCCCAACAAAACCCCCACAACATCCACAACCCCAAACTGAACCGCATAACAGAGCGCCGAAAATCCAACCCCATCCAACAAATAAACCAATCCCCAATCCCGCCGAATCAAAAAGCGAACCATATCCACATACCCATTCCTCGAAGCCGCCATGAGCGGAAGAGATTCAGGCCGGGCCTCTGGATATTCAGATCGACCTCGGCGTCCGAGTCGGGGTCGGGGTTTACCTGGTATGATTGGGACGCGCGTTGTCGCGCCTCGGCATAACATTTTCTCTGCGAGGTGGATGTGGTTGTTATTGCATGCCCAGAGGAATTTTGATTGAGGGTCTGAGCAGATTTTGTAGAGGGTTTCTTGCAAGGTGTTGTGGAAGTGGTGGCATGTTTGGATGAGTGCGTTTAGGTCGGTTTCTTTTTCGATATGTGTGCCTATGTGGAGATGGAGTTCGGTTGGGAGGGATGATAAGTGGGATTTTTGGTTTCTGTCGTTGGTGTTGGTGTTGGTGTTGGTGTTGGTGTTGGTGTTGGTGTTGGTGTTGGTGTTGGTGTTGTCGTTGTCATTTTTGCTAGTAATTTGTCTTGGGTGAGGTCGTAGGACTAGGTCGGATGTTGTTGGTAAAGTCGGCATTTTAATTTCCATGGATGGGGCTGGACTAGCCATTGTATCCCAGTTTAAGGCGAGGAGGAGTTTCTTCTATTCTCGCAGGTGGGGGCGTTGCTGCAGTTGAGTCAGATTGACGAGGCTCGGGACTGTGTCATTTGCGGGGAGCTTACTGGCACATCAAGCTGTGTGATTGGTGAGATCGAAGGGGATTTCGCCCAGCTCGAACTAGTACTAGCTGTTTTTACAGCAGCCCAGTAAGTCCTAGTTCATATCAAGTTCTTTCATAGTCACGCCGATCAGCGCTTGTTTGAGTATCACTGAAGAAGACAATTGCACCTAAATTAACTCGGACTTTCGTGTCAGGCTTAATTTGAGAGCGAGAGCCTCGCGACTGGCCGTAGCCATTCTTGTGATGATGTGTTTTGCATCATTGATATTTGGGGATGTTCAGTGGATTATGGATGTCTGCTTGTTATTTCAAGTTATTGGTGAAGTTCGAGGTGATAATGTCTTGGGACTTGGATTGTGATTGAGACATTTTGATATTAGTCCCGAGGTCTGATCCATGGGATTGGCGCCATAGTTAGCATCGCTAGCATCGGTTTAGGTCTCCCCGGACCTCCTCGCACCAGTGTATAATCAGTTGTGGATTTTATCAAAGAATCAAGGTGGGATGCCCAGACGCCAGATATAAAGTTATGTTTCCACTTAGTATAAACAGGATTCTTTCCCCGTATCTGCCAACTTTTGACACATTGAACCGGAATTCAGATGGCAAGCTCCGCCCACCGGAGATCTCATCTGCTACAAAGTGGTCCAGGAATACGAAAACGAATGAAAAGATAAAAGGTACCCAGGTACCTCATAAATTGAAATATGTACAAGACCAGGGGCCGAAACTCGAACCAGCACGAAGAGTGAACTTAAAAAAGGAGTCCGGACGCGCAAAGACCAGGCCGCATCGCGTATTGACAGGCGGAACAAAACACACAGAGAGGATTTGTATGGGGAATAGGTATAAGAATATGAATGTTCAGAGTAGACCAGATCAGATGGGAGATATAATCGAAGAAACGGGAGACGGTGAGGCAACGCTAAAGAATCGCTCGCGCACACAGATAAATGAAATATAATAAATAGAACTGGACCGAATGCGAAACTGTGAATGCGGAGGATGCACCGACACGAACTTTTACAAGGACGCCATGCCGGACGCCATGCAGGAAAGAGGAAGAGATTGAATGTAGAGTCTATGCTTGATAGACTTTGGTAGAGAACGAGGTTTTGTGAGGGTAAGGAAAGGTGATATGGTATGAGAGAGGGTGAAAGGGTAGGATGGTTCTGAGAGATATCAACAAATAGACGCTATGGTGGGCGGTGGGTATAAACGTTCAGCTCAGCGGTCGGCGTGGATATTCAACCAGCTCATGTCGGAATTAACATTCTGAGTGCGACCTGGTGTGCGAATCTCATCGATATCATCCGGTATGATGACGCTAGACCTCCGACCGTGGGATTGGCGGTTGTCCATATCGGGGAAATACCCCGAACCGGTATTTTGCAGATCTCGCGTGCTGGAGTTATAGAAACTGGTGCTGTAATTGCTGCTGGGTGGTCGTCCCAGCCAACTTTGCTTATGTGCGCCTGTCCATGCTGTGTCGTGGGGGTCATCGTCCGACATGAGGCTAATCGAGTCGGCGCTAGATATCCGCGCGGATTGTGCTTCCGGGATAGCGAGGCTGCGGCCGATTCCGACTGAAGAGGAGCTTTCGGTTGTCGGGCTGCCGCTATATACCTGGCCGAGTGGTTTGGGTTGGTCGAGGAAGCCAAAGTTGATCGGGGCGAGGTTCGTCATCGGCCAGGCACTTCCGCGGTAGTCGGATTTGGTGTAGACCGAGCTGACGGTTGACCGATCAGCGGGCATGCCGAGATTGGATGTGTCGTTATTATCTTCGAAGTATTTGCCCCATCCTTCGTCTGTTGTCCGATCACCAGCCTTGTTGGATCCCACTGCGGCTCCAGCTCCAGCTCCCGCGGCTCCACCGGCGACAATGGCAGCGGCCTCGGAACTCTGGGAGTACATACTCGAGGGCGCAAGACCACTGGACGGGATTGGTGATAACGGGCTGCTATCGCGAGGTTTTGATGACAACCCGTAGCCATTGTTGGGCGGTGGTTTGAGAGATTTCTCTCCGGTGGCACGGCCAGACATGATGGCGAGCGAGTCATTGGACATGGAAGCAAAGGGGACTGGACTCTTTGCCATTGGGTAAGCACCTGCAGCCAGGGGTGCTAAGCCCTGGTCGTGGCCTAAGCCCTGGTCTTGGAAGCTGAGACGGTCCTTGCTGTCATTGGGCCGCTGGCCGTTTTGTATTTGCTGTTGCTTCTTGCGGCGAAGGAGGAAGAGCAAGAGCAGAAGAATGATAGCGACACCGCATACGCTACCCAAAGTCGCACCGAGGATTGTTTTCAAATCAGCGTGCGAGGTGCTTCCACCAGCAGCCGCGGCAGGGGTGGAGGAGGAAGTGGACGTTGGGGTGACAGAGGCGGAACTGGAAGAGGTGGATGTCGAGGTCGAGGTTGGTGTCGAGGATGTGAACGAAGTTGTCGTGGTGTGATGTTTCAAGGTATGTTGTGGCTTGCCGTAGAATAATTCGGTCGCATTGGCCCAGCTATTGGAGGTTTGGTTGAAAATGGCCAATGTTTCATCGCCACTACCACCTGCGACAACAACCATTCCCTGCTGTTGGGCGAGGGAAAACTCCGGCCATTTCTTCGATGGCGCATATGAACTATTGTATGTGGGATAGTCGCTTAAGCTGCGCTTGAGGGGTGTAGCAGCCTGTGCCTTGCCCTCATCATTCACCAAGGCATAACTCTGGACGGAGTCGGCGGACCCATCCATGTTGAAAGTCATCAAAATCTTACCACCAGCGGAGTCGTCCATCACAATAGGCTGTGTTGTGTCCGACACAGTACTTGGTGACGGCAAGCTTGCACCTGATGTTGTCCATCCTGTCGTATCGCTAAAGGTCCAAACAGCAGCGCTCGACGTCTGGCCGCCCATCATGGCAACATTGGAAGCATCCCATGCCATAAGATAGGGGTTATTGGAGTTTGGGGCACCCTGGGGGAGCTGAGAACCACTGCCGTATGGAGGCACGGTCTCAATGGTAAATGTCTGACCGGCGGGAACAGTGTCACCAGACGAACTGCCACCGAACACGACAATCTTGTGGCTTGAACTGATATATCCAGCGCCATGGCCAGTGAGTCCGGTCAAAACGCCGACGGAGCCAAGGGTTGACCAGGTTGTATCCTTGAAGGAATATCGCTGCAAGCCAGAGTAAAAATCGCCGCCGCCGGTCCCGCCGACGACGTAGAGGGCTTGCTCGTCTTCATTACCCTCGACGCCACCTAGCATACAAACAGCGTCGTCCACCAGAACAGGGTCCCCGCTTGTGTAGCTTGTGGGCGCATGCCATTTGGCATCCTTCTCGAGGTCGATATACTGGAGACCGTTTTTGGAAAAGACGTAGAGGGTGTTGTTGTGAATGACGGAGCAACGGCCCTTCAATTCGTGGTCGGGGGTGGGAACTTTCATATCGATTGGGAGAAGGCGAAAATGCAAAGAACGAAATAAGATGATACCAGACCAAGTGATGGAATTGCGGATGGCCAGCCGGCGGAGAAATCAGGTCAATAATTGAAGAAGGATGGTGACTGCCAGAGCACTATCTCATCTCGGCCGGGATTTAGCAGCGGCGCGCACGCATTCGGGGTAGGAAGGTTGGGACGGAGGGATTCTGGTGCACTCGAATGGGTTGTGGTTGGTGAACCGAGGCAATTGGGGGCGGTCGAGTCAGGCCGAGTCGAGTCGGGTTGAGTCAGATAGTATAGGATTGGATTGAAATGAGAAGTCCAGCTCGGGATAGTCAGGGGTTCAAGTTGTGTTGATGCTGTTCGCGAAGACGGCGATTGGGTGAATGGAAGGAGTGAAGAGTCGAAAGTCGAAAGTCGAAAGTCGAGAGACGAAAATTGAAGATTGAAAGATGGTGAGAATTTGGGGGTAGAGAATGGGGGCGACAAGTCGCGAAAGAAAGCTGGATAGGAGTTAGTGTCGAAGTCGGATGGGGTGGCAGGGAGTCAAAATCAGAAATCAGAAATTGGGCGACACACCGAAGGACAAGTGCACAGCACAAAAACCAGACAAGACACAACAACAAGGACCGAGGGGGGGGAGGGGGTCGAACGGGGAGAGGAAAGGAGAGAAAGGAGGAGGAGGAGGAGCGCTGGAGGGAGTGGAAGTGCTGCGGTGCCAAGGTGAGACATGCACTTCCCTTTCCCTCCACCTCCGCCATCCCCCTTCAGGCTGATTCGGTCATGGTAATTTAACTCGGCGCTTACTTAGAGGTATAGTATGGGTGTATTATAGGAATAGATGATATTTGACTCTATTATAGCCAACTATTATGGTCAGTATTACTATTATCACAGCATACAATCTGTCGGGCAGTGGGAACCACCAGGAGACACCTGCAGTCTAGTCTGCGGCCCTCCGGGGCCATTCTGCAGCCTCCTCCCCTCCTCTTCTCCCTTCCCTGCCGATAATAATAGCAAGGGGTTCATGGGTTCATGGGTTCATGGGTACACCATGAAAATGAAAATAAACACGCCCCTTTACAGAGCACGGAGTACTCTTTACTGTTTACTCCTGAGTGAACCACGGTTGATTGTCTGAAACCGTGGAATCACATGGCTCGTGCACGCAATAGCATCATAGCCCGCAATTTGGGAGATTGATATTGGATGGGATGGGTTGAGTACCACTCGTACATACACTCTGTGTACTCCTTATAGTATACATGCTACGAGTATACCTATCCAATCTCTGTACTCGTACTCGTGCTCATCCAGAGTACGAGTACTCGTATCGCTTCCAAAGTCACGGCTATCCACCACCACCACTCTAAAGTGGGCCACGGGCGAAACACCCGCCTTCTCGAACATCATCCCTCTAGACCTAGAACAGCTAACCGAGCACCACGAGTGACGAGCCCAGCCTCCAGTGCTTCACATTAACACTGATCAGGTTCAGTGGCACTAACACTGCAACAGCACAGAGTACAGTACTACCCGTACTCATCCTCGTACTCTGTGTATCACCATGCAGGTACCAAGTCAAATCCGGTTTAAAATCTGGATCCAGGAACCACCTGGGCACCTGGGCACCTGGGCACCTGGGCACCTATTGCACTCCAGTCGCACAGTCCTCCACCAAAAGATTCAAAGATCGGACCCCCTTCTCCCTCGCGATAGGTTCCATTTCGACGCCAGTATACCCAGTCTAGTCCTATTCGGGTCACTCTCCCTTGGCGGGACGGCCGATCGGTGATGACATCGTTCAGCGGGCGAGTGACAGTCGATGAATACTCGCTACCCCTGTTCGATCCTGCAATTGGACATCCCTGCAATCGCAGAGTTCGGGGGGGGATTAAAATGGAAAATTCAAATTGAAGAACTGGTGTGGGAGTGGGAGGGAAGTGCACGGGTCCTCCGGAGCATATCTTCGTACTGTACTTCTACTAATCATGCACTACAGACTATGTACTACTCCGTACGGATCCTGACTCGCTCTCGACCACGGTGGATGTGGAGACGAACTCCATATGTAAATTGATTTATTATAACACTTGATTCGACCAGTTTCCATTCGTTCGTTGGGTCGGTCACGGCCCCATTTTGCACGCCAAGGCCCCAGTGGGACTTCAACTTCATAATAATAGCCTTGATATTGATAGCCTTGATACTCATGATATGCACCCAAGACAGCCTCCACTCCAAATCATACACTTCCAATCCCAATTCCTCCTCATGCTGACGACTGCTGCTTCCAAGCATGCGCCCGCTGGAGCAGCTTCGACAGATTCGCTGCCGACTTGTCGTCCGCCGGGAACACGTAGTCCATGTACTCCTCGTACCGGTCGTCCTCCAGCTTGCGACGCTTCTTGACCCGCCGAGGCATCTGCTTCTCGATCTTGTCGATATCCTCCGGCGATCCGTGCGTGTTCTCGAACGACCGCCAGGCATTGAGTAGTTCCACGCGCTGGAAAGAGTTAGCCTCAATTCTGCAGAACTTGTCACCAAGAATTAAACTTAAACATACCTCTTCCTTGAGCTCCTTGTCCTTGAACACCTTGTGCGCCCGGTCGAATACCGCCCGTGCTCGGATCTTTGCTTCTTCGCTGACCGGTCGCTCCTCCTCTTCCTCTTCTTCCTCGTCGTCGTCAGGGATGTTGATCTCGAATCGGGCGTAGTTGATCCAGACCTTGACGTGGTCTGTTTTCGAAAGTAGACGCTCATACAGAGCGCGCACTCGGTCGTATTCACCTTCCTCCTCTTCGCAATCAATGTAGGACTTCCATACCAGCTCAGGCATGTCAAGCGTCGCTTGTTCAATACCCAGCTCGTACAGCGCCCGAGCGCGCTGCAGATCATCCAGACCACGCTCCAACTCCGCATATTGAATCCAGGACTGACTGTTCGACGAGTTCCATTCGATCTGCTTCTCGTACAATGTCCGGCACCGCACGAACTCAAACAGCTGACGCTCCAGATTGATATATCCGCGGAAAAGCTTGTCCTTGGGACACATCCCGATCGCCTGACCCAGCGTCTTCCGAGCCGCGCCCAGCTCCATCTGTCGGATCTCAAATTGCGCCTTCATCAACCACACCTTGGCAAAGGTGAACTTTTTGTGTGGAATAAGCTTGATGCATTCCTGGTAAATCTGTCGGGCCCGTTCCGCATCTTTCGCCTCCATCTCTTCCCAGACTGCGTAGAAGATCCAGAGATAGATGTACCGGCGCCAGTGTCGCTTTTCTTGCGAGGGGGGAATCTGTGCAATCGCTCGCTCGTAGATATCGCGAACTCGCTCGGGGTCACCGGCAGTTTCTTCCAGTCGGGCAAAGTCGAACCAGATATCGTAGTTTCGTTGGTTCTCCTTCAATTGCTCTTCGTATTGTACGCGGCGCTTGGATAAGATGACATCCTCCACACCTTCGCGATCACCAAACTGCTTCTCAAATGTAGTGTAGGCCTTGTGTAAGACCATCGACTTGGATCGAGGCAATCGGTCGAGGGCGAACTTGTAGATAGCGCGGGCGCGCTCGTACTCCTTCAGCTTGGCCTCAAACTTGGCGTATGCGACAAACAGCTTCTCATCCATGAAGTCATCTCCCAGTGTTTCGATAGCGACGCCATATACTTCGCGGACGAGATCGCTAGTTCCACACTCCTCCTCAAAACGAGCCCATTTGATCCAATTCCGCGGCTCCGGGTGCACAATTGTAAACCGCTGGAAAACCTGCCGAGCCCGATCAAACTCATTGTACCGCTTTTCCAACTTGATATAAGCCGCCCACGCACCCTCCTCCGGCTCCCACGACATCCAACGCTCAAAAACTTGGCGCGTGCCGGGAATGTTGCCGAGCGTCTCTTCCATATAGACGTACTTGAACCAGAGCTTATCGACTCGAGGGAGGATGGTGACGGCGCGATCAAGCAAGTTCCGAGCGTGATTGATATTCCGAGTCTTCATCTCAGCTTCGATGTATCGAATCCACAAGATAACAGAGGTCGAGTCCACGTCCAGCGCACGCTCAAAGATCGATCGCGCGCGGCGGAATTCCTTCTGTTCCAGTTCCCAGGCCGCATAGCGCATCCAGTTGTTCATGTTAATACGGTTGCGCCGCACATAGTCTTCAAAATCCTTGCGCTTGCGTCCCTGGTATTCATGCAGCTCTTCCAGATCAGCAAACCGTTGTGTCGGTGCCTGTAGGCCCTCCTCCTGCCGGTCAACTGCCTCGCGCAGTAGCTGCTCTGCGGAGATCTGGACAGGCGCGGCGGCCTTGTTCTTGACCCGAGGGGGGTCCGCGAGACGCCTCCATGATGGCGGATTTCGACGGGGTGGGGAAGGTGGTTGGACGAAGTATCGATCTCGGAGGAATTGGTGAATCTTTTTGTGGTCAGAACCACCGGTTGATTGGAGTTGATGTTTCTGGGTTGCTCTCGCCCGATGAAATCAATCTGCATTCTTGGTTGAATCCGCCGCCCGTAAAAAAAAGAGCTGCTGCTGACTCATCACTGTTGGCCGCCACTTTGAGCAGTCGCGAGTCTTGAACCTTGAACATTCAACTTTGTCGGTCAACAGCGTTGCATTTTCTGCTATCAGAGACGATTCTACGTCCTAGGTTACTCTCTGCAGAGACATACTCCAGCTTCTCTTATCATAGCCGCCCAGCATGTCCGCCGCGGAGGATCTCCTGCGCGACTTTGAAGACGACGAAGACTTCCAGGACCAGGAAGCCGAAGGCCTCGAACAAGAAGTCGAGGATGAACAGCCCCAGGATGTCGGTGCAAAGGCTACCAATGACTTTGACCTCTCTATCGAGACTGCCGACCAACTCACACGACTACACAAAGACCTACGCGATCACTATTCCGTCCGTTTCCCCGAACTCGAAACCCTCGTCACCAGCTCCATCAAGTACGCCAAAACGGTCGCTATCCTTGGAAATGGCCCCTTCGACGATATCAAAGCCCTCTCCAATTCCGCAGATAACATGGTGGGCGAGTCCCTCAAGTCTGTTCTCGACGGTCCCTCCCTCATGACGGTAGCACTGGAAGGGACCACAACCCGTGGCCGCCAAATGACCGACGCAGAATTGAAGATTGTTCTGGATACCTGCGATCGCATCATCAAACTTGATCGCGAACGTACAGCTCTTACTGAGAGCATTCGATCCCGCGTCAACCAGATTGCGCCGAATCTCGCAACCTTGATCGGATCACACACTGCTGCACAGTTCCTCAACCAATCCGGTGGTTTACTCGAGTTGGCCAAAATCCCAGCATGCAACCTCGGAGCACAAGGGTCTAGGCGTCAAGGTGGATTAGGATTCGCCACGAACCACGGTGTTCGTGCGAAGGGTTTCTTGTACGATTCACCTCTGATCCAAGAGGTACCTCTACGACCTGCAGAAGCAAGCAATCCGCATTGTTTCTGCGAAAATGATCCTCGCCGTTCGCTCAGATGTTGCAAATTACGCCAGGGACGGCTCACTAGGCGAGGACCTGAAGGAGCAGTGCTTCAAGCGCCTAGAGAAACTGACCGAGCCTGCGCCCAACTCTGGCGTAAAGGCCCTCCCCGCTCCGGACGACAAGCCAGCCCGGAAACGAGGTGGTCGGCGAGCCCGTCAGGCCAAGGAAGCCGTCGCCATGACCGAGCTACGCAAAGCCCAGAACCGCATGGCATTCGGCCAAGAAGAAAAGGAGTCTGGATACGGGACGGGCGAAGGTACCGTTGGTCTCGGCATGTTGGGCCAACAGAACGATGGCCGAATCCGAGCCACGCAAATCGACCAGCGCACCCGCGCGAAACTCAGCAAGAACAACAAGGGTTGGGGCGGATCGACCCCGGCTAGCGGCACGGCCTCGTCGCTCCGCACATTCGGCCAAAGTGCGGGTGGAACTGCCAGCGTGCTTCAGTCCAAGGGTCTGCGCACATCTGGAGTTGGATCGATGTCCGCCACTGCCGGTACGGCTAGTACGATTGCCTTTACGCCCGTGCAGGGACTAGAGCTGGTGGATCCCAAGGTTCAGGCCGAGTTGAACCGCAAACGCAAGGCGGAGGAAGATCGTTGGTTCAACAGTGGAACATTTACGCAAGTTGGCGGTGCGCAAAGCAGCACTAAACCGCAAGGCAAAGATAGCGATGGATTCAAGGTGCCAGCGATCCCGGCCCGTAAGAAGGTCGATACTGGTGCGGGCAAGATGGGCCCACCGCCTAGGCCTTAGGTTACTTACCCTCAAGTCCTGTGCATCTTAGGATGTCGCGTGCGATTGCCGTTTATACTCGAACATTCGCATACAACTCTCATTCCAGGCGTTCTGGGCGACGATCGGAGGGGGAAGGTCGGGACCGTTTTGCGCTATTCGTGATACCATTTTTTTATTTTGCTGTACATTAACTATTATTGCCCTCGGTGTGACCGAGTGGCCAATCGCACGAAGTCTGAAATTCGTAAAAATTGAATTTGGACTATGCTAGCTGCACTGTCAATCGCAATCCTCAACTTACCCCGATGTAGCATTGACGCCTCACTAAGTGGATCTATTGGGGAACCTCTACCCTTGTTGCCCGTTAGGAAGCGCAGTAGGTACCTGACTAAATTCTCTACTGCATAATAATGCAGCCTAGCTTCGAAGTGCGATATGAAATCTCTACTCTACATACCTAGGTAGTAACTGACATGAAAGCTATCCCCGGAGATAGAATGACGTTGAATGTATTCTCTCACACTATACTTTTTCGGTGTGGAGAGTGGCCAATCACGCAAACCCAAATTCAGATTTTATTAACTACCGTCACGGTACATTTATCACAGCCAGTGCACTGCGTTGTCACTGGCAATCAGAGACAATCCCCAACTTACCCCGATGTAGCATCGACGCCCTGCACTGCAGCCAACCCTCCCCGCCATTTTCCCAATCGAAATAGGGTTTGCGCACAACACGTGGAAAACCACGTCACTACCGCTTTACTTGTGAACTTGACATAATGCATTTACCACTGGCATCGGATTGTAGTTCTTTTCTGGGTAAGTGCATCTGATTAATTCAAAGATGGAATTTGACTTGAAAGTAAAAGTAGGAAATTGCGGGACTCATTGACCCATACTTCGGGCGTGGGCTCTTTCGGAATTGCGTGCTTGAGCCGCGTCCTTTGCTCAGGTCTTTCGCAATCTCTGGGAATGTGGTACAAACTGAATCTTTTGGTAGCGGTCAAGAAATTTTTGTGTTTGGGGTCTTTGGGTCAATCGTATTAATAGTTGGCTGCTTTGTCCTTTTGCCCAAGGTTTCCTGTCTTTAAACACTTTACTTGGGTACTCCTCAACATCGCCCTTTCTTCAAATTTACTTCGAGTACTACTAGTACCTCCTTCCATTATACAAATATAAATATATTCGACCATCAAGATACTTTCAGTTCCATCTCACTCGACAAAGAATTCAACTGAATCTTCAAAGCGAGGTCAATTGTCCCGTCGCGATATCTTGAAACACCTCTACCCGCGGGAAAAGAATCTGTGCCGTGGCAAATTCCCAACTTAGGGTTTCACTTTTTTTTCACAACTCAAAAGTATGGCACCGGGTATAGCCACCCCAACGCCAGGCACAGCCGGCAAATTCGGTCCACTCGACGACCCGAAGGTACTAAGAGCCGCCACTGGAATAGTCATCAAGGACCTCCGACCACACCATGAAGTGACATCCGATTTCGACGAATTGAAATTCCACGCCGCAGCATCCCGCCAAATCAAATGGCAGCAGCAGCAGAAACAGAACCAGAATGAAGAGATCTCTTCTTCTGAGAACTCGATATCAGAAACAGAAACAGAAACAGATACCCGTCTCATCTCCTCACCATACAACGACACTCCACACCTCCTAGACCTGGAAACCCTCGACACGCAGAGCAGACTTCTGGCACTAGCCTTGGCCTCATTTACATCCATTCGTCCGGACTATGCGACAGCGCCCTATATCGACAATTTCAATTGGGACGAAGTGTTCAACCTGGTGAAAACATTCGCCGATGCCGAAGGCCACAGATGGACGGCGCAGACTTTCTACGTCGTTGCTTTCCGATCTATACTTCTCCCCGGCGTTGATAATGACCATCTCCATGCCCTGGACGCATATTCGCATCAGGAAGCTGTGGCGAGTGGTGGGTTATTGAAATATTGGTTCGGGACAAAGAATGAGGAGAGGAGGAATCTTGCAACTTGTGAGTAGTAGTCCAGTAAATTTGCACCCCGAATGGAATTGTATACTAATGGGTTTGCATAGGCATTTGGCGCAGTCGGGAAGATGCCCGACTTGGTGGTCGGGGACCTTGGCATGCGAAGGCCAGAATGGCGGCGAGAGAACTTTATGAGAATATCACGTTTACGACGATGAAGTTAGTTATTGAAGATGATGTGGCTTCTTGGTCTATTGGGGATTGGGAGGAGAAGGCATGAATTATGATTCTACTTCATTTCTGGCGTTTCTTTTTATCTTGCAGGCATGAAAGGAGATAGGTCATCCTTTGGCCTTTTTTGGCCTGTTAGCCGTGTTGTTAGCATTTGCATTAGCTACAAATTCACAGCATAAGCACTCAAAACGGCTCTTGTCTTAAATTTCAGGTGGGTTGCAGGCTGGTAAAATAATGTGCTTTTGCTTGTGAAAAAGCGATTGGGTGGTGGTTACAACTGGCCAGCGATGATGGCTCAGTTTATGCTGGACGAATAACGAAACTTCTTCAATATGCCATCGATATTTCTTTCTACAGAGAACTGCAAAGCCCGTTTCACCGTTTGACACTTGTATATCCATTCCTGGTCCCACAGCTTAGACTTGTCGGAGAAATGAGTGCTGTTTTGTGGGGTATTATATATACACTTTTCATCATTGTAACTTGCTTGTATATAGATTTAGACCCAGGAATAAGTCTTGTTGGTTTCTTGGCGGGAGTGATCTCGGGTGCCCTCAACTTGATTGGCGCTGGACATGTTTCTTTGATGAGCCTACCCTTGACATTGATGCTCCCACGGCGTGTACGGTGTTGGTGTTGTTGTTCGGGTGTAAAAAAGGACCGAAGGGGTTGTGTTGGTTGTGTTGGTTGTGCTGACCCGATTCCTCAGGCACCAATAGTTAACCAGTCACCCCAGACCCACTTCTCCATAGTATGGGAGTATGGGGACGGTCTACTCTCACTCTCTCTCCCCATACCAACATCACCAACAGAATCTACATCACCAATATGGCTGAAAAAGAAAGTGAGCGTAACGCGAATCTAATCGCTGCTGGTGTTGGACCTTGCAACCCCCAGAACTACCCTCAACCGCTGACAACTCATCCAATCTACGCCGAACGGGACGCTGCAGAAACAGAGGTAAATGAAATGCCAGTCAACTTGAATCAAGCGGCAAACCTCCCAGAAGGCCCGATCCAACTTCCTCGAATTGAAGAAGTCCTTGACGGGAAGGCCAATTGGGTGGAATGGGAACGCAAGGTGAAGGCCATTCTGGCAAGCAAATCTCTCCACCCTTTGATCGACAAGAAAATACCACGCCCCCAATTCGCTCCAACGGATGCAACGGCCAATAGATGGCGATTGTGAAGCATGAATGTTGCGACGTGGCTACTCAGAGGTATCTCGGTCGCTCTGTATGATGAGATATAGATTCCACACTATGAGCCGACATTTGCAGACGACCTGTGGAATGCTTTGAAGACCACCTGCCAACCTCGCCTTGCCCATCACGACCTCAAAACATGGAAGGCATTTACAGATATCGGCGCGTCAGATTACACCAGCATCGAGGCCTACACCGCTGCCTATTCGGATGTCTATTTTGAGGTGCGGGAGGCGGGTTTCAGACCCGACCCATATGCCTTGATCCTGGATTTCCTGGCAGAGATCCAGGTACTCAACCCGCCCTTGGCAGACAGGGTTATGCAACAATTGCAGATGGAAGATAGGCGGCACGGCGAATACAGCGAAGGTCTGTTCTACGAAATCTTCCAGTCAGTGAAGATGGCCGTTCCCTTGACCGTTCCCCGTTTGTAGCGGTGGTTGTTGTTCATCATGTACTAGATAGCCTCTTCTCACCTCGTCTCTCTCTTCACCACGACAGATACCACACAGGCTATCCATTTTCCTCCTATCCCCCTATCCCATGCACTGCGGTGCCCAATACCTATGAGAGAATCTCCCAAGTGAAAATGAAGTATGAAGAAACAATACAACCCATACCGGGGCGGCTAGCCCATGAAATAAAAATGATTTTTTTTAGTTAAGAGTGTAGAAAACGCGACAATGTAATCGGATATGTGGATTCGGGCCCTTATGGCCGAAGTATGACTTCCAGACGGAATCCGCGGATCCCTTAGGGGCCTTTTGGGGTTAGCAGCTCGAGATCTTCCCACTCGGAACACCACGACCGAATCCACCTCTCGCTTGTGTCCTGCCAGGTGGTGGAGCTTACCGGGCTTTATCAATCTACAGTGGGGATCGGATGGGGCCGGACGAGGAACATTTCATTAGGCAACCATTCCAGCGGCATCAACCGAAGTATTCTGAGTATTTTCCGAGGGCCAATTTTCCCAGTCAAATTTTTCAACACCGCTGTCGTCCAGATCTTTTGGGTCTTTGGAATCTGGAATTCTGAGGCCTAATGGAATTTTATTGGTTTCAATAACTACGGGCTGCAATGGCCACGTTGTGTCTTTTTTATTCCCACAAGAGCTGGTCTAGAATATGGTTTTCGGCTTACTTCAATGCTACATCGGATCAGATAGTTCCAGTGGAGTTAATTTAAAGACCGGGGGGCTGATACTTGCCCCAATAGGAACTCTCGTCCGCCGTCTGATTTACGTACTATCGAAGCCACCAAAAGGCATTTTGAGCAGGCCGCCGCCGCAAGCGACTAGTTCTTGTTGAAAAACATGATTGAGCTTCAAGAATGCGACATTCGTATTTCTCTTTCGTAATAAGGATTCAATTCTCGTGAGAAATGAAACTATCGAGCAAACATTTTGACAATTAGTATGTGGACCTGCGACAGTTAACCCCGAAGAACAAAGACACACAATCATACTTCTTCCAACAATCATACTTCTTCCAACTCTATGCCTCAAAGCTCCAATCAATTTCTTGTTTCAATCTTATAAGCATTGATTCATGATTTAGATCTTATCTCGGCCCGAGCTTGGCCCCTGATGGTCTAACTCTAACCTCTCACGAGCATCCAACACTGTCGCCAAGGCCGAAATCGGCTTGGACCATCCTTGTACAACCAATTGCCACCCTCCACTGTCGCTTTATGTGACCTTGTAGACCTGTTAGCTTGATTGGGGGTCTTTAAAAGTGGAACTGGCCCCTTTGGTGGCGGATCGGTGGAGGTTAACTATTGTGCATGCCTAGAGCACAAATCAGATGTAACTAGGAGCGTGCAATCATGAGACATGGAATGAGCCGAGAGGAATCATCATGAATTCCATTGTCGGTTCTGATAATATTTGACCGATACACGTCGATGCATTAAGGTAGATTTAATTATATAGTATTTTTCAGTCTTCCATGGCGCAATTGTCAAATCTTGCTTTCTAGTTCAAGGCCTAACAGAAAGAGCATTGAGTTTCACAACCGTTTCCCCCGGTCGGGATCCGTCCACAAATCAGAAAATTTGGTTCTTAGATGGCCACTTGAGTGGAGAAGAGCGATCGAAAAAACATTCGCGGATGCAGTGGGTATGCGAGGTGGACAGTGACCCCATGTCGGGATTTAAAAGACTGCGGCCCTGCCCTGAAAGTTCCATCTTTCACTTGGCACTTTGACGAGAATACTTTTTTTGTCAATCAGCATGTCTCTGGGCAAGAGCGCACCTCCCCCCCGAGGTCACTGCCAATGATCACCAAACTTCAACCGACTTTGAGTCTCCTGGCCCATTTGTCGAAACTGAATCCGACCATGAAGACCAGCAAGATGGTGTTCGGGTTGCTGAGGCTGTGACTTCCTCTTGGTCAAAGAGGTCTTTGATCATCACCTATGCCTCGTAAGTGATTAAATTGATTATTTCGTCGTGGATATCTGCTAAGGCTACGAAGTATGTGGTTCATCTATTTCGTCAATGGATTAAATAACAACTTCACTACAAATCTCAGCCCTTACATCACGAGTGGTTTTGAAGGCCACTCGCTACTATCTGTGATAAGTGTCGTCACAAGTGTCATGGGCGCTTCGTGCTTACTGCCCATCGCTAAAGTGCTTAACCTCTGGGACCGCACTTTGGGAATGTGTATTATGATTCTGATCGCCATGATGGGTCTGATCATGATGGCTTCCTGCAATAATATTGCGACGTATTGCGCCGCTCAAGTGAGTACCCCTAGTCTCCCTGTGCAACACGCGGGTCGTATTCGGACATTGACCTTCTCGCTCTTCTTCAAAGTCATTCTATACTGTTGGCCTCACTGGTGTTATTTTTTGCGTCGATGTTATGACTTCCGATACCTCCACCCTTCGAAATCGAGGAATTGCATACGGTTTTACATCGTCCCCTTATATCATAACGGCATTCTCTGGACCATCCCTATCCAACCAGTTTCATGAGAGCAACTGGCGATGGGCGTATGGAACCGTCTGTATTATTCTCCCGATCGCAGCAATGCCCTTGATCGTCACTTGGCAACTCGCCAAAAGGAAATCTGATAAGGAGGGAAGACTACAATATAAGCCCCGAAGCACTCGTACCTGGTACGAAAGTGTCTGGTTCTATGTTGTTGAATTCGATGGTGGGTTCCTTCTCTGACTCGTTCGCTGCGTTCAAGCTTTTTAACATGGATTCTCTCCTAAACAGTCGTCGGAATCTTCCTTATGATTGGAGGTTTGATCCTCTTCCTCACTGCCTTCAACATCGCCGGAAATACCGAGGGTCAATGGAAGTCGCCTAAGATTATTGCTATGATCGTTGTCGGCTTTTGCACGCTGCTTTCGTTTGTGGCCTATGAGCGTTGGGGTGCTCCGAAGCCCTTCATCCCATACCATCTCATCCAGGATCGGACAATCATCGGCGCGGGTCTTCTGGATATCACGTATCAGATCTCCTACTACTGTTGGGCTACCTACTACACGTCGTTTTTGCAAGTTGTCTACGGATCAAGTGTCACACAAGCTGGTTATATCAGCGCCATCTTCGACCTAATGGATCCAGTCTGGCTCATCGGGTGTGGTTATCTTATGCGAGTGACTGGTCGGTACAAGTGGATTCTGTGCTGTGCAGTCCCACTCTACCTTCTGGCTAGCGGTTTGATGATCTATTTCCGCCGACCTGGATTCAGCGTTGGTTACATGTGCATGTGTCAAATATTCCTCGCCGTGGGTGGCGGAACCATGATTCTCATTGAACAAGTGTCTGTCTTGACCGTCTCTAAGCACGAGGATTATGCAGCCATGCTAGCTTTGCTTAGCACCTTCGGTAACATCGGCGGAGCTGTTGGTAGCAGTGTTTCTGGAGCCGTCTGGACTAACACGCTCCCCAAAAAATTGCAGCAGCTCTTGCCAGCTGAGACGCAAGACCAATGGGAGAGCATTTATGAAGATTTGAGTATTCAGTTGAGTTACCCTATTGGATCGGCAACTCGCACTGCCATTCAGAACGCATATGCTTCTACTCAACGCAACATGATGATTGCCGGCACGGCCATTATGGGGCTTTCTATTATTTGGGTGTGGATGATGAGAAATGTGAAGCTTCAGGACAACAAGACCCTCTCACAGGTCCTGTTCTAGATCGCATGCGTGTCTTGGGATTGGTCAAGACCCTTGTTATCTGAACATGGCGATTTCCCCTTCCATGAAATATCGAAGTATTGTTGGGAATATGAGAGGCAGAAGAAAATACACTTGCTTGGTCATGAGAATTAATTAAATAGCAATTATATTAAAACATAAAACAATCTGAAATAATTCTCCTCTCTACCTATTAATACCCATTAAAGTCCACCGCACATACTAGTATTGTACAAGCGTCGATTCTCAACAATAATCCATATCAAAAATACCGCCACTAGTTTCCCTTAAGAATGTTCTTCAGACTCTTCTTTGCAGGCTTGAAGAGATACTTAAACTCAGCTTTGAGAGTCTTTCTGTCTTCTTTAGACCATTCTCCGTTCTGCTTCGCAAGCTTCAGCTCCTTGAGATGACCCTCGAGCAAAGGCACAAGATTTTCCACAGTACATTTAGTACACTTCTTCTCATCGGCCAAATCAGTCAATGCAGTTGACAGGATGCGCATGGCCTCTTGCCCCCGAGCAGTTCGCAATTCACGGTCAATGAATGGGGTGCCAGATCCGTGAGTCTCGCAGGGTTTCTTTGAGGTTACACTTATATTTCAACAATGATTAGCCGGCGTCAAGGAGATATTGAGTGCTATGTTTAATCACTTACTGCTCCTGAGTTTGTTCTTGGGTCTTCTCATGGTCGATACTTTCAACGGAGACGTAGGAGTCGACCTTGGACGAATCAATATCGAAGCGAGTCATATTGGATGGCTTAGCAATCGTTGGAATTTGGTGATTGATTGTATGAATTGAAGCTATCGCTTTGGGATTGTCTTTTGCTGGTTGGAGCAGAGAAAGATGAGTGTGTGTTGATGATAGAAATTAATTAGAGGGAGTTTGGATATTTATGTTCTGAAAGAATCCAGTCATTCTTTCTACACACTCAATATTTCATACTATGTTCTAGGTAGCAACATTGGAAGTCCGTATACTGACCGAGAAGAGTAAGCGCGGTATATCCGAAGGTTACTGGATGGGGTAACTCGGGCGCGAGCATGTCCGACCGGAGGAACCTAATCGGCGTCGGCTTGGTTTATTTCCCCGTCTTTCGCCTTCTTCGCTCTATATTCGGCCTCAACTTAGGCAGATATCTATTGAATAGTTAATGCTCCTATTTATTTGTGGCAAACTGTTACCTAGTGAGGTCACGTGCTGTGCGGCATTCCAGGCACAGCCGAGTGGAATTGGTTTCAGGCTTATTGGCTGTTACTAAGAAACAATGGCACGTAGAAATTAAAGATAAAACAAGTCGCAAGTAGGATAAGGCATCTGGGCAATACTACTATGAGAGCCCGGGCGTTTCCAAGGATGACTCCAAGTCGGACTCTGAGAAATATATCCGTGGATGTTGACGACTCAACTTGAACTACTTGCTAATAACTAGCAAGTCCACCAACTGAGCATTGAACTCAGCCCGAGTCCTGAGGTCAAATCCATAGTATCAATTCGAAATAATGATATGTACGTCTACTAGCCTATTCTGTACTAGTAGATAGATCGAGAATAACTTCGCCCATGTCAAAGTATATTTACTTGCAGTCTCACCGCAATCGAGAAGCGGCAAGCTCTGAACGGGTAGGGTAAAAAGGCCCGTTAGTACGTGTGGTAGAGTATAAAACAAGCCTCATTCCCAGCCGCCGCAGCTTTGATTTCACAACTTGAAGCACATCTACATATACCATACTGCTACCAACACCGTGACACCGTACTTCAAGTTGTTTTATATTTCCAGAGAGTTCCAAGGTTCAAAACTTGAATCAGTCATCTAGCACCGAAAGGCATGTCATCTTGCCCTGATTGCACGTCGCTGCAATGTCTCCCACACTTGTGGCATCCGAGAAGACAGCCAGTTGCCATTCAAATCCACGTGGGACTCTAAGAACCCCGTGCCACACCAATGATTCAACTATTCTACCAAAATATCCACCAACTGTGAAAAGAGTAAAATTCCCCGCAGTGGAGCGTTCCTAGTTTCCCCACCTCCCCCAATCCCGCCAAAATCCCCGTAATTTTGCGGAATTTCTTACTCTTTTAGCCGGCCGTCTCCATCGACCAAACACCAAATAGCCATGAATCGTTACGCATAACTCATCAGACCCATGAACAATGCCGATAATTGTCATTTGCGGGGCAGCATTGACATTTAATCAGCTTTGGTTGGATGATTCTCCATCTTGCTTACCCCCCTTACCCCGCTGATATGGGAAACGAATGATGGCATTGCCAAATATAAACCCAGATGAAGCTCCCGGAGGCCGAAATCCTTCTTTCTATTTTTCAAATCCCTTTGTTGCTTGAAACTGTACGATATCTCTTCAATATGGTCGCCATTCTTGCAGACAACCTCGCCGTGAACGATGGTCCTCTGACCGCAGAGAACGCTGCTCTGCTCCGCCCATCCGACCCCTCCCTCCCCCTCGAAGAACTTCGCAAGCGCTACGAAGAAGACGGATACCTATTCCTAAAGCAAATCCTCCCCCGCAAAGATGTCCTAGAGGCACGCAATGCTTACTTCTCCTCCCTCGAGAAAACGGGCATCCTAAAGCCCGGCAGCAAGCCCGTGGAAGGCATCTTCGACCCAGCCAAGAGCCACCTAGAATACCCCGGCATTGGAGCCGGACACGTTGATGGAAATGGGCGGCCAGGCGGAGACAAAGCAGCGCAGTTTGTCGACCTGGCCCTGGATGCCCATTATCAAGAGTGGTATGCGGAGAAGTTCTGCAACCACCCAGCCCTGTACGACTTCGTGTCCAAGTTCTCAGATTGGGGCAAAAACACGCTGAGCTTGCGTCGCACTTTGCTGAGAAATAACCTCCCCGGTTCAAAACCGATCGGTGTTCACTATGATCAGATCTTCCTGCGATACGGTGATCCGACTAGTGTTACTGCCTGGGTGCCGATGGGCGATATCAAAATTAATGGTGGTGGGTTAATTTATCTGGAAGATGGTGATAAGATCGGAATGGAACAGGAGCAAGCATTCTTCAAAAAAGCCAAGGAGGCAGGTTTGAGCGATGAGGAGGCCAAGTCGGCTTTTAACTCCAATATGATGGCGACTGGATTGCTGTCTGAAACGCCTGCTGAATTCGCCCGCGAGCATGGACGCCGTTGGTTGGTGTCTGCCTATGAGGCAGGTGATGTCGTGTTGCATAAACCGCACATGGTATGTCTGTTTGGGTGATTGCCCAGTTGTATATTTCGCGATGCTGATATCAGGCGATAGATTCACGCTTCTGGTATTAACCATGACCCCGAGAATGTAATTCGTCTCGCGACAGATTTGCGTTTCTGCGATTCCTCAAAGCCGTTTGACAAGGTAAATTCTCCCAAGTCCCGAAAAAAAAGCATTCGATATGATCAGGAAGCTGATGGGATTTACAGAGGTGGATGAATCACTACACTTTCAATGACGGTGTTTAATGAGAAGTGCGATATTGAAATCTGGGACTTCTCGATAACTTTGTACATGACCCTTCTCAGATTGATCTGAACTCTTTCAAGTACTATTTAATTTGCTGTCTTTCGAGTGAATCTCATGTCTGATGAAATTGAGATCTGAATCTGTTGAATCTGAATCTGAAACATATTACCAGTTTCCGCTGCCAGGCTTCTGGAGTGTGTCACGCCCTATCATTCTGGGCTACCCAGCGCCATAACTCTGGCGAATTATTGACGATTTTTGTTACTCTAAAAGTGTCATTATGACCTTCTTGCGATTCGCCCTATTCGCTGCAAGGTTTATGGAATGTTAGGATCGACATTCCTGGCCACCTTCTTGTGCACAGATATCCCTAGATCTCGAGCGTGTTCCCTTGACACCGAAACAACGGTAGGCCACATAAAGAACATGGAGAATACAATAAAAAACTAAATATAATTCAATTAAGATCTTAATTGAAGTTAAACGTATGACGCATATTGAAATTTGAATGATATCCGAGTCTAACATGCTTGGGAGTCGGCATTGATATTTCGATGGGTAGCATTCCACGGATCACAACAATCTCCCATTGCTCGGGAATACAGGACTCTGAATGTCGAAACATATGAGTCGCCAGTGAATCATGATCGCTCTCGCGTGTAGAAGACCTCTCTAAGACGCTCCTGGTGCGATTTCCCTCCTCGCAAACCTGAACATCACCAATTTCAACTCAACGCGTCCCGAAGTCAACGAAACCCTCACAAATCAGCAAAATGTCGTTTCTTATGCCCAGGATACCCAAAATAGCGATGATTATCTTAGGCCTTTCTGCTGTCGCATCTGTTTACGCCCAACCCATTCGCGAAGCAGAAGGTACTCGCGTTCTAGAGCCTCGCGACCCGGTACGTTCTCCATCGCAGCAATGGCTCATAACAACGCCTATTCTAACCATTTACTATTTCCAGAGGATTATTCCCGATACTGAGAGCTATCTGGTCAATATCCTCGACAGTCTTGGTTTCGGCAATCCTAAGGCCGACACCTCTGCTTCTGCCACTCCCACTCCTACCCCTACCCCTACCCCTACCATGGCAGCCGAGCAAGATCAACCAGTGAACAGCGTGGCCACGCCTTCTACCACCGGACAAGGGGCTACGTTTACCACCGTTATCCACAACGGAAACGACAGGCCGGTTGAGAATGTTCAAATTGGATCTGGCTGGGATGGCAGGAAGGAATTGCGAGCCTCAGATCTACCTGTGATCTTTGATGCTCTCTATAAGGATATGGAGAGTCGGTTCCGCAATATGGTCGACAGCTCTGATGAGCTGGGATTGTAAAGAAATATGGAAGTATAGTTTGGTTCTAAACAAAAGGGGGATGATGGGTGGGTGGTGGGAGATAATGGCGGTTTTGATGTACTTGATGTCGGTAATCCTGTTTTTATACTGCCCGTGTACGATATGGCTCGTTTTCACTGTAATTCAGTTCTTTTCTTTCCAGGAAATTTTAATCAGTGTTCCAAGCCCTGGAGGTTCTTAATAAAACCGAACTCTCGCAAAGGTATTGCGGTTTAACGGATGTAATTCGTTGATGCCCACTTTTAACTCCGGATCTGCGCCACGCACAATTTGGTCACTTTCTTCACTTATCCCCGTTTTTTACGCCGGAGACCGAACATAGAAGGGTTTCGAAGTGCTTGTCTTTTTCACTGGGTCTGAGGATCGATTGTTATAGGCCAGAACATGTGAAGAACACCCCATTCCCTTTGGGCTCCGCAGTGCCGGATTTTGGCAGAAGCCCGGGATTCGCGTGGTGGGGGTTATTAACTTAAATATTAGTGGACTGGAGATATATAAACAGTTCAACATATCCGAATTTACCGTCGACTAGCTTCATCACTTCATCACTTCAAGTACAAGCTGACATCAAACAATCCCTTTTATCTAACTCTGCTTTATAATCCATCATTGCACAATGCCCAGGCTCGTTGGACAAGAGATCGGCCCGACCGGTTATGGCACTATGAGTACGAATCCCCTCGCTTAGGCACTAGGAGCGTGTGCCAGTGTAGAGATGCTCGGACAAGTCGATTAACGGAATCTCTCTAGGAATGACCTGGGTCCCGAACCCTCCAGCTCACGATGTTTGCTTCGAAACCCTCAACAAGACCTTGGAGCTGGGTGCCAATTTCTGGAACGGCGGCGAGCTTTATGGTGCACACGACTACAACTCTCTACACCTCCTGAACAAATATTTCACTCAATACCCCGAAAACGCGGAGAAGATTGTCTTGAGCATCAAGGGTGGTCTCAAAGTCGGCCAACTGGTCCCGGATGGATCTGAAGAAAACATCCGTCGCAGTGTGGACAACTGCCTTCGTCTACTGGATGGAAAGAAGAAGATTGATATCTTCGAGTGTGCGCGGCAAGATCCGAACTTCCCAGTCGAGCATACTGTGGAGGTACTTGCGCAATACGTGAAGGAGGGTAAAATTGGAGGCATCGGACTCAGTGAGGTGGATGCTGAGACTATCCGACGAGCGTAAGTGATGGAAATGAAGATTCAATTGAAACTCTCAAAGCTAACTAAATTTTTTTCCAGACACAAAGTGCACCCAATTGCCGCAGTCGAGGTTGAGATGTCCCTGTGGACGACCGATATCCTGGAGAACGGTATTGCTCAGGCCTGCGCCGAGTTGAACATCCCCGTCATCGCATACTCCCCACTGGGTCGAGGTGTCCTGACCGGTGCGGTGACTTCACTGGCCGACATCCCTGAGGGAGATATTCGCCGGCACATGTCCCGCTTCCAGGAAGAGAACTTTGAGCAAAACCTGAAGTTGATCAATGCCGTGAACAGCTTGGCCGAGCGCAAGGGTGTTGCTCCATCTCAAATTGCACTGGGCTGGATTCGCAGCCTGAGCGGCAAGCCTGGCATGCCCACAATCATTCCAATTCCCGGTGGCACAACCACCGACAAGGTTATTCAGAACATGGTCGGGGTGAAGTTGCTCTCCGATGAGGAACTGGCAGAGATCGAGGCGATCTTGAAGAAGCACACGGTGGCCGGACCCCGCTACTAAGGGAACGGATCTAGAAGGAAATACTGGTGCACGTTAGCAATTGAGCTGGAGCAACATAGATAGCAATTATGACAATGCAGGAGATTAATGATAGTCAGATCAAGTGTAGAAAAATCGACATGCAATCTCACGACACCGGCGTACCCGAAAGTACAGGCATGGAGATTGTCGGAATTGCAGAACTCTTCGTTTTGTTCATCTTGTAGGTGGATCAAGGGGGATAGCGTGTAGAAAGGACAGCAGAAGAGGGTGACCATACCATAAGTGAGTCAGTGATGGACAGTACTGTTGAGTTAGTAGTCCATGGTGGGAGAAGAGTGAAGGAGGAAGAAAGAAAGAAAGAAAGAAGAGAAGAGAAAAGCGAAGGAAGAAAAGAAGAAGTCCCCCGTCCACGTGACAGCTCAGCTCCAACTCCGCCGACCTTCACGACATCCCCGGCTTCTTCCCCCCCCAAACTGTCAAACTGCCAAAACACAACATCCCTGGGACTTCCTTGATTGACTTGGCTTGGATTTCCCCATCCATCCCTCTCGCCCACCATGGTCTCGCGTGAAGGTTCCCCCTTGTCCTCCGTCGGCACCGCCGAGGAATCAGATCACGAGTCCATCAAGCATGAAAGCCGCGCCCAGTCCCCATCAGCTTCCAACCTGCCTCCCTCAAAGCGCCGTCGCACAGGTGTAGCATCCTGGGACAGACACACTCCATTGTCCTCAGTGCATGATGAGACTATCCCCCCCTCCCTCACCAACCGCCTCCATATCCTCCGATACCGACGGCGATGTTCCCAACTCCCCTAGCATGGTCGGTGCGCTGGGCAATAGCCAAGATGACGACTACACCGGCCAAAGCACAGATCAAGTCACAGTATGTCGGTGGGACGGCTGTCCCGCCGGCGACCTGAAGAATATGGATGGGTTGGTGCAGCATCTGCACTTTGAGCACATCGGGAGCCGACAGAAGCGGTACTCGTGCGAGTGGTCAGACTGTAGCCGCAAAGGACAAACGCATGCCAGCGCATATGCACTCCGCGCTCACATGAGGAGCCATACTCGAGAGAAGCCATTCTACTGTACCCTGCCCGGTATGTTTGCTTGCCTTGACTTGACTTGACTTGACTAGTCTCCGGTCTTCTACCTCCCTCCCTTGGAATCAAAACACTAACACTAAAGCTCCCCAGAATGTGATCGCAACTTCACTCGCTCCGACGCCCTAACAAAACACATGCGCTCCGTCCACGAAGCCGATACCGTCCGACCCTCGGACCCCAAATCCACCTCCGGCGGCACCGCCAGCGTAGCCGGAACCCCAGTGTCAAAACTCCAACGCATCCGCCTGAAGCTCTCACAACCGAAAGGTGAACCAGGCAATGGTGATTCAGATCACCCTCCTGCACCCACCATATCCGCCACGGTAGGATCAGAAGTCGACCCGGACGACGCCACAATGCCGGAATTCGGACCGGACCTCGACTTCAGCGACCACGAACTCGCCATGCACCCACACGATCTATACCGCGTCCTGCGGCGACAAATTCACTGGGCGGAGAAGGAATCCGCTCAAATGCGCGCTGAGTGGGATGAGTTACGCCCGCAGCGTGAACACGCCTGGCTTGAGAAGGAAGCTATCTTCGAAGACCTTATTCATGGCGAGTTACGGCTCTTCAGTGCCTTCGTCGGTGGCCCCGGGTCATCATCGTCCACGTCTAATGGAACTGCGCCAGCTCCTGGTAGTTTGGCCTCTAGTTTGGAGAAATTGCAGCATCAGCAGCAGGAATTTAAGCATCAGCAAGATCAATTGCAGGCGAAGGCTAGTGATGCGGCTGAAGTCGAGACGGCTGAGGCTTCTGAGGCTGTTGCCGCTGCTTGAATGAACGATTGGACCATCTACGTCTGATTGATTACTTATGTCTTCGTTTGAAAGCTTTGACCTTTGGCGTGTCTGTGTTGACAGGCAGTGTCCTTCTTTCCGTGTGCTATTTTTGGTGTATCTGGCGTTTGGAGGGATGGGATTGTGTGCGTTTGTTCATGGGCTTGAAATGAACAGGGGGAGAAAGGAATGAACAATTGTAGGAATAGCTTTTTTTTCTGTCTTGATTCTCTTCTTATACCGGGGTTCTGTTCCAAATAAGTTCGGATTTATGAGTTCATATATCGTTTATCAAATCCAGAGACAATAATATTGTCACTATTATTAATTGAACCGACTTTTCGAGTTCTACGAGAAAATCTAAGAAATAATTACTACCAGTAGTAGAAAGCTGATTGAAATATTTGACAATCCAAGCTTAGACAGACATCTCAAGAGGTCAGGTCTCAAGCCAGATCAATTCCATTTCGTTCTAAAAGAGCAGAGTAAAAAAGAACAGGGGGCATCACGAATAGTCGCTCCCGACCAGCTGAATGATCTTGTGCTGATACAGAAAAATCAATCGACGCCGTGGTAGCCACTCCATAGGGTACATGTGCTGGTCCAAAAATAAAAAATAAAAAAGAACAAGAAATGAAGTAGAGAGGCCGTAGCCCCACCAACTGGCGCTGTAAAAGGGAGACCTAACCAGTATAAGATGCCAAAAAAGAAGCGGTAACCAAAAAAAAAGTGCAATTAGACAAAAGGGTAGACAGATCAGAGCCAGCTTTAAATCCTTCCCCGGAAACAAGACGTGATTGCAAATGCAAATGCAATATGTGTAGGAGTAGTAATTCAAGTTTGGTCGATCTGCCGATTTCTTTTTTCCAAAAGATATCGTCACCAAGACATAAGGAAATAAATAAAACACAAAAACTCCAAAAGGCCCCAAGCACGCCATGCAAATATCATTTGACATTCGAAAATCATGTTGCAACTCAAAAATCGGATTCTCCTTTTTCTTGCGTGAGTGGTTTCTTTTCAAGGGATGCGATGCGGGAAAAAAAATCCATTTCGACGCCTTTCGCAATGCCATGTATTCAACCACATTGCATCCATATGTACTTTGCTTCTTTCTTCTTCTTTTTTCAATGAGAGACGATTCATGGGTGTTTGCTTTTCCTTCTCGAAGGCCTTGGGATAGGGGGATGTCGGGTTGTGAGAATTTTGGTGAGTTGGATTGACCGAAAGATTGAGGGAAGGTTGGGATCAAGAAGAAAGGATGACTTGGGATGGTCGAACCCAGAACCAAAAGAGAGAGACAAAAAGAAGAGCAATCGAGTAGCCAATCAAGAAGCGAATCGAGAATCCAATATTGATATCATAACTCCACGAAAGAACCGTGGGGGTTGTTTGGTTTATTATCGAAATAGTGACAAAATAGTTCCAAGATTGAATCTAAGTTCCATTGGACGGCTGCGAAGGCTTACTAGCAGCCTTAACTTTCTCAAACATCAACTGAAGCTTCGCACCACCCACTTCCTTGTTCGGCCAATAGTGGACGGCAACATAATCCCACAAGCGTCTCTCTAAAGACGGCATAGGGTCACCGCCACCCAATGTGCTGTGAATGAACTCGCCAATTTTTTCGATGGTGCTCCGAAGCTTGACAGCTCGATCAGCCTTGTTGGGATAGTTCTTCGAGGTGATGGTCGCGACTTGCTTCAGATTATCCCGAATGGGTCTGAAGAATTTTGAGTCCTGATTTTCTTCTCGACTCGAACCACCGTTCTCATGGCTCTTCCGACGGCGTTCGTCGTTGTGTGCATCCGAGAGACGATGGCGAGGACGGCTGATATCATTCCCGGACCTGGGCCGATCGTAATTGGGTGTGCTGCGACGGTCATCCCGGCGATCATCGCGGCCGTGGGTATGTGAACGTGGTCGTGACCGTTCATTCTCGCGGTGGCCCTTCCGAGCGGATGGAGCAGGAGATGCGGAGACACTTCCACTACCAAGACGTGCGTTGCGCTTATTGTTGCGGTGGTGGTTATCGACAGCCCGTCGGGCATTCGCATTGCTTCCATGAGTGTATTTATTCCTCAGAACTGACAACAGATAATCAGCTCGGCGGACCAGATGGACAGCACCGGGAGATTTGGTGGACTTTTCTTCTCCTGCAGCTCGTTGAGTTTTCCTCTCGACGCGGTGCTCTTCAAGGAAGAACTTGTCAGCGAGACCCAACTCAGTGTCATCGCGGATCTGAGTCCAAGCACCAAACCCGTGGCGACCAATACCAACCAAAAGCATGCCATCTTCCCTTGCACCCCAGGGACAGCTGTAGTCCGCTGGTTTCGTAGCTTCTGGAAGACGGAAGTTCTTGAAGTCGGATATAGAGGTAGTCACCCTGCGCACAAGACGCATGTCAGGGGGTCGGTCGACAATTGTCCAGGCATTCAGACGCTTGACACCTTGATGGTCGAACAGTACAGCCTTTTGTTCTTTCTTGGTAACGTTCTTGCCCGACTGCTTCAGCGCATCGATCTGCTGCAAATTTTCTTGAACGAGGGATGCAGCCTTGCCCGTGATTTCTTGAAGGGCAGCCCGGACGGTGTCTCGGTCGCGATTTTGTAAGCGAGAATCTTCAAGAATGAGCTCCTCACAATCAGCCATATCACCGAATCGCAAGAAAGCCCGGGAGAGAGAACGGTATTCCTTTTCACCAAGAGGACGCTTCGGATCCAACGAAGTTTCGTCTTCCACGTCATCAATAGCAACCTGTGCCCTGGCTTGGCGTTTGGCCTTGCGTTCTTCCCTAGAGTCTCGAGCTTCCTCCGTTGGCGCATGGCGTTTGCGCGGCCGATTTTGCTCGATCACATCAGCCAGGTATCTCTCATCTGCCCTGCGCTTTTCATCTTCCTTGATTTCCTCGAGTTGTTCCTTGGGGATGATATCATCCCAAGAAAGATCATCGACCTTGATGTCAACAAAGTCAAATGCCTTCAAGAATTCTTCACCACCATCAGCTTGGATCTGCTCGGTTTCCTCCGTCTGGTGCAACTCAGCGTTGGCGAGAACTGAGTCGATATCAAGCTGTTCAAGCTTCTTTTGATTGTCGGTCTGCTCGAACATCTTCTGGCCACGACGCTTGAGAATTCGTGAGATGTCATCGGTCGAATTCGGCTCGGCAACAACGCGGGCCATCTTGTTTTGCATCTCCGTGGCTTCCTTATCAGTGACACCACGCTGGATGGTGATGAATTCAAGGAGAAGCTTGTTTCGGGCTCTCTCAATGACCTCCTCCTCAATTGTATCTTTTGAAACAAGACGATATACACTGACGGGCCGCGTTTGTCCAATACGATGGGCTCGGGCCATCGCTTGCAAATCGGCTTGAGGATTCCAATCCGAATCAAACAGAACAACGGTGTCGGCAGTCATCAAGTTGATTCCCAAGCCACCGGCTCGCGTAGAGAGAAGGAATGCAAAATCGGTACTCTCGGGCGCATTGTAATGCTCAATAGCGAGGCGTCGAGCGGCAGAAGGAATAGTTCCATCCAATCGTTGATACTTGTAACCACGGTACTCCATGTACTCGCTAAGAATGTTGAGCATGCCCACCATTTGACAAAAGATAAGGACTCGGTGACCATCACCCCTGAGTTTGCGGAGCAGTTGGTCGAGCAACATCATCTTTCCACTGCTGGTAATCATAGCTCGCAGAATATCCTCGCGCCGGGTGGCCCCTTCCAGAATTTTCGCTTCGGCGGTAGGGAACATGAAAGGGTGGTTGCTTGCTTTCTTGAGCTCCATCATAATGTTCAAGAGGGATTGCTTCATGCCCTTGGCGCCGTCGTTTAGGGCGGCGTAGTTTTTGGTCAAAATGTTTTTGTAGTATTCAAGTTGGACATCGGACAGTTCGACACGAATGATCTTCTCTGTCTTGGGAGGGAGGTCGGATTCAACTTTGGATTTTGTACGACGTAGCATGAATGGTTGGATAGCATCGGTCAGCTCGGCAAGCTTTTGGGAGGCTGCATCAGAGTTCAGGTCCATATCCACATCAATATGGATCTGGCCCGGGTTGAGGAAATCCATTAGAGACGAAAGCTCTGCAAGATTGTTCTGGATCGGTGTGCCAGTAATGAGGAGACGAGCTTGGCATTTCCACTCTGCCAGCTTAATATACAGTTGCGAATCACGATTCTTCAGACGGTGGGCCTCATCAACACCCATGAACTGCCACTTGAACTGCCCCAGGAAAGGCGAGTCATTCATAGCATATTCATAGGTGGTCAACAACACATGAAACTTCGGTCGTTTAGGGTTTCCATCTACCATTAATTCGTAATCGCGGAGGACCTCGCGGGCCTTCTCGCTACCGTTGTAGACGACATAATTGAGATCTGGGGTCCAGTTGTCAAACGTTTCCGCCCAGGCGGGCATTGTGGACAGAGGTACGATGACAATGAAAGGTCCTTGTTGACGCCGAGCATGGCGTAGCCAATTGATAAAGGAGACTGTCTGGACCGTCTTGCCCAAACCCATCTCATCTGCCAACACGACATTGCGATCCTTGACCCAGTTGAAAGCCAAGAAATTCAGACCTTTAACCTGGAAATCCTTAAGTTCGCCGTTCTGGAGGAAGGACGGCGTACTGTGGATAGCCTCAAATGACTTGCGTGTGGCTGGGTTTGTTTCGTTCTTGTCGGAAACGGGGACACGAGAGGAACGATCGAGGAAGCGATCCACCTCATGCTGGGCAATCTCACTAACAATGTCTTCCGGCTCCCAGGTACATGAATCGTAGAAGAGGCGCTTCCACTTGACAAGGTACTCGGAGCCTTCCTCGCCTTCTCGGACACCAATGACTCGCTCAACGTGCTTGTAGTCTTCAATTGCCTCCACGTCACGTTCACGATCAAGGTTCCACTTTTCGCGGTCTTCGGGTGCGGCGTAGGGGTCATGCTGGAGGCGAAGGTCTTCATTCAGCACCTTACGAACGTAATTGTCTACACGAC